TTGCGTTAGGCTATTAGTATACTAAAATAATGCTAAACTTCATTGAGCTCCGTTTTAAGTACTGGTCCTAGCATTGGGATGCTGGATATTTTAGGACTATTCCAAGTTGCTCTGTCCTCCTGTCCCTTTGCTCCTTGAGCTATACGCTTGGGAGTTGCTCTATGCTTCGGTTCTATCACTCCTTGGCTCCATGCTTAGGAATTTTGCTCTATACCTTCACTCAGTGGCCTAAGGCATGGAAATTCAAGTTGTCCTTGGGACACATAGCATATGGCACATGGTATATGACACGTGGCATATATAGGGTTTAAGTTTTACTTCATGGTTATCCTATAGTAAATCACCATAGAATAAAGGGTGAAAACCGCATACACTACATATTTGATTTGATAGGACTTTTTCCACAGTTGATTATTGACAATAAATATATCATTATTACTTTTGACTATTTGATTTAGTGGGTGGAAGTTGATGCTCTTGTTAGGGCATCTGTGACTGTTATTGGATATTTCTTCTTCAATTAAGTGGTATTTCAATATTTATATCTAGAGCATATTCTTTTAGAGAATGTTCCAACGTTTATGGTTGAGGCACTTCATGTCTTTATAGTCTCAGTTAAGGATATGCTATATTTACACTAGTGTTTATCATTCACAAATGGATGGTTTGGTAGAATTGACTCATTTAAACTTTTAAAGGGATAATTGCAAATTATATGAACTTTTAATATTTCAATTAGGATGATTGCATATGTTATAGAGGTATAGAGTTTAGTTGTGCCTCATCATATAAACTTATATTTAGTTATGACCCAATATTGCCAATGGAGTTGAGCTTACCTTCACGATTATCATGAGTTATTGATGTTAAGTCTTGGGATTAGTATTTTACATCCAGTGGTTTGAGCAAAGTCTATTAAACATTTGAGCTACATATAAATGGGATAATAGCTGTGCTACAACTTTTATTATTATCCACATACAAAATATAAAATATGATTTAGTGCTGTTTTCTTTTCTCAATCTTATGTTATGTAATTTATTTAAGAGTCTCCTTGCTTAATGGAAGGGACTGTATTAGATGTTATGGCAAATTGGATTGCAAATTTATGAGGTTAGGCATAATATTCAACTGTCCAATCCTCTAGAAATTTTACATATGTGACAACTTATTTTATATAAAAGGATTAGAAAAAATTACACCACTTACAAATTTACTAGTGCCTCTTATGTTCATTAAAATCCCAGCCTATCAATTAAGAGATTTTAATTGTATTCCATCTTTCTGAGAAGAGGGGATGATATTAGGTCTAAATATATATTTATAATGTAATATATTAATATTAGCATAGTGGGATTTTGATAACCATCAATTATTTTTAATTCGAACCACTCGCTCCTGTATATAAGTTAATTGAATATATATATATGTTAAATTTTTAACTAAAAAAAATTGTATTATATTAAAATTTTCTTCATATTTTTAATTATATTTAATGATATATTATCATTTATATTTTGTTGGAAAAATTAATAGAAGTTAAAAGTAAACCTCTTAAATTTAGTTATGTCTTTACTCAGTTTAATTTAATATTCTAAAAGCTATTTAACAACTTCATCCTAAAAAATTCACCTCTAAACCATATCATGACATTAAATAAATATAACTTAAATCAAATATTTTATAAATTGATAACTCATTTAGTTTACTCAATACTAAAATATAATAAATTTAAAAATTATTTAGATTAATTTATAAAACTTATAATTTTAATTTTCAAAATTTTTCATTCACTATCCAAAATTATAATGTTTCAAGTGCAAATGTTTAACAGAAAAAAATTACAAAACTTTAAAATAAAAGAGAAAAAACTTAATAATGTATATATAGAAGAATCAATGATCAGTGCAAGCTACGTACTACAGCACGCCCTCTTCTTCACCGCCGTGAGCTCGTCATCCAGGAGGATCTTGTTGCCCGATGGCACGGGTGGCATCACATTGGCCAGTCCCCCGTTTGGATCGTCGGCAGCCAGGCTCTTCTTGCTCACGATCTTGTAGATCTCGGTCAGCACCGTCGTGAAGGCCGTCTCTACGTTGGTGGAGTCGAGCGCCGACGTCTCCATGAAGTAGAGCCCCTCCTTCTCGCTAAACTCCCGGCCCTCCTCCACGGACATGGTCCGGCTGTTGCTCAAGTCGGATTTGTTTCCCACCATCATGATCACCACGTTGTTGTCCGCGTGGTTGCGAAGTTCTTCCAGCCACCGCGCTACGTGCTCGAAGGTTTGCTTTCTCGTGATGTCGTAGACGAGCATGGCGCCCACCGCGCCGCGGTAGTAAGCGCTCGTCACCGCCCGGTACCTGGCCAAAGAGAGAGATCCTCGTGAGTTTGTAAAGCTAAAGAGACAGCTTGGAAGATCTCTGGAGAAAACTCTTCTATGGTTCTCCCATGATCTATTGAAATCGAGGAGACAGCTTGGACTGGGAAGATCTCTCAAAGCTTAGAATGAATGTGGAAGGGATCTATCGGACTCTAGAGGGGCGCAGAGATTTCCTGCATAAGGATCTAAAAGTATAGAGAGATTTGCGGGAAGTTACTCCATGGACGAGAAACTATTTAGTAACAGTGGGGCGGGGGCGGAAGGAAGCTCTCTAGCTGAGATGAGATATCGATTGGAATTTACCTCTCCTGGCCGGCCGTGTCCCAGATCTGCGCCTTGATAGTCTTGCCGTCGACCGAAATGGTGCGGGTCTGGAACTCGACGCCAATTGTGGATTTGGACTCGAGGGTGAACTCGTCGCGCGCGAATCTCGACAGCAGCTGGGATTTGCCCACCGCGGAGTCGCCAATCAGTACTACCTTGAACACATAGTCGATCTTCACATCGAAGTCCGACATTCTCCCCCTCCTATCCCAAAACCTTGTTCGCAATGCTAGAACTTTACCCTACCAAAAAAATGTTACCCTAAAAACAGAGCACTCAAAAACTTAGATTAACTGGAGTTAGGGTTTATATCTATCTGGGCAATGGAGAGTAAAGGCTTCCTAGATCCTCGCAAACATTCCTTGAGAGATATCGAGCGAAGCTGGGTGAATCACGGCTGGGCTTTCCAGCGCCAAGGATTTTTCTTTGGGCTGAGTTACGTTGTCACTGTGTTTCATTTGATATGGATCTTTTGGGGCCATGCCTTCCACAATCTCGTATCGGTGATCAACAAAACAAGTCACCCCGCTACGTACGCTTTTGTGGGTTTTGTTCTCCTTGGAGAGATCATAGTCAGCGGTAAGTTTCCACAGGAAACTCTCTTGCCAACACCCGCCACCTTTCTCTTTCTCTAGGGTTGATCAGGACGGTCGTTCGTAGCAAGAGGTGTTTTCTTAAGTACACTCTTTTGATCGGTGCGATTGCTAGCGTTTGGCTCACGGTATGCTCGAATGAGGTTGTCTTGTGCATGCTTGACGTTATCATCTCATTTTGCTACGTCTCCAACGTATTCATGGGAATTTGCCACTGGTTTGAGGAAGATTTCTGGTTTCATGGGAAGCGCGATGATCCCGCCACGACGGTACTGGTTTTCTTGTGTTTGCAAGCTGGGATCTTCTGGCCCATTCTTGCTGCCCGTCACTTATCGACTTGGAAGTGTTTGCTCGAGTGGAACGCATGCTTTACGTTTGCGTACTTGGCTTTCATCGTGCCACACATGACGGACTCTCCCGTGGACTACTTGTGGTGCTTAAGGGGCTTCTCTTCGGATCAGAAGTGCGCCATCGACGTGGTCAAAGATTTTGCAGATGCAACTGAGAACATCCTGCCTGAAGATCGCCCAGTTCTGAAAGAGCAAAGTATGAGCAAAGCAAAGGTTCTGGTTGCACTTGCGCAGGAACTTGCTTTGATGTATTGTTGGTTGGAGCGCGGTGGTAAATTTGTTCCAAAATTCTTGTGCTTTCCATTACAATAATAATGATTTGTAATATTTATTCATTAATTTAAGGTTTAAGTTTAGGTTCTGTGCGATTTTATGGAGAGTCGACTTGAAGAAGGGCTGCTACGAGGAATTAGTCGTGCTAATCGCAATGGTCAGTATTCACTGGAAGAGATTGAGCACGGATGGGCGAAGCATGAGTGGCTGTTTCAACGACAAAGTATCTTCTATTCCCTAAGCTGCGTGGTCAGTTTCTTTCACTTGGCATACGTTTTCTGGGGATCAAAACATACATTCCACCACTCGCTAGCGTTTAAGCTAGTGAGCATCACTGGAGGCGATCAGGATGCTCCTCTACAGCCATTCCTGGGCTTCTCGATCGTCTTGGAGATCCTTTTAATGGGTAAGTCCTTAATTCTCCAAGCCTTGGTCTTCGCAATATTTGATTTCCGCCACCTTTTCTCCCACGCAGGCTTGCTTGCCCACGTCGTGCACAGCAAGAAATGGATCATAAGCTGCACATTCTTCATTGGAGCCCTATGTGAGATCTGGCTCACAATCTCTCCCAACGCCTTCCCCCTTGAAATCGTCAAGTTCTTCTGCTACGTCTCCAACATCCAGATGGGGATCTTCCACGTCTTCGACGAGGATCGGTGGTGTCACGGCAAGCACAGCCTCTCAAATGCGGCATGGACAATCGTTTGCATCCAGTTCGCCGTGCTCCTTCCCGTGATCGCCATCCCGCTGTTACCAACATGGCGGCACGTATACCTCTTCAACGCCTGCCTCGCCTTCGTCTACGTTGTCAACATCTCGCCTTTGATGCTGGATTCTCCAAGGAGCTATCTCAAGCACTTCGATCCCCAGCAAAGAGTCGCCAAGAAGATTCTCAAAGACTTTGCCGATGCCACCGGTAACAGCCTGCCAGCCGATCTCACGAGCTTGGAACAAGAAGAAGACATGAAACAGGGGGCGTCCATAGCCCTTTCCTTAGAGGTGGTTTTACTTGTTATACTGTTTGTTTATGGAGCGATTGAGGAGCCCATTGTCTTGTTTTTCATATTTATAGTGCTCATGTTTTGTCTCATAATCAATGGACATGGGTGTGACCATATCTTTCATTATTATTACATGTTTTGAAGCCAATAGATTTATAGTTTAAAAAGTTCTAAAAAACTGGAAGAAAAATCCCGCTGATACCATTATGTTTCGACCTCTGTACACATGAAGAACATCGCACTGCAATGAAGGATAATAACAAATCACAGTAGATAATGAATCAAGCCAGGAAGCTGGAAAGCCTGGGAACCTTGGTAGCCTTGTGCTTGAGGTACGGATACAGCGTCAACAGGTTTTCCGGCACAAAATCGTGGCGCGTTAAAATTCCTAAGATCGGCTCGTCCTGTGTGTATAGAGCGTGAGTTAATTGACAATGAAACATAGAACTATTCAAAACTTACCTGTGGGGTCTTGGGCATGACGCAAAGATGCCGTAGGCCAAGTTGGCGGAACAATGTGTACGCTTTCGCCAATGACATCGTCTCCAATACAGTATACGGTGACGCGTTCGTAATGGGATACATGTCGATGTACATGCCGTCTTCCTCGCTGCTCACTTCTATGTTGTCAATGACCATGCCTTTCCCGGAGCCGGGCTTTGCGAAATCGAAGCCGGAGAAGAGCTTGAGGATGTCCAGCGAAGAATCCCTCCTGGGCTGAAAGGCCTTGTGCTTGAGCAGCACCAGGAGATGGGAGCGCAGCACCAGTCCGCAGAAGACAGGCTTCCCAGGTGGCGAGGAGAAATCGATGACCGGGAAAGCGTTGTGCCTCGTGTTCCTGAGAATGTCCATGATGACCCCGACCTTCTCCACCCGGGCCATCTTCACCAGCGGGTTCTTCAGCGCGTCCGCGGCCGTCAGCTGGTGCATGAATGGCTCCGAGTGCGATTCGAGCAGAGGAAACCCCTTGAGACGGACGTGGATGTCGTAGAGTCCCTTGTTGAATATATCTCCCACTGTCTTGGAGATGAGGAGGACGAGCATGACGAGCGGCAGCATCGATAAGTTGTTGGTCAGCTCCAAAAGGATGACGCAGAGTGACACGGTCATCCTCATCGAGCCACCGAGGAAAGCCGCCGCACCGAGCACCGCGTACAGGCCTTCGTCCAGCTTCAAGTTGTGTGACGCGGACATGAGTATGCCCACCAGTCGGCCAAAGGAAGCCCCGTTGAGGATGACTGGAATGAATAAACCCGACGGCACCGCGATCCCGTAAGTCATCAGCGTAAGCAGGAACGTCTCGACGAGGAAAATGAGCACCGACGCGTAATGGTACTCTTGCGGAGTGTTGGTGCTGAACAGGTTCCGAATGGCGTCGTCGTTTGTTGTGAATAACAAGCTCGCCAGGTCGTTGTAATGGCCAGCTTCGCAGTTGAACTTCTTGAAGTTTCCTGTTCGCCCGTAGCTGGGACACTCGTTTGCCATAAGAGCCTCATGCGGGCACGGTCTGCAATGCCCCAGCGCAGGGAGGCACAAGCAGAAAATCGAGGTGACGAGGGCGACAAAGCATGCCAGCATCACCTTAGCGAGCGAACCTTTCCTGGTGTATCAAAATCATTAGGAGATAGCTCAATGATAGCTGTGACAGACTTACTTGTGCAGATAATGCGAATAGAACACACAAGTCCTGGAACTCAGCTTGTTGAAGATACTGCCGATGATACCGCCGCTTACACCCAAGACCACCACCGGAAGAAAGTCCAGAAGTGAGAAACCAACGACCACATCGCTAACGTCAAAGAGAATCAGGCCACCAGCTCCAAAGAGCCCACACTTTCCTTCCTTGCACAGCATGCTGCCGATCCTGAGTACTACGGCAACCACAGCCGAGGTGAAGAATGTTCTCCACAAGAGAGAGCTGCGCCACCTGTGAAGAAAACGCGAGTGAATACGCAGGAGGAAAAAGGAAAAAGAAATCAGGTACCATGACGATGCCTCTTCAAGGGCAAACAGTACTCCACCAACAGGAGCCTTGAATGCTCCTGCAACTCCAGCTGCAGCACCACAAGTCACCAAGTCACGACGGTCTTTATCCTTTTTAAAAACTTGCAGCCATTTCCATCTGAGGTGGTATCGCTTTGATCCACCTTGTCCCAGCAAAGAAGCTATACAAGCACCGATATGCACTAGAGGCCCTTCTTTTCCAACACATAATCCAGCGGACACGGCCCCTATGCTACCCAGGATCTGCAAATTATCTCCGTTACATGAGTTTAAGTCTACGTGTGGAAAAGCTTACTTACTTTCACCACCAAGGTGTTGGGTGCCAAGATCTCTGGAGCGTCGATACCATTGAGATAAGCCTTTACTTCAGGAATCCCGGAACCGGCAGCAGCAGGACCAAAGTAGACGCACAGAACCGAGGAAAATAACACAAGAACTAGATTGATCCCAGTAAGCAGCAGTCCTGCAAGCACATATCTGTAGATCTCATTGTAATAAATAAGAACACCGACATGGAAAAGAAAAGGAAGAGTGAAAACAAAAGGTTCCTACCTATTCGATTGAAGGAGCTTGAGTGTGATAAGGAGCTTAGCTCCAGCGATGTTCTCCACCGCCAAGTTGATCAGCAATGCCACGAGGCCAGTGAGTACTCCAATGAGGCACGCAAACGTCCATTTCATAATAACGTACTGGAGCACTTCGTAGTTCGTGCGAGCTCTCCAATCCTGCTTGAACACATCATTCTCCACGATCCTAGCAGCCAGGATCCAAAAATTCCAGATCGGATCGAAAGAGAGGAACTAGACAAGTGATCTTACTCGTAATCCAAGCTCTCGAGGCTCGACACATCCGATTTGATGATCCCGGTGAAGGAGAAACTCTCACTGCCCGTAGCGAAGACTGGGAAGTGAGGTTTCTTGCGCGGCAGCAGCGGCTCCTTGAAATCGGTACCGTTGCCATCGCCGCGCTCTACATCCACCAGCGCCAGGCCTTGGCTTTCCATTCAGCGATGCTAGACCTATCCAAGAGCCCTAGAGAAAAAAAGGCTCTGGTTTATATTTTTAAAAATAGTTGGTCCACGTGGTTCAGTGGGCAGTGACAAGTAGTAAAAAACATTCCACTAAAATTTTTGTCCATTCTTTACACAAGAATGTCCAATCGTGTTTAAAGGCCTTTAAACATAAGCCACGTTTATCTCTAGGTCTAGGGTTCAGGGTTTTGGGCATGGCGGGGAGAGGAGCATGACGCGCCTCGCCAAGATCAAGCCCGCATTCCTCCTCCGCAGCATCCAGGTAGTTTGATTTTCCTCCTCGCCTGCGATTCTCAGGGGATTGATTCATCGCAGCATCGATCGCTTCCCTCCCGCTCGATATTTTCCACTCCGGAATGCCAGGCTCTGGCCGTGGATGCCGCCGATGATCGGAATGCCGCGGTCTATGGCGCCGGATGGGATGCGGGTGGCGCGGCAGTGAAGATCGGGGTGTGGTGGGATTTCGAGAATTGCAATGTGCCGTATGGGATCGATGCGCATCGCGTGGGGCTCAACATTGTCTCGGGCTTGCGATCCAGCGGATTCAAAGGTCCCGTGAGCATCTCCGGCTATGGCGACATGCTCCAGCTCTCGCGAAGTGTCCAGGAGAGCCTCTCGGCCACTGGAATTCGTCTCCATCACGTACCATCAGGTCCAAAAATTCTCTCTTTTCTTTGCTTACGTTTTTCTTCTTTGTAACTCCAGGTGGGAAGGAGTCGGAATCGAGTGACAGAGCATTGCTCATGGATCTTATACTGTGGACGATCGAAAATCCTCCTCCAGCGCATTTGTTTCTCATATCTGGAGATCGGGACTTCTCCACAGCTCTCCACAAGCTCCGTATGAGGAACTACAACGTCCTACTAGCGTGTCCGGCGGGAGCTTACATATCTCCATCGCTCCTGGGAGCTGCTAGCCGCGTGTGGTACTGGAACAGCCTTGTGAGGGGCGAGGCGCTGGTTGCTGCGACGTCGTGGAGCATTGACGGTCCAGCTCCGAGGCCGATTCTGCCACCACTTTTGAAAACATCACCACCACCCTCTCCATCTCCCGGAGGTAGCAGTCAGGTTGATAGCGGATCCAAGTCCAGCCAGCAACACAAAATTCCTTACTTCTCAACGCCGCCATTTTCGTGTCCTCCGGTTCCTCCACCATTCTCGTGCTCATCGTCATCGTCTTCTTCGTCCTTCGGTACTGTTCCATCCGTGCTTCCACCTTTGCCTCTGTCCGAAACAGCTCCTAATATATCGCCATACTCTGTCTCTTCACCGAATTTTCCTTCCGTGTCTTCGGCGCCACTCTCACCATCTGTTCCTTCGCCGTCGCAGCCACCAGTAGGGCAAGTTCTTATGATTAAGTCGCAGCCAGCAGCAGGGCAGGTTTCCACAACCAAGCCGCAGTCAGCAGCAGCGCAAGCTTTCACAACTAAGTCCGCAGAAACTATATCGTTCAAGGCAAACTCAGTTCCCGGAAAGTCAGTGAACCCTGCTCCCGACACGAGGCGTGCTGAGAAGGCCAGCAAAACTGAGAGTATTTCGGACGTGCTTGGTCACTTAGACACGCTTTTGAAGGCTCACCCAAAAGGTTTATGGCTGGGAGATCTTCAGGCACAAATGCTCTCCCGGAAGATCCAGTTTGACAGCGATTTCTATGGTCACAAGAAACTGGTTCCATATCTTCTAACTTTACCGCGCCTTGTGAGGGTGGAGAGGCAGCTTATGAAGGACAACAAGACGTGGTCGTACGTGTTCTTCCCGTCGACGGCTCCAGCGTCGGATATGAAGAGCAGCAAGAGAGCCGAGTATCCGATGGAGGTTTTAAGTCAGCTGAATGACCTCTTTCGTCAGTATCCAAAGGGAATATGGCTGGCCGAGCTCCATGCCCAACTAGTGGCGAGAAACATACGTTTGGAGCCCAACTTTTATGGACATGCGAAGATCGTCCCTTTCCTGCTAAGCCTGCCAGAGATGGTGAAGATCGAACGAAGATATATCAGCGACCGGTGGAGCTATATTTTCGTATGGAATGAAGAGGGGAGTGCGAAGCTAGAACTTTCAAGAACAGTTTACAGGAAGCATCTCCCAGTTAAGAGAGGGGTTGTGATATCGGCTTCGAAGCTAGAAGGCAAGACTGGTGAAGCTGATGAAAATAAGCAAGAAGCTTCTTTGCAAGGCACAGAAGACGCCGTCGCGAAGGTATCCAAAAATGCTGAAGCTGCTAAAGAGGGAATCCCTCTGCAAGGCAAAGCTGACGCAACTGAGAAGCACGAAAGTGTTTCTTCCGAGCCCTTCGTGGAGGAAACAAAGAAAGATTATGCTCTAGTAGCGGTAGAAGAGCAGACGACGACACTTTACTCTTGGCTATCAGCATCAGTTTCCGGTTTCTTCAGAAACATATGCCGAAGGTGGTTGTCGCCAAGGGATAAAGCTGAGACACTGTGCATCGAGAAAGGGTGTGACAACGTAGAGAGTATCCCCGCACAACAGGAACAAACAGATTTGGAAGCCTCTCGTTCTCAGGAAAAGCTTGGTCGCAGATCGCGTAAGCGTGTCAAGCGTCCTACTCGCAAGCTGGCTTCCAAAACCTTCGGACTTACACGCTCGGAAGTACTGGCGAAACAGCAGGAGGTGGCAGATTTCTTGGGAACCTCTCAGGAAATCACAGCAGAGACACTGGAATTATCTGTCTCGGGAACCTCTCAGGAAATCATAGTAGAGACACCGGAATTATCCGAGCAGCAAACAGTCGCGGACCAAGGGATGCATGTAACATCAGTCTACGCTTATAGCGAGGAGCGTCTTGTAGAAGACGAAGTGACAATTCTGATCGAGCAGGGGGAAGAAGTTCTGTCAGCCAACGAGGACATTCCCAGCTGTGGCACCGAGGACTATGCTGCTCTGGACAGGCAAGAAGAAGTTTTCCCTGACAACTCCAGCCGTGGTACCGAATTCAGTACGAACGATACCGAGGCTGAAACGGACACGCAACGCGCAGTAACGGACGAACATCAAGAGCGGGGACTTAATCTGCAGCAACTATCCGTGAACTACGAGCAGGCACCTTGCACGATCGGCATAGACACTATCGAACAAGACGATGTAGATTCATCCGGCCGCGAGAAGTTGGCGGCCAGTGAAACCACGTCCTTGCCAGTAGAAGGAAATTATTTCTCTGCGGTGAACGAGAGAAAACCGCCTGAACAGTCCATTGACACGGATAAAGTGCTCAAGCTGTTCCAGTGTTATACTGGAGATGCTGGAGCTAAAGCACAAACACCGGCTGATGATCTTGCCAATAAGGTTCTGGACTTGCTGGAGAGATCAATAAAAGTGGACCAAGGATCTACATACAAGGTACTTATTGTTTACTTTCGCTTCAAACGTTTGTAATTCTTTTTTCTACGCAGAGGCGCTCGTCCACACGCGCATCAGGCGAGAGCTCAAATGTACGAAACCGTTCTTTTTCTATCCCTCAGCTCGTTTTCATGCTCTGTTGATTTCTAGGTACATAGAATGACCGACATCAATCTTAAGGAGTGTCGAACGATTAAGGTAGCATTAAAGCAGTACATTGTTGGAGACTGATGTTATTGCTAGGATGAGGTACAAGACGAACTATGCCGCTTGGGTCCTGTTTGCCAGGGCCAAGAACTAGAGGCGACGATAGAATTAGTGAAGGCCGTGAACATTCATGGAAGTATCCAGAACAAGAACAAGGTAAATTCTTTGGATAATCCATGTGGATAACGACGATGGCTTTTGTAAAGGTTTCAGAAGTCGTGGTCGCAGCACCAAAACCAAAGAGACAATCTAAGGTCAGTTGAAGCGAAACAAGTTGAGCTTACACGGATTTCTTTCTACGTAGAAGAAAACGCGTGCAGTTCCCGAAGTTAATGCGACTACATTGGAATTTCCAAACGAAATTCAAGTACAGGAGAGCAAAGACATTCGAGGTCTAATGGAAGGTGATTTCTTGCAGCCGTCTAGTGCAGCAGAATGCCAACTGAACGTGGATTCTGGTGGGCATCCTAACACATCCAAGGTGAGTGAAATTGAATCTATAATCAAAGATGTTTCTCACAGTGTTTTTGTGGTTGTAAAGAGAAAACCCAGGACCAAGGCTGGAAAGAGCTTGGAAACTCAAATGCCAATTTCTGACAACAACGTAGCACTTCTCAAGAACTTGATACGAGTTTCGTTCTAATTCACCCGGTTTGCAGGTTGTGGGAGAAGTCACTACTGCTAAGCAAAAAGACGATGCTTGCAAGCCACCAAAGAGATCATATAAGGTACGCTCTCCAAACATTTTGACAGACTTGATGAACTTCTTCTGTGGCCAGAGAAAGGGAGACAAAGCAGCCCCTTATGTAAACAGTAACAACGAGAACATTTCTCTGGTAGCGGCAGAGCCGGACTCTCAAGAAGAGGTCATAACTTTATAGTTTCTTTCTCTTTTTTCAACATTTCTTTCCTTGCAGTCACATCCAGTGAAGGTAATCAAAAGAAAAGCAAGGAAACAAAAGGAGGAAGAGGCTCTAACAGCATGACTGTCAACTTAACGCGGCTCGAGGTGTGGACATTCAATCCTTTGGCTTGTCCACCTCGCTCTGGTTGGCAAAGAACCTCTCGTATCCAAATTGCAACACCAAGCTCAGCAGGAGCGCCGAGTAAATACCAACCTTGTACAGCTCCTCGCCAGTCGCAATGGCTTCCACGATCGTCAGCGTCAGCAGTATAGCAAGAGCGGCATACACCGTGATCCTCGACGACGATTTCGCAGCTCGCTTGGTCACCTTCTCGACTTTCTTCGTCTGCTCCTCCATCAATTGACGATTGGCCGCCGGTGGCTTCCTCGATTTCTTGAGCGGCTGATAGAGCGACTTGAAAAAAAGGCCCTCGCTCCTGTCCTGGACGAGCTTCTTCTCAAACTCAGCGAATTCACGCTCGTCGGCTTCAATCTGTGCTCTGCTTTGCGCCATCTCTTGCTCGAGCTCGCCAACATCGGCTTCCATGCTCTCAATCACCTGAGATAGAGAGAGAGAGAACATGATAACTATCGAGAAGAATCAAAACGTTTTCACCTTGGAGCCAATCTCCTCCAGGCCTTTGTTGACATCGTCGGCAATCCTCTGGTACTCGTCATTGGCTCCATCCGCGATGTTCTTGAGCAGCTCGGCCTTCTCCTTGACAAACTCGTCCACCTCAATCTGTCCCTTCTGGAGCCTCACTATTTCCACCAGAGCATCCTGTGCATTCTTATCCCCTCCATCTTCACCACCACCACCACCACTGCTGTACACCTTGCAAAAACTCCTGCTCAACGAGAAACCACTGTTGCGTGGCTTGCAAATCTGGAACGAAGCCGGCGAGCTGTGCTGGAGCAGCCACAACCTGTGTCCAGCCATCGGCTATCTCTCTCTCATCGGCTCTCACCGAGGTTCGATTCCAAGCCGCTTGCAGCTGAAAGGATGTTAAGTTAAGCTATTGATGAGGACAAGGAAGAACAACACAGATGAGGGAATCAGAGGGTTCAGCAGAAACCGCGAGCATGGCAGAGGCTTCCGCTGTCCAGGGTAAGATATACAGCATTCGGGGCCACAGCCCTTTTGCACCGGGAAGTTTCACCACTCCAGCCCGGTCTCGCTGCTTTAAGTACTCCTTGAAATGGAGAAACTGTGCAAGAAGAAAGTAGTGAGGAAAGAAATGAGCAAAAGGACTACGATCTTACCCCATTATAGTTTTCTCCAGACGCGGGAGAAGCGTGCAACCTGCATACCTCGCGCTGGAACACACAGAAATCAAATGGAAAAGTGAGCGAGAAGCTCTCTAGTCTTTAGCAACACTTGCCTCGTTCGAAGGAGAGGTGTTGAAAGTTTGTTTCAAAGACCTCCAGTCCGCTCGTTTAGTGACATCTAGTTTGTCTGGCCACCTGCATGGAAACAAACTAGCTTTGAGCTCCAGAAAAATATACGAGAAGCTTACCCGCGAAGTGGACCGCTTGAAAAATCCTCTCTGCAAAGCATCACTTCGCAGTACTGGAGCCCGCTCTTGCAGAGTGGCCCGCGCCAGAACGACTTAGCCTGTCTGTCGCTGGGCGCTCTTGGAGGTGGCGAGGATGGTAGCGGCGGCGGGGGACTGGGTGGTGGCGGCGGTGGAGGTGGTGACAATGGAGGCAGCGGCGGCGGCGGTGCTTCGGGCGGCAAGGGAGGAACCGGAGACGCTGGTAGCATTGCCTGATCACGGTTGCCACTCACTGAAGCGTTTCTCATCGCCGGAGTCACGGGTGATTGTAGAGAAGACAGCGAAGTTGGTATACCACCGATGGTTACGGAGCAGCTCCTTCGCCGAGGAGTTAGCGCGGCCGGAGAGATTGGATGTAGCGGAGACGAGCCTTGCCAAGTCGCTGCTCGGTCTAGCTGTCCATACCCGGGAAGATTTTTTACCGGTAGTGGCGCTAGCGGAGGTGGCTGCGAGTGAAGCTTTCCCGGTACTGGACTGCCTATTGTGCTAGCAACGCCCGGGGATGCCTGCTTCCTGTTGTACTGAAAGGTTTCGTCATAAGCGCTTCCTTCCCACGCATGCGGCCTTGGCCTCGTTCGACACTCCTCAAACTCAGCCGATGGCGATCGGTAGCACTCATCCCAGGCACGAGACGCTGCTTTGTCCTGTCTTCGTGGATGGTCGCGATAGTGGTGATCGTTTGCATGAGACAACACGGAGTTACTACAGAAAAAAAAAAAGAAAAAAGAAAAAAGAAATAACTGTTAGTCCAAAACTCATGAAAAATAAGAGCTGCTCTTACCTGAACTCGATGTGAATGCTGGGGTCAAAATGCCCGGTGATGTTCTGGAGCGCTGTAGATGCTGCGTCAATCCCATCAAACTCGACAAAGCGACAAGGCCCTCTGGAATTTCGAGCACTTCGCACTTTGGTCACGGCTCCAGTACCATCGCAGGCAATATTGAAAATAACCCGCAGCTCGTTCTCACTCATGTACTCCTGGGGAACGCTTTCTGGCAAGCCAATCCAGAGTGTATTCGTCGGAACATTTTCGATGATATCGAATTTGCTCCGCCTTGTTTTTCCTGCTGGAGCCGGACTTCCCAACGAGAACTTGCTACATAAGTTCTCCAAAGTTGCCGCCACCGATGTCCCGGACGCTGTTCTTGCTGGCGGGGAGTACAAGCTATATGTAGGCGATAGCACAGACTCAGCCGGCATTTTATTCCTGTAGTCCATCACCATGGCTTGGTTACCAAATCTCGCTGCGTTGAGTCGAGCCCTGGCAGTAGCCGCAGTTTCTGAGGATCGAAAGTCTATCACGCAGTACCCGCTTTGACGTGAGAACTTCAATCCGGTGATCTCACCGTACTGCGAAACTGCCGAGAGAATGTCGTCTTCAGAAACTAGAGGATCAATGCGAGCAATGCAAAGGTGTCGACTGCCAGCTTCAGTGCCATAGGAAGATCTATAAGACTCTCTACGCCGTTGCCTTACGTACACCATGACCGCGTTTGCATCTTCTGGAGAATCGTACTGGAGCAGCAAAGCGCTGGATGATATCAGTGTAACTACAGAAGCAGGAGGCTTCATCCCGGCACTTGTTAACTCGTTGAGCAGCTCTTCCTTGACAGCCTGACTGGAGATTCTTCCCACCCAGACATGGCAACTTGAAGTTGACCTTGTATCACTGTCTGCAAATCTCACTCGAAGCGCCTTCCCCCACACTGTAGAACCTTGCATTTCTTCCCGTGCGTCAACTGCGTCTCTGATGTTCTTGTACGCTACTATCCCATAGCCTTGGTCTCTAACTGTAGTAACGCTGTCCAGGTCCCCAAATATACTGAACTGCGCTTGCAGCATCGACTCCGTCACCCCGGAACTTGGCAGAGAAACCCAGAGACTTTCCGAGGCTGTAAAGACGTCCATAGCACCCGGAGAAGACCTCAGCTGTGAAGCTTCGCTGTCAGAATATTTAGAATCCCGACGACTCCAGGTAGTATCTTCCATCCGATCGGACGGCCTTTCAATGGTGACACTTCGTACTGATCTTCTTGGACGTGATTCCTGTTCCCTGTACCATCCATCTGCGTCTGGACTATATCCTCTGCCTGTTCTGTCCACAGCACGCACGGAACGTGAGCAACTGTCACCTTCGTCGGATAGATTAGTGACGACGAGACGGCTTCTTGATCTGCTTAGCAACCTCTCCTCCACTGGCTCTTCGTCGAGTTCCAAGTCTGACGGTGTAAAAGTCCGCAGTGACTTGACCAGTGCCAGTAGCTTAGGGAGACATTCCCCCACAATGTCAGCCTTTTCGATCTTTCGGAACATTCGGACCGTAGAAACAATCCACTTCTCCAAAGCTGGCCTCGGGTGAATGACCTGAGTGGAAAGAGAAACAGTGAGAAAAAACAGTGACTCAAGCGAAAGTATCTACCTTCGATACGAGGCCGGACGTCGCAGGCGATGGTTTCTTCTCCGTGTCTGTGTTCTTCTCGTCTATTTCTTCCACTGCTATCTGCGCCAGAAAGTGTAGAGCATGCTTGCGTTGCTCTGGAGCATCGGCACGGAGAAGCTCAAAGCAAGACGCAATCACGTTCTCCGGGTCGTTCCGGAAAAGCTTTGACATCGACTCCGAGAGCACTTGGCCGATTTTCCTGCCACCGGCGCTTGAGCTTGAGCTTTCTTCATCTTCTTCGCAGAGAAGCTCGTTCCCATTCAGCTGGCAAAGCAGATATGACGCAATATTCCGGCAAACTCCAGCACACATGTCACCCAGTCCCAGAAACGAGCCAGCCACCGTGTTAGCTGCTATGGACAGTTGCACCAGCCCAGAGAAACAAGCTTGTGCTGTTTCTGCGATTACATCATCGTGAGCCTTGTCATGCACGAGAATAGAGCTAGTCCAGTCACAAATCTGCAAAATTACCCTTGCAGCCGCGTCAAGAGCAGTCGGGCAGTAAACTGCGTAGCGCGGGATTATCTCCGCTGCAATCCGACGAACGCTCGAGCAACCTGGAAAAACACCAAACACAAACTTTAGACCATCAAAAGAAAAAAAAAACTAAACATCTAGATCTAGACAAGGAAACAAGCGCAACAAGGAAAAAAGAAAAGAAACTAGAGACGAGGAAAGCTCAAAGAAAAGTTCTAGACAAACCTGACAAGCTCGCTCTCTCTCACACAGACTCTCTCTGGAGGATAGAATGCGCACCATTAGCGAGCTTCAAGAGAGTCCCATAGGATTTCTCCAGTTCGCGGTCGAGCTCACGTCCAATGGTGGGGTGCCTGGCCAGGCACGACTTGAAAGCCCTGTAAGCCCTGTAAACGCTGCGAATCTCGCCGCGGTGCCGCCTCTTGACGACCTCTTCCTCCTCCATTTTGGCCGCGGTCGAGATCGTCCCCCTGTCTAGCTCCTCGTCTCCTTCGTTAGCGCTGGCCTCGCCTTCTTCCAGCTCGTCGTCTTGCTGCTGCGGCGGAGGTGGAGGCGGCGGAGGCTCGGGACTCATCTCCATGTCTTCCGATGGATCATACCTGGGAGAGATTTCGGGAGGAGATGGATTCTTCACCGCTTCCTCATGCCGCCGCTTCTTGAGCGCCGGCTCCAGCTCCGCCATAGCTCGTCCACTTAGGGCTCCTAGTTTGCTGGAGTGGAGAAGAGAATCGAACTCCTCACCGAAAACATTCCAAAAATACCCTCAAAACTGGGATTCGAACCCGGGACCTAGAATCTTGGACTTTTGGCGCGCTTTCCCCGTTATAAAAACCCCCAAGAACAGATGAATCGATAGAATTTATTCTAGCATTCACGAAGAGGATGAGTTCTACCATGAAGTTTCTAGCTCTAGCTCTTCTCTCGATCGCGATGCTCGATCGATTTGCTCGCGGGGACCTCGATCTCCCTCCTATTCCCCTGGAAGCGCTCGCTCCTCTCACGGGCGGGATTCCATTGCTGGGCGAGTGCCTGGTGGGCGATGTCGAGGTTCCAGCCAAGTGCCTCGACGTCTCCCTAACGCAAGAATTTGTCACGGATTGCTGCGCGGCGCTGCTGGATCCGCCCATCCTGCTCGATTGTTCTTGCGAGGTGATCCAGCTGCTCGAGTCATTGGATCTGAACCTGGCTTGCCTCCAGAAGCTTTGCCCGGCCAGTCCTCCAAAGTGATTGCCATGAACTCCAGGTAAAATTTGTGGGAGTGATCGTAACTAATAACTGTAAAACTCTTTGCTCTCTTGTTCTTCTATTTCTCTTTGGTGAGATCGAATTCATAATAAATTATATGGTTTTACCTGATATTCTGTTCTACTCAAACCTTTAAGAGTTTGATCAAAACTATATTATATTCTCGAACTTTTTAGGTCTTTACCAAAGTTTAATGGGTTGTAGATTTTAGACACGTGGCGGACTCTGGGCCGCTCGATATTGTGACGCTCTCATTGTTCTTCCAGAAGAGTTCTTGCGAGGGAATCGAATGTGAGTTTTCTAGCCCTTTCGCGTCTAGATTTGCGCCAGGCGCGAATGCTGCCGCTAGCAGCGGCATCGTCATCCAGCGAATTTCGCATGCGCGCCGCTCGCATCGGTGGATTCAGGGCACTCGAATGCTACTGCCAGGGCGCGGGCTCGTCCAGGTCCAGGCAGGGCAATGGCAAGCGCAGATTTGGGGCTGGGAGTAGCAGCAGCGTCAAGAGATCGCAATCGAGTGAGAGGAATGAGAGGATTCTTGGAAATCAGGGCTTTGCGGGATTGGCGGCGCTACTCCAGCAGCGTGTGGTTGAACAACCGAAGAATAACGCACGGCAAAATCAAGAATCTCCGCGGGAGAGCAAGGAAGTCGCCGTGGAGAATGTTTTCACCAAAGCTTTCAAGGGTGATCTCCCAGGCGAAGACGGAGGAGGAAACGAAGTTTTAACAGCCATGAAGAAGAAGAAGAAAGTTGACAGTGTCGTGGCCAGCTTAAATGCAGAAGAAACTTCAAAGAAGAGATCTTCGATTTCGTCTTCTTCTTCTTCTTCTTCTTCTTCGATTGCTACTGCAACTTCTTCCGATCAATCAACGTTTTCAGAGGCAGTCTTGGCAGCGTTGCAGCAGTCGGCGCTCGAGCGTCAACTGCAAAAAAACAAACGACGGACCATGACGAGGAAAAATCGTCGCGGCAGTGAAGGAAGTGTCAAGAGCGAGGACCCTAAGAGCGTTATCGACGGCGTCATGAGACCGATCGTCGTAAAGCCCGAGTGGGGATCAAAGATCGAAGACCTTGAACGGAAGCTGGATCTCCTCAAGCAGCAGTATTATAAAAAGTTTTGAGGTAACGAAAGTTTCAACCTTTTTCTCAAACTTGATGATGGATTTCTCCAGGTTCTTACATTTTATTGTGTACGAAAACTCGCTTATAGCGAGCGTTTGAGAGGTAAATCTCAAACACAGAGCTCTAAGAAACTTTGGATGTCTTTTCAGCCATGAACTGGACGGTAAACTGGAGCAGGATCTTCGCCTGATCAACCTGTCCTTCCATGTACTCGAAGCCATGCGCTGCGTTCTTGAGGAACAAGAGCAGCACGTCTTTGTTAAGACTTTTCAAGAGGTTGAAGTACTCGAATTGTCTGTCCTGGAGAGAGCCCCGGCCAGGGACCACGAGCAGAGCCCGTGGAAACTCGGCCTCGGACAGACTCTTGGCCACCTCGTCCCCAAAAGGATTGGAGAAGTGGTGGTTTCTATCAGCTCCCAGCGGCAGACAATACTTCCAGAGCTCGTCAAGCATGCCAACGGGTGCAGCCATGTCCGTCTTCTCGAGCTCCACCTCCGAGGGAGTCCGTTCCTCGCCACCGAAAAGCGGATTCACTAGAATCAGGCCGTGCACGGGCAGCGACTTTTCTCTCCGGCCCAGCATGACGTGGTGGATCAAGTTGGCTCCAGCGCCCTCTCCCATGAGGAAACACTGCGAGAAATCTGCCAGGGACACGATCCAGGGATCCAGGGGCTCGTCCAACTTAAACGAGTGAGAGGAATCCTTGTGACCAGCCAGCCACTGGAGAACTCGAGCCCCATCTTCGTAAGCCGCTGGAAGCCGGTGCTCGGGAGCTAGCCTGTAACTGACCGAGACAACCAGCGCGTGTGCTGCTCGAGCCAACTTGGCGCAGAAGTTATGGACGTAGAGAGTGTCGGCGGTCCACATACAGAAGCCTCCTCCATGGAAGTAGACGATGATCGAGAGGGTTGAAGCCTTACAGGCCGAGTGAGCGGCAGGGAGGAAGATTCTAACTTGGAGGCCGGTGCCGCGGTCTACGAGCACATCTCGCGTGAAGCTACTCGAGTTTGCAGCTATGGAAGGAGAGAGGATATCGGACCTTATAACGGATCCATCTGGAAGAACATCGAACAATCCAGGTACTCCCGTGTAGTTCAGTGCTAGCAGCTCACTAGATTTGCAAGCAGCCATTCCAGAAGGACCGAAGGCTCGTGAGCCCAAGAAACGCTCGTGAGCCTGAAGAAGTCAAGGAAGAACAGGTCACTCAGACAAAAGTTCCATTTTTTCTTCTTTTTGGAAGCTTTGACGCACATCACGCAGAGAGACGAGAAGAGGTATGAATTATCGTTGATACGAACTAACAAAACTTGTTTTTTTTTTGTTTGTTTCTCTCACTTTTTTACAATTTTTTTTTCTTGTGATTTACAGCCACGGATGAGCAGCAGCGGAAGCACGACTATCGCTTTGTTTCGAGTTACTTCTGCTCACAGCCCTGCTCGACGAAATCTCCCTCTCGGCTAGCCGCTGCAACTCCGGCCTGTGATCTCTTCTAATGTTCCACAGCGCCTCGGCAACGCGTTTCATCGAGGGCCTGTCCGTTCGCTTGGGTGCCACACAGTGCAGCGCCAGTTCCATCATCTGCTCGATGATCACGTAAGTGTCCGGCGTGATCTCCATCCGCGGATCCAGAGCCTCGTGAAGCTTGCCTTCCCGGAACTTCTTATACGTCTGAAGAGATCAACGAAAACAGTAAAACCCGAAGAACAAAATCACGTTATGAGTGAGAGGAGAACGTACCCATCGTATGGTCACTCGCTCGTCGCCATGCCGCATGAGCTCGATGGGCCTTCGTCCGGTGATGATCTCGCACACGAGAATGCCGAAAGAGTAGACATCGCTCTTGTCCGTGAGCTGGTAAGTGTGGAGATACTCGGGGTCGACGTACCCGGCGGTGCCTTTCACTTGAGTGGAGACGTGAGTGGACTCTAGGTCCGCAGGACCGGTTCGCGAGAACCCAAAGTCGCTGACCTTGGCGCGGAAGGTGTCCGTGAGAAGGATGTTGGTGGACTTGATATCGCGGTGGATGATGGGACGATCTGCCAAGAACAACAGTGGTCTCGCGAGAATAAGTCTGGGCGGCGGCAGCGTTGTAGCGGTCTGGTGGAGAAATCTTTAAAAAAAATCGTGCTTACCAGCGTAGAGGTGGAGATAAGTCAATGCGTGCGCTACATCGATCGCGATGTCCAGTCTGGTGGCCAAGTGGAGCACACTTCCATTTTGTCCTGGTTTAGCCAAGGTCTTTAGAGGATTGAGCTAGAGAAGAAAAGTTCTTACATACCATCTAGGTGTTGGCGAAGATTTCCATTTGGGACGAACTCCGCGACGATGATCCTCTCGCGATCCTGCTCCAAGTACCCCAGGAGCTTCACGAGATTCAAATGCTCCACATTGCCCAGCATTTGGATCTCGCTCCTAAACTCCTGCGTGATTCTCGACTCGAGATTGTTCTGTGAAACCGCCAATCTTGGTTACAAGCCGCGACAGGAATCGCGCAAAAAAACAAAGAAAATTTCTCCTCTTACCTTTTTTGCGCGCTTGACTGCCACGACCGTGCCGTCGCGCAGGCGGCCCTTGTAGACCGTCCCAAACCCTCCCTGCCCGACGAGCCGATCGGCCGAGAAATTTCCCGTAATTCTCAGCAGCTCCGCCATGTCGAATCGATAGGCAATGCTCTGATCCGGCGCCTGGCGCGAGAAGCCGCCGTGGGAGAAAGAATTGGAGCTGTCGCTGAAACCGCGATTATCCGAGTGGCGCTGCGCCTTGATCGGTGCTCCATCCTCCAGCACGGCGGGCTTGAGGCAAGTCACGGATCGCGACAGCTTCCTCAAGATCATTGTCATGACACCATTCCCAAAATCGCGAAAACCTAGCTATACGAACGATATTCCACTCATACATCGAATATACCCGCGTCAACGGCTAAATATTCCACGCGCCAAATTCAAAAGTCAACGAGGGGTAAATATTCGTGGGCAAGGCAAATGAGATGGAATGACAAGGATTTCTTCGTCAATGCCATCAAATCGTGCATAGCTGCCAGGGATCTACCCGTGGCCAAGAAAATCCACCGTGAAATTCTTGGCACTAGCGACTGTAGATCAAACACCTTCCTTGCGAATCTCGTCGTCGACATGTACAACAAGTGTGGCAGCCTCGAGGATGCCGAGGCTGCGTTCCACAGCATCTCCCACAAGAACGAATATTCGTGGAACATTATGCTCTCGGCATATGCCCGGTCCGGGAATATCCGCAAGACGGAGCTTTTCTTCCAGCGGATTCCCCATCCAAACAACGTGAGCATCACAACCATGGTCATGGCACTGGGCGACCATGGTTTTATCCAGCACGCATGTAATTTGTACGAGACCATGGATTTACCTGACGTGATGAGCCAGAACATCATGCTCCAAGCACTTGCCAAAAACCGGCATTTTGACGAGGCTAAGCAAATGTACAACGACATGGCCACTAGAAATATTGTGTCATGGTGTACGGTCCTCCAGGTAAATGTGGAGTGTGGCCTAGCAGAGGATGTGGAGTATGTGTACGGACGTATGCCCCAGCACAATGAAGTGGCCCAAAGCTGCCTGATGCAAGCATATGCCCTGTCTGGGCATATTCGAAAAGCATCTAAGCTGTTTGGTGAGATGCCAGAGAAAGATGTGGTATCTTGGACAGCACTGTTAAAGACTTATGCCGAGGCTGGGATTTTGTCTAGAGCTAGGGAGGCTTTTGATTCCATGCCAAAGAGGAATATTATCTCATGGAATTGCATGCTCCAAGCATATACCAACACAGGGCATCTTTGTGAGGCCGAGACCTTGTTTTATTCGATGCCAGCTTGGGACGTCGTGACGTGGACGTGTCTCATAGTGGCATATACCCAGAACAGGAATCTTTCCAAGGCGTTGGACGCGTTCCAGTGGATGCCTTTGAGGGATACCGTGTGCTGGACGGCTGTGATGCAAGCATATGCCCAGCAAGGGTATCTACAAGAGGCCAGCGCCATGTTTGAGAATATGCCTGTTCGAGGCTCGGTATCTTGGAATGGGATACTCATGGCCTACATAGAAAACGAGGAGTTTGACTCTGCAAATAAGATATTTGTTAAGATGCCGTTCTATGACATTGTCTCTTCCGTTTCGATGCTCACGGCATATGCCCAGTGTGGGCATATTCTAGAATCCGAGAAACTCTTTGCTGGCTTGATATTTAAAGATCTCATTTCATGGACGGCTATGATTTCAGCGTACTCCACAAACGGTCGCGTCGAGGAATCTAAATCGGTGTTTACGAAGATGCCCTGCTGGGACATTGTCACGTACAGTGTCATGGTCCAGGCATATGCCCACAAGCGGCATATTCTCGAGGCCGAGCAAATCTTCCAAACTATGCCGTTCCAAGACGTAATCGCCAGGAACACAATGGTGGCGGCATATGCCCACTGTGGGCATATGCTCAAAGCACGGAGACTATTCGATGGAATGGAGGATAAGAACTTGGTGGTGTGGAACTGTATGATCGGGGCTTACGCGGAGCACGGCCCCTGGAGCGAGGGCTTGTGGCTGGCTCGCTGCTTGGATCTCGATGGAATCCGGCCAAACGACACCACATTCTCGATGATCCTCACGGGATGCAGCCACTGCGGGATGCTCGAGGGCGCGCGCGCCCAATTCCTGGCGATCCAGGAGCTCTACGCGATGGATCCCAAGCTGGAGCACTTCACCTGCATGATCGATCTGCTGGGGCGATCGAAGCGGCTGCGCGACGCGGAGGAGCTGATCCACAGCATGCCCTATCTGCCGGATCCAGTGGCGTGGACGACGTTCTTGAGCGCGTGCCGCCTCCACAAGAACCAAGAGCACGGGGCTAGGGCGTACGGAGAGCTCCTGGAGGTCGAGCCCGAGGCATCGGCGCCGTACATCTTGATCTCCAACGCATTCTAAAAGAGCGCGATCTTTGTCGATGACACGTGGCGGCGTTCCAGCGGCCAAGATTTGCTTCTCTACAGTTGGCCAGATTTTTGGTTTCTTGGTAGTACGGAGTAAATATTCTAGGCTGTGGCGCGCCGCGGCTATGGTGGACGGCGAGGCGCTAGGGCGCGCATTCGTCCAGAGGACGCCCGAGAAGTGGGAGCTCAATCAGTACTGGTACTCGGCCGCCACCATCGCCGCCATTGTCAAGGTGATCTAGATCGTCATGGATTTCTAGGGTGTGTTTGATCCGGATCTCGATCAGATCTCCCTCGCGCACAGCACAGTTTCTTCATGAAATATTGGTGTCTCCCAGGAAGTCGAAGAGCGCGCTACCAAGGCCGCGTTTCTCTCCACTCCCAGCGTCTACTTCTCGCTCAAGGATTTGCAACTGAGGAAATGTAGCTTCGTTTTCGATGTAAGGATCGTCTCTTTTCTCTTGGTTGCATTGCAAATCTTCCCTTCCACAGGTGGACGCGCAGTGGTCTCGATCGCCAAACTACGTGAAATGGGATTTCAACAAGCCCAAGGAAATCCCAGAGGCTTTCCACCATAGCTTCGATTTCGTGGTGATTGATCCTCCCTTCATCACGTCGGAGGTGTGGACCAAGTACGCAGAGGCTGCTCGATTGCTCCTAGCAGAAAACGGTGAGAGAAAAGAAATAATCTCTACTCGCGGCAGCTAAGCTCCGACATTGTCACAGGAAAAATTCTGCTGAGCACGATCATGGAGAACTCGCAGCTCCTGGAGCGAATGCTGGATGTGAAACCGCAGGTGTTCCAGCCGTGCATTCCACACCTTGTCTACCAGTACGTGTTCTTCACGAACTACGACGCCACTAACCTGGGTGTGCCCAACCCCGAGGTAGAGCAATAACATAACTTCCAAATTTTTTCTAGGGCTCTTGAGAAAGATGTCCGTCACCCTCACGATAATGTAGCCAAATTCGAGGGGCATTTTGCAATTCCTACAGAAGAGCAAGTTGGATAAAAGCAAATAATTTTGTGGTAAAACCTTTTTCATGAGTTGGTTTTTGCATGCTCTTTGGATTGGATGGTCCGTCAAGAGCTTTGTCCCTCCATATAACCCGGGCTTTCAGCCAGGGTTTTAGGCGCTCTCTCTCTCTCTCTCAGTTCCTCGTGATCCAGGCGGCATTCGCGAGCATTTCCTTCCTCATTTCGGAGTAACCTCGTCTCGCTCTGGTAAGATTGTCTCTCCAATCGATCGCTCTAAGATCTGCTTTTGGTGCTCTAGCAATGGCCGCTGCCGCTGGATCGTGCTCCATGGTGCCCGCCGTGTCCTTTGCTAGCGTCGGATCCCTTGCGAGAGCTTCCCCCGTGGTCGGATTCAGGCCCAGCGCCACTGTCTTGACAAGCAAGCGGGGTCGCTCCCTCATTTCATGCGCGGTATGCTTCTATATGCCTTTCTTCTAGTGCTCGGATTTTTCTCCAGGGGAGTGTGATCTTCTGCTTTCACAGGCAAAGCCAGAGACTCTTGCTTCAGTCCAGAAGATCATCGCCACCCAGCTCTCGATCGATCAGTCCAGCGTCACTCCGGCCGCCAAGTTCGCCGATCTTGGAGCCGACTCGCTCGACACGGTAATGGATCTTTCGCTCCTTCTTTTTGTTTTCTGACTGGATGCTTTGATTCGTGCTTTGATTCGTCTCCAAAGGTTGAGGTGATGATGCAACTCGAGGAGAACTTCAAGATCAGCCTGGGCGAGGAGGGAGCCGAGAAGATTGTCACCGTGCAAGACGCTGCCGATTTGATCGAGGATGTGATCGCCAAGCAGTGAAGAAAGCAGGCAACGCATTCTTGCGGCGGATCAATGGCATCGTTTTTGTAGTTTAATAATTCATTTTCATTACAGATCCGTTGACTGCATTTTTATTCTTTCTTATTCTTTCCTTTCTTTCTCAGTGATCGTAGGAAACCATTTTTCAATTAGAGATTGAACGTGTGCCAGAATTGTGGAAGTGTCATCAAGAGGGACAAGAGCCACCAAGGTGTAAGCAGGACCTGCAGAAGCTCTGCCTAGAGATCCAGCGAGTACAGGATACTAACAATGCCAATCCAGCTCGGTTGAGCATGGGGCCACTTAGTTTCCTCAGCCGGCTAAAAGAACACTAAGAATCCTCACAGCAAAGAGGCGCACAACAAGTCTTAATAGCCCAGGTGCCGTGTCTCCGCATGCAAACATGACGACTCCATGTCAAGGCGTTTGTTCAACAGCTCATTTAAATTATCTGCCATTCTTCTAATCCCCAATTGCGAATGCCCGTCCTCCAACCATCTCATCTTTTTATGCGACTGCCATCTAACTTAGTTGCCCTTTCATCTCCAAATTACTTGTTTTGTTGTTTCCCAACTTTGGCACATTACTTTGCTGCCACGTCTAGAGCAGTAGGAGGGAAGTTTGGTGGCAGCAACATAGACAGAATGGAGAAGAAGGCTAGGATTAAGTTGCAATCGCAATAAGATTGTTTACAGTCGACTAGCAATCAGTCTCTGAAGGAGATTAGGATTTTCTGGATAAAGTGGAAAGGGCACTGATAAATATTTAATTCTATACTCAATAGTCACATATATCATTCAATAGTCAATAGTACCTACTTGTTTTTTTTTATTGCCTATTGTGTGGCCATTGGTTGAAATTGGAGTCAGTGTTCGATCTAATTCCTAGCACAAAGGGAGCTTGAGTATCTTTATTAAAAGTTTGTATTGTTTTTTAAAGTTTTTATATTGACTTTTTTTTTTTTCTAGATATGACGTAAGAGTGTGATACATTATTGGTTATGGAAAATTTCATATTTTTGGTTCACATACATTAAATTTATATTTTATCTAAGGGAGCTTGAGTATCTTTATTAAAAGTTTGTATTGTTTTTTAAAGTTTTTATATTGACTTTTTTTTTTTCTAGATATGACGTAAGAGTGTGATGCATTATTGGTTATGGAAAATTTCATATTTTTGGTTCACATACATTAAATTTATATTTTATCTATGCATATATAAACGATCTTTAATATTTTTGGGAACTGTGCATAGTTGATTTATTGTAATACACCATTCTTAGTGCTATTAAATTAATTAATAACTCTATTTTCATTTTGGTGTTTGTAACTCCTTTAATTTTTTCATATTCTAATTAAATTCATCTCACTAACATTGTTCTCAAATGTATGTTTATGCAAAAGAATATTAATGTCTTCATTTGCACCATTCATTTATATATATATCAATTGTATTTATAAAAAATTTAATTTTTTGAGACTCATTAAAAAAGAACTTTTAATTGAATATTTTTTGATTGAGTTTTGAATTTCTAAATTTACAATTTAAATTCATCCAAAAAGTTTTATAACTAATATTAATATTTTTTTCATTTTCTCTTCTACTTTAGAGAAATTAGATATTTTGCATCAATAGATTTTTTAAATTCAAGATTAGAATTTCATGTTATAATTACTTTTAGATAAATTTATTAAAAATTTAATATTTATAAACCATATTTTTTTTAAAAGTTGAATATGTTAAAAATGAAGTCAAACAAAATTTAAGAAAAATGATAATGTAATATATTTAAATAAATATAAAATATATTATCTAAATACTATTAATAATAGATGAGGTTATATAGGTAGGTTAAATTTCTCCACTGCTTAATGAAGAATTTTGTAAAACAATGGGGATAAATAGCACTAAAATTTGTTTATCTAAGATAAAAAATACAAATTTTTGGAGTGTATTGCTAAATTTGAATAAAGGGAAGTAAATTGAAATTCTAGATGATAAAAAAAAACATTTATAATATAATGGGACAAACAGTTTGATAGGACAAATTTCCTTGTTTGGAAAGAATGTGCATAGTTTTGGTTTATGAGGTGGGGACTTTGGCCTATAGTATTTGGATTGAAAAAATGCCCATCCAAGAATGATAATCCATACAGTGAAAAGACCTGGATGCTAGGGCAAATAGAGCATTAGGAGGAAGACTTAAGCCTCTCTATAGTATCCACATGAATGTGAAGGAGACTTCTATTAGGAGTTGGAAGTCAATTTGTGAAATTATGGGAATGGATTTACAAGAAGATGTGGATATAATTCTTCATCGCAATGAGCTATATAGCCTAGAACAACAGCCATATGAGCACATGCAAAATTACATCACCAAGTTTCAGTGCAAAGTGGTGGAAATTCGATTGCTAGATCCAGAAGTTGTTATGACAGATCAAGAGTTTAATGCAATTCTGTTTAAAGGGCTTGCAATTCGTGCTATGAAGTCTCATCTTCATTATATCAAAAAGATTCCCAACATTACATAGTGGCAGATTTTTACTAAGCTCATCGAACATGAGAAAACCGTTATAGGTGAAGGCAATGTTGCTGAGTGGGACAGAATTGCCATGGTGACTTGTGGTAATCAGCACACATAAGCAGGGTGCTCCTCTATCTTTAATCGACTTGGAAATAAGCACTCCAGATAGAGGAGCACCCTGCTTATGTGTGCTGATTACCACAAATCACCATGGCAATTCTGTCCCACTCAGCAACATTGCCTTCACGTATAACGGTTTTCTCATGTTTGATGAGCTGCTGTGTAATGTTAGGAATCTTCTTGATATAATGAAAATAAGACTTTATAGCACGAGTTGCAAGCCCCTTAAATAAAACTGCATTAAACTCTTAATCTATCACAGCAGCTTCTAGATTTAGCAGTCTAATCTCCACCACTTTACGCTGAAGCCTAGTGATGTAATTTTGCACGTGTTCGTGTGGTTGCTGCTTGAGCCTGTATAGCTCACTGCGACAAAAAATCACATCCACATCTTCTTGCAGGTCCACTTCCATAATTTCACAAATTAACTTCCAATTCTCAATAGAACTCTTCTCCACATTCACGTGAACATTGTAGAGAGGGTTAAATCCTCCTCTTAATGCTCCATTTGCCCTAGCATCCAAGTCTTTCCACTCACTGTGTCATCATCGTCCTTGGATGGGCATTTTCTCAATCCAGATACCACATACCAAAAGTCCCCACCTCATAAACCAAAACTGTGCACATTCTTTCCAGGCAAAGAAATTCATCCCATCGAACTGCTCCATGTCTCTGGAGGAAGAAGACGATGCCATCCTGTCCTAGCGTCTATGGCACTGTTCGTGCCAAAAAGAATCTAACCTATTGCTCCGATACCACTCGCATTCCTTCAGTTTAGGGCTTTCTTAGTTTTCTTTCCCGCTGGGAGTGTTCTCATTCTCTATAGAGCACTAGGCCGTGAGGCTTTGCTTCTCTCATCAGCCTGCTGCAAGCGTCGGATCCCTTGTGAGAGCTTCCCCGGTGGTCGGATTCAGGGCCAACGCCATTGTCTTGACAAGCATCCCCAGCAAGCGAGGTTGCTCCCTCACGGTATGCTTCTATATGCCTTTCTTCTAGTGCTCGGATTTTTCTCTAGGGGATTGCGAGTCTTTGATCTTCTTTTTCCACAGGCAAAGCTTGCTTCAGTCCAGAAGATCATCGCCACCCAGCTCTCAATCGATCAGTCCAGCGTCACTCCGGCCGCCAAGTTCACCGATCTTGGAGCCGACTCGCTCGAGGATACTTTGATTCGTCTCCAAAGGTTGAGGTGATGATGCAACTCGAGGAGAACTGCAAGATCAGCCTGGGCGAGGAGCGAACCGAGAAGATTGTCACCGTGCAAGACGCTGCCGATTTGATCCAGGATGTAATCGGCAAGTAGTGAAAGCGTTTTTTTTGGCGGCATCGTTTTGGCGGATCTCACCGAGATTCGTTGACATATTTTATTCTTTTCCTGTGATCAATTTTCAACTTTTTATAGTAGAGCAAACATTAATGTCTTGTTAATTAATCCTCTTCCTGTTAGTGTGCTTTGTTTCAACCTCACAAAGGATGGATGTCTAGAATCTAACAAAAATAATAAATTTTGCAGAAGGAAGCCGATTCTGCCTAGTCCGAGCATGATAAGTGGGAGAGCAGCACAAAGGGGGACGAGGATTGCTCCTCCCAATTAAACCCCACCGCCAACTCTCCCAGTCGCTTCCCACGCTCCACTTCTCCATGGCTCCAACACGATCCCAGCAGCGACGTCCACGCCACGCTATCCTCCCTCCCCAAAACCGGCATCGCCTCCTCCAAAAACTCCTCGGCCTCTCCCAGCAGCCCGGCTCGTCCAAGCAAATCCACCACACACCGGTAGTGATCCACGGTGGGCGACACTCCAAAATCCAACGGCATCGCCACGAAGTAGCCGACGCCATCGCGCAGCATCCCACCGTGGCTGCACGCCGCCAGCACGGACACGAAGGTGACGGCGTCGGGGGCGGCGCCGTACGCGAGCATCTCCCGGAACAGCGCCACAGACTCGCGGGAATATCCGTTCCGTGCGAGACCCCCGACCATGGCGCTCCATGGGATCCTGGGCCGGCTGGAGATCTTGGCGAAGGCGATCCAGGCGTGGGCGAGGCTGCCGCGCTTGCACAGCGCGTCCACGATGCTCGTACCCACGATCGTGTGTGAATCCAGGTCGCATTCCACCGCGAGCGCGTGGATCGTCTCCAGCTGCGATGAATCGGCAGTGATCGCGCTCGCCTCCACCGCCGCCACGAACGATCTGGCGTCGGCGCGCACGCCCTCCAGATCCATGGACCGGAATCTCTGCAGCGCCTCCTCGCCTCGCCCGGATCGCGCGTAGCCAGCGATCATCGTCGACCAGGTCACGATGTCTGGAGCTGGGATCTCCTGGAAGAGCTCCTCCGCTCTGTCGATCTCCCCGGCCGCGACGTGAGCTTGGATCATCGCATTCCAGTCCTTCGTGGGCTCTGGGAGACGATCGAAGAGCTCCCGTGCAGCGCCCACCTGGGAATTCGCTGCGAGGGCCGAGATCATCGCTCCCGCCACGGCAATTCGCCGATCCTCCGAGAGCTCCTCGCGGTAGAATCGCGCAGCCTTCTGGAGATCCCCGCATTTTCCCAGCATGTAGATCAGCCCCGCCGCTACCAGCTGATCGCTCTCGAGACCCAGCGCCAGGATCCTCTCACACAATCGCCTGCCCTGCTCGAGAAACCGCGGTGCCGAGCACGAATTGAGCGCCGCCACAAAGCACAGCCCGCCGGAAGGCTTGATCCCTTCCAGGTCCATCGCCATGAAGAGACGAATGGCCTCGCCGGAGCAGCCATTGTGGTTGTACCCGCGGATCATGGCCGTCCACGCCACCCCGTCTTTCTCATCCGCGCCGTCAAACGCCTGCCGTGCCTCGTCGATATGCCCGTCCAGGGCATACGCCCGGATCATCGTGTTCCACGCGATGAGATCCCGGCAGGGCATTCGATCGAAGAGCGCGATCGCGTTTTGGAGCAGCGATCCCTCGGTGTAGGCCAGGAGGATTGCGTTCCAGGAGACATTGTCGCGGCCGGGCATATGGGCGAAGAGATCAAACGCATCACAGATTTGCCCCTGCTGGGCATAGCCGGAGATGAGAGTGTTCCAAGAGATCGTGTCCCTGTAAGGCAGAGCATCAAAGATATCCCTGGCATCCTGGAGATGGATCGCGTTACCTTGATCAGAGAGAGCACTCATCATCGCGTTCCAGGTGAAGAGATTGTGCTGGGGCATTCGCGCGAAGGCCTCCCGCGCGGAATCCACATCGCCACCGTCGCCGTAGGACGTAATCGCCACCGTCCACGTCACGACATTCCGCGCCGGAATCTCGTCGAAGAGCTCCTTGGCGTGCTCCAGGCGCCCATAGCTCATCACGCCGTGGAGCATCGTCGTCCAGGAAATCACGTCGCGCCGCGGCATCAGCTGGAAGATCGTCGAGGCGGCGTCGAGATCGCCGATCTTGGCACTGGCGGCGATGAATTCGTTCCACGAGACGAGATCTCTCTCCGGCATGGTGTCGAAGATGGATCTGGCACCGCGGGAGGAGCCGACGAGGATCACATTCCAGCCGCGAGTGTTGGTCTGTGGCATCAGGCGGAAGATCTCCCCCGCCCTCTCCATTTGCCCTTTTCTTGCGAATGCCGCGACGATCGTCGTCCAGGAAATCACGTCTCGTTCTGGCATTGCGTCGAACAATCCCGGCAGGGCGTCGGTCTGATCCAGCTGCGCGTGGATCTGTATCATCGAATTCCAGGAGGAGAGATCGCGCGCCGGCATCCTGCGAAATATTTCGAGAGCGTGGTGAGCATGGCTGTTTTGAGAGAAGGCCGCAAGAATCGAGTTCCAAGACAGCGCCTCCCTCTCCGGCATCCGATCAAAGACGCTCTTGGCCTCCTCCAGATGCGAGGCCTGGCAGAAAATCCCTATCATCGCGTTCCACGCGAACAAATCCCGCTGTGGCATGCGATCGAAGAGCGCCGCCGCGTGATGGAGCTGCCCGTTCTGGGCATTCGCCGCAACGATGAGATTCCAGGAGTAGACGTTGCGCTCCCGGATCGCATCGAAGGCGGCGATGGCGTCGGCCAGGCAGCCGCAGATGCCATACATCCGGATGAGGAGATTTCCCAGCAGCCTGTCGTGGATCCAGCCCGATTCCTGGATGAGCTCGTGAGCGCGCTTGCCATCGCCCAGCGCCCGCGCATTGGCGCATTCCTGGAGACGCTGGATGCATTGGTTGTAGACCTCCCTTCTTTCTCTCTTGGCAAGCATTCATCCCATCCCAAATGCCCCAAATGCCCCAAATCCACTAGAATATTCTACGCTGGTATATGTATAGAACACGCTCATTTGTTTAGGGTTTTTGGGCAATGTCGTCTCCAAGCCGGCGCCGGGAGATGGATGTGATGAAGCTGTGAGTTTGTTGCCATCGAGGCTTCCATTCTCTAATCGATCGCGCTATGGCAGCATGATGAGCGATTACAAGGTGGAAATGCTCAACGATGGCATGAACGAGTTCATTGTGGATTTTCAGGGTCCAGCAGACAGTAAGAACTCTCTTCATTCAATTTGGGATAGATCATTCCAGGAATTCTATTGCCAGGTCCTTATGAGAGTGGAGTGTGGAAGGTCCGCGTTGAGCTTCCCGACTCTTATCCCTACAAATCGCCCTCCATTGGATTCGTGAACAAGATCTTCCATCCGAATGTCGACGAGTCGTAAATTTTCTTTCTCGACTCATTGTCTCTGCGACTGACGGTGCTTTTCAGCTCGGGATCTGTTTGCCTGGATGTGATCAATCACACTTGGAGCCCCATGTTTGGTAAAGTTTTTGTTTCTTCAGTCTTTGTTCTTCTTTTGGGTTCGAGCTTGTATTGGTTTTGGCAGACCTCGTCAATGTTTTCGAGTCATTCCTTCCGCAGCTGCTGCTGTATCCAAATCCAAGTGACCCTTTGAATGGCGAGGCCGGGTCGCTGATGATGAGGGACAAAGAAAAGTACGAGCAAAAGGTGAAAGGTAAGAAATCCTCTAGTTTAGCTTTGAAGTTCTGTGGTGTGCTTTGGATTATAGAGTACTGCGAGAGATATGCCAAGCCCAAAGATGCGCAAACCGCTGTGGAAGAGAGCAGTGACGAGGAGATCAGTGACGATGGCTACACGTCGAGCGAAGACGACACCATGGGCTGGCAAGCAGACCCGTGAGGAAAGAAGACGAGAAAACGTCTGATTTGTAAATAGCCAGATTGTACATAACATCGTCTTGATTGCCAAATGTAAGTAGCTCCAACGTATCCATCTAGCACAGGATCGAGATGTCAAAGGGATCACGATTCAAGAGGACTACTAAGGCCGTGCTGGACAGATATGGCCCAAAACACAGCCTCTCAAGTGCGAACATTTTCAAAGAACGAATTATCACTCTAATCCATCTAGGAAGATCAAAGGGTTTCAAAATCACGAGTTGGTGCGAGAATGGTTTTAGAACCACAAATTGGTGCAAGAAACTAACAAAAGAGAGAAGATAGTGAGGAAGGAACTTGGCTGCAATTTACCACTATTTTGTGTTGCAAACAGAAGAAATCTTTGCGTTAACTCAATCTTCAATATTCCAGCCTACTTTACAAGGGATCTTTCAGTGGAAAGTTACTTCCTTTTGATAGTTTTTCTTCTCCCATTGATTCCTTCTTGCGCCTCCTTTATGTGTGTGTGCGCCTCTTGGGTTGTTGTGAGCTCCAGTGGCTCCAATGTTTAGAAGAATCAACTTGCCTTCTCTGCTTCCAAGTTCTTAATTTTTTTATAGACATCGAGTAAGCAAAGGCTCTCTCCAAGGCTCCTTCCAGGTCGTTGCTGATCACGAGTGGGAGATCGAATCATTCTCAGGCATTTGCTCGAACAGCTCGATCGCTCTCTCGGAATGCCCAGAGAGAAGCCGAGGAAATGCAGCAGTTTACGCCAGCTGAAAGGTCTGAATACCTGCGTAGAACGGAGGAGATTCGGGCGGCTCAAGCACAAGAAAGTGGAACAATGATCCCAAGTGGTTTTATACCTAACAAACAGTAATGGCTGATGTTGAACTAAGTATCATTCATGCCTTAATTTCTGGCATGCATGGAAATGTAAACTTAATCTTTTCGTGCTTGGAAGTCAACCACTCGATTTTCTTATGACTGTTTTGTCAACAGTCTCGCTCTGAAGTTATGGTGGAGTTCACTGCGATTTCGCCTCTTTGGAGGAAGCTCAGCAAGCCCGGGATTGTTATCATTGTTACGCTGATCTTATTCGTCTTCGTTACGGAGCATCTTCAGGTGAGCTTCTCAAGAGAAATTCGCGTTAATTGGCTGCTTGGATTTTGAATTGAAGGCTGTGAATTGGAACTGGAACTGGGATTGGACCTGGACCTTGAGCAGTCAGGAGTCCGCTTCTGCTTCAGATTCTCCAGGCTCTTTCTTCAGGCTGCAGAAGAGCGATCTGCGGGAGCTCCAGAGATGTCTATCCCCAAATTCGGAAAATCAATGCCCTTCGTACTTCGCCTGGATTGAGAATGATCTCGCACCTTGGAAAGAAACAGGGATTTCCCAACAAAACCTCCAAGATGCTCGATCCAAAGCAGATTTCCGTGTAGTAATAGTTAACGGGACTCTCTACATGGAGCGATACAATAAGTGCTTCGAAACCCGGGATGATTTCACGCTGTGGGGTTTGCTAATGCTGCTGAAAGAGTATCCAGGGATGGTTCCTGACGTTGACCTCATGTTCAACTGCGGAGATTGGCCACTCGTGTTCAGAGCGGAGCACCAGCCTGAGAAGAATGGATCCTGGCCTCCTCCGCCACTGTTCCTTTATTGCACCAGCAGAGGTGACCACTACGACATTGTGTTTCCAGATTGGTCCTATTGGGGATGGTGAGTCTGAGTGTTTTTGGTCGTTTCGGAACTGAGCATGCACTCTGGTGTACAGGCCAGAAGTTAATATCCTTCCCTGGAGTTTAGAAAAGGGAAAAATCTTTTCTGGAGCCAAGAAACTAGATTGGTCACACAGGCAGCCGATAGCATTCTGGAAGGGGAACTACGACATGGGTCCGGCTAGAGCGGACTTGGTCAAATGCACCGCCAACAACACGCACAACTACAACCTCGTAACATACCACCAGGTGAGTGAATTCTGTCAAAAGGCTTGAAAATGTTACAATGACCTGTGCAGGACTGGTTTGCTGAAAGGGAACGCAATTTTAACAATTCAGACTTGTCAAAACAGTGCCAACACAGGTGTTTCATTTGGTTGATTGCTTGCTGAGGGTGACTCTGTTTCAGGTATAAGATTTATGTCCAAGGAGGAGGATGGTCTGTCAGTTTCAAGTACATATTGGCATGCGGTTCAACAGTCCTACAAATCGAGCCGATGTTTCAGGAGTTCTTCGCCCGGTCACTGATTCCTTTCGTTCATTTTTGGCCTGTGGATAGAGACAACATTTGCAACTCGACTAAGTTTGCTGTCGACTGGGGAAATGCTCACCCGAAGGAGGTAAGACTTTGGATCTCGCCTTAGTCAACAATAGTCCGTAAACCCTCTCGTGCTCCAGGCCGCTGCAATTGGGGAATGTGCAAAGTCATTTCTAGACAAAGATCTCAGCATGGACTTCGTGTACCAGTACATGCTTCAGCTGCTCCGAGAGTATGGGAAGCTGCTCAAGTTCAAACCGGTGCCACCACCAGAAGCGCAGCGGATGACGCTGGAATCCAGCTTGCCCGGACACGAGCTCACACTACCAAGAAATGGGCCAAGACCTCGAAAGGTATGCACGCTGGCCAACAGCATATCCGCTGATATGATGCTTTCCAAGCAAAGAGAAGGCTACAAGAGAATAAAGCTGCAAGCTACATAACGAAAGGTTCATAAACTTCATATTCAATTCAAATTTTACAAGAGAGTTTCACATGCACTACTACCTTGGATCGGCATTCTGGATGATTAATTGATAGACACTCCATACTCTCCAACTCCCTTTGAGGCCTCTCAAATCCTTCGGAAAAGCGATGCTGAGGTTACAAACCTGTCCTTAATGCCTAATAGTGTTTAGAGGTTTAGGTTTATTCTTTTAACATACAATGGTTTATTTGCATTTGTCAAATAACAACGAAGAAGGTATAAAGGTTTTCAGCCAAAAAGTATTGCATATCTCAAAAAAAAAAAAATGACAAAAATGTCAAAAGGTTATTGAAAGCATCCAGGATTCCAGCAATCAGTAGGAAGTAGCAAAAAGTAGAATCTATACCAACGAGCTTATCGAGACGCTCCCTCAAATTCCATTCCCATGTGTTCCTTCTTTAAGCCCATTGCTAGAGAAAACCATACCATCGCTATGGTTCAATAATCACAAGAGGGACTAGAGAATCTGCTTACCGTAGTGGCCTTGCGAATTCCTCTTGGCTTGGATTACATTCTCCACCAGGTATTGCGCCGCCTCCCGCCCCTCCTGGAGATTCTTCTCAAGCTCCACCGGATCGCTCACCCGCCGCCGCTCCTCGAAGATCGATCGTACGTGCTTCGCGGCCGCGTCGATCATCGGCCTGTCGCCCTTGAATGCGACCTTCCGGGCGCGCAGCAGCGCCCGCATTACCGAGCGCGCCTCAGCCATCGCACAAACCCTAGAAATTGCGAAGCCCTAGTACACATCAGCTCCACGTCACAGTGCCACGCAGCCAATGGAAGGCGAGAAAATTGTAAAAGCTCGATGTTGTCATAATTTACACTACCTAGTGCCAAACCTGTCTATAGCCAGTGCTGGCCATTGCTAGCGGTCTGCAATGCAAAGAAATCCAATCTTTCAGCATAAATCCACCAAAAAAGAGGTTTTTTTTTACCTCTTTCATGTTGTAGAAGGAGCCGTGAAGTCCAGCAGGGGCTCGGCCGTTGGCCATTGCGAATCGATTTCCATCTCCAATTGGAATGCCTGCGAAGTTAAGGAAAAGAACGCTTTAGAACAACTTTGGAGCTGTTTGGAAGTACCTGAAGGAACTGGCACGTCTCCAGGAATCCCGACTTTGACAGTGTGGTGGTCGGGGGGAATCCTGTGCTTGCGCTGGAGATTCGAAGGAGCGTTTTGGTTCTCCGATGGAACCGTCAGTGAGGTCGCGCCAATCGCGGCTTTCTCTCGTCGGAGATCGGCCAGAGAGCCCTCGGACCGCGAGGATCGATGAGCATACGTCGTGGACCACGATCTCCCGTTGGAGCCAGCCATTTGCATGATCGCGTCTGCCTGGAATGCCACGATCAAAGCCAAAGCATGAGAAAGGAAAAAAGAATAAAAAAATAAAATTGACTTGGGAGTTTCTTCTCACCTTTTCCGGAGATACATCGTCAAACACATGAGCATGTCCCCCGTAGAATATTGTCAGCTGCCGAGTAGCTGACGTTGTCGAAGTCTTGTGTCTGCGGCAAGGAAAAACATTAGCTTTGTTTCGCAGTGACTCGAAGATGTAGAGTTAGCTTACGAGGGCAGTAAAGAATCTGAGCCTCCATTTTGGAGAGGAGGCTTCGGTCTGTCCAGACTAGCAGTGCGCTCGAGCGCCGGAGGCTCAGCGAGCGGTCTTGCCGACGGCAGCTTGGCATTAGCGCTGTTGATGAGTGCTGCGATGCCACCACCTTGCAAACCTGTTCTAGATCCCTCGTCCGCTGGAGGAGGCAGAATGCTGCTCGCAGGGTTGCGCGAAAACACCCCGCCAGCAGTAGCACCTGCGGTAGCACCCGAGGTGGCTTGCATAGGACGAGCTAGCATAGGCACGCCCGAAGTCGGCCTGGAAGATTCTATCCGCTTCGACGTACCCGTGGACGGATTAAAAACCGAAGTTTGGAGCCACAAGTTACCTCCAGCTTGCGAGGTTCGAGGAGGCTGCATCGTGAGGCCGAAATCACCTGTACTTGGAAGGGTCTCGTTTTCTCTTTGCTTAAACCGGGAAGCCTTGAAACAAGAAAAGAAAGAGAGGGTGAGATATTTCTGTAAGCGAGATTGGAGCAACCATACCTTGCTAGGACGCGAGCCCTCCATCATATCATTCTCCCTGAAAGCAGCCCTGTTTGCAAGCTCCTCCCGTTTCCTCGTAACGTCATCATTCACGCAATTAGCAGCCTTGATGGCATGACTAAATGGCATACCAGCAGGAGCTTTGCCATGGCGCCAGAGCTCTGTGAAAAGACAAGAGACTGTCAGCTTCATAGCTCCGTAGCCGTGACGGAGAAAAACTTTACCCGTTCCTGGGTCGGATGAGGCCGGGAAGCTGGGACCTGGGGCCGACGATGGACATGGCGCCGAGAATGTGGATCCCCCTCTTACAGACGCCTCTCCATCCTCTTGCTCCATGAAGCCACTGTTTTGCGAAACCCTGACCGAGTCCGTCGCCGACAGCTCCGGCTGCTTTGTCTCTGGATTGGGGGCCGCTGACGAGCCCAAAAAATCCCGAAAGACAGGTTGACTTTGCTCCTCCATAACCACTAAGCTCATCTCATCGCCACTTCAAGTCAGCCGAATGGTACAAAATATGTGTGCATCACCCTTGGGTGCCTGGAGCATCGTCAGCGATCACTGTTCGTTAGCTCCAGTAAAAAGAAAAAAGAAAAACGAGGAAGAGGAAGAAACAAAAAAACTGGAAGGGAAGAAATAAATGAAGCCGCTAACCTGGACTTGGAGAAATCGCTTGACTCTCAAAAAGAGGAATTGATGGCAGCAGTGGCAATCCAGGAGGAGCCCAGGCCAAATTTCTTAAATAGCGACCAGCTGTGTGGATGTACCACGAAATCCCGCTCACCTTGCCGGACGAGATCTATCATCTATCTATGGAGCTCACCATAATGCGGCTTTAAACCGGCAAGCATTCCCACTCATCCTCCTGGGCCGCGAGATCATTCACACTCGACTGGAATTCCATTCCAGCAGCCCACTGTACTCTAAGCCCTCTCCATCCATGAGATTTCTACAGACCTACCGTAGCACGGCCCTGGAATCACGAAGAGGAGCTTCGAGCTCACAAGCCAGCCGCCGGAGAGAACAAGACGCGAAGAATCGAGCCACCTGTGGCGCGCCGGCCGCGCTGGAGATCGTCGTCGCCCTTAGCAGGCCCTAGCGGCGAGACAATAACCCTAGCTCCAATCCCGCAAGAACGAGGGATGGGAGGGACAATCCGCTCGCGCAAGCCATAGCCTTGAGCATCATCAGACACAAGCCTGTCCACGTGTCAGGATCGAACGGTCTTACCAGTGCCACATACGGTGCCAAGGTCAGCTGACGGAGATATTTAAAATCCGGCAGATCCAACGGCATGGGACCTGCCACGTGTCGACCAGTTAACGGGAGTCTGCGCGCCCAAACGCGTGCGCGGCATAATACCAAGGCGCTGGGCATTCCAGGCCTGTAAACCGCCAGGATGGTGACACGTGTCAGACAGCCCCACGGATGTTTCGGTGTCGAAACGGCCTCGCCGTACGAGCGCCCCAAATCATGACAAACAACAAATATTTTTCTCATCAAATCCGGGAAGAATAACTGGGTAGCGAATCTCTGTGAGGTCTGGAGGGAATATCCTACAGATTTAAAGCTGTTCTCCGAGAATATCCCCGTGTGCACTGGGCTAGTGTGAACCCGACTGCTACAACACAACGATATCGATCCACGCACAAAACATAGAAAAGCATTTCCAATGAAGGCCACGCCTTTTTAAAATCCCACAAGTCCGGATCAATGATCACGCGATTGTTCTTAGTGCAGTCCACCTCAAACAAGAGATTCTCGCGTTTTTTTTTTGCTTGTTTCTCTCCGGCGCCGCTTGCTTGATGCGTTTTAAGAAGGAACCTTCCAAAAGTAATCCCATGGCTTTCGACTTCCACTCTACAAAGTCCAAAAGTGAAAGGAACAAACGACGAAGGAAAAGCTTACCCCCAAGTTTGATTTTTTCTCCAGGACATTGTCGTATTATCGCACTGGAAGTTAGAAAAAGGAGAGAGAGAACATAGCTTTATGAGACCTCCATGAGCTTCTCGGCCGGAAACGCTGTCTCCGCAAGGTCGATTGCTCGTCCCAAACCCGCTGCTTTGTTTACCGTCTCGTTGTACTCCTCGTCCGGAATGCTATCAGCGACAACGCCGGCCCCCGCTTGAAGATGAGCTAACCAAGAACCATTCTTGTCCTGGGAACTTGTGGGAAACACCATCGTACGAAGAGCAAGTGCTACGTCCATGTCTCCATTGAAAGATATTGAGCCGATGCCACCACTATACGGCCCGCGTCGAGCAACTTCCAGCTCGTCTATCAGTTGCATGGCTCTCACCTGATGGTGAAAACAAAGCGCCCATTAGAGCACAATTTGCCTGTATAAGTACCTTCGGAGCACCGCTAACTGTTCCAACCGGTAGCGCTGCGCGAAGAGCGTCCCACGATGAGAGTCCCTCTTGTAACTCTCCGGTCACCTGAGCATTCAGAAAGTGGAAAATATAAAAAGAGCGAGGATGAGACCATACCGTAGAGCTGATGTGCATCACATGTGAGTAGCGCTCGACTTCCATAAACTTTTCAACCTGCACGGATCCTGCCTTGGAAACCTGCGCACTTAAAAATCAAAATCAGAACAGGAGGAAAACAAAACAACGCGAAGTATATGAACCTTGCCGACATCGTTTCGTCCAAGGTCGACCAGCATCACATGCTCGGCACATTCCTTCTCATCCTTTAGCAAGCTTTCCTCCAGTTTCTTATCCTCCTCGTCCGAAACTCCTCTCCTTCGAGTTCCCGCAAGAGGTCGGTTGATGACCTTGCCCTGCAAAGTCTTCAAATAAGAACAAACCACCAGAAAAAAGCGTCCACGACTTACATGCTTGATGCGTGTGAGAATTTCGGGACTTGATGCGACCAGGATTGAGCCTCTTGCCTGCACGGAACGTTAACACGTTGAATTGACGTAAAGTTGGACACGAACCTGCAGATAAATCATGTAGGGGCTTGGATTGACAATTCGCAACGCTCGATAAACGTCAAAAGGATCCGCGGCGGTTCTCCTCTCAAATCTCTGGCTCAATACTATCTGGAATATGTCACCGGCAAGTATGTGCTCCTTAGCAGCTAAGACGGCCCCCTTGAACTGATCAAGTGACATATTAGACTTGTTGACACGATTCCCATAATGCCCAACCGACAGGTTCACATTTCCGTGGGAAAGCCTCGGCCTAGAAAAGCAGCATCAGAACCTTTAACACATCAAGATGAGATCATCGACCACTTAACACGATGGATATTTACACTTCAGTGTTCTGAACACGATCGATAAGTTCTTGCAATCGCTTCTTTCCGTCCTGAAAAGCTGTATTCGGATCCTCGTATCTCCGGATGTCGACCCAGTGAACTGCATACGCAATCTGAAAAGAAAAGCAATTAAAGTGGAAGATTGCAACAAAGCTCACCTTTGTAACATGATCGAATACGATGACGTCTTTGTAGAGGCCCAAGTGCATATCAGGTAATCCCCTGTCGTCCAAGGGTGCACTAGCAAACGGAATCTTCTTCTTCTCGGAATACCTCACCGTGTCATACGAGAAATAACCGACCCAGCCACCTGGAAAAACGCTGTCAATCCGACTTCCACAAAACATAGCTAGCAACTTTACCACAGAAAACATTTGGAAGACCATCGACTGGCACTGGGCTCCAGTCTGAGGTGATCTCTTCCGGTTCTTTCATTGGATCGTTGACTATCCTTTCGTTTTCGTATCCATCCTCGTGGCTGATAATAGTCAGCATATTTTCCTTAGCTACAATTTCCATGGCAGGCTGCGCCCCTACCATGCTGTAGCGACCCTGGTAAAAAAAATAAAAAATCCAGGCTTTAGAACCGATACCGACACCAGAATCCAAACTTACGACGTTGCTGACGCCGTTTGTATGCTCCACGGATTCAAACAAGAAGCTAGGCGCTTCCCTGTCATCTTCCTTGACCAGGCATCGATAAGCCAGCACAGGAGTCAGGTGATCCGAAAATATCCGCTGGAACAGAGGTACCAGGTTCCCCCTTTTGCATGCCTCATGGAACTGCGCTTGCGCTGAAGAGCCCGATTCAAGATTGAGAGATTGAGATTGCGATCATACCTGGGGAAGAAGCCCGAGCCACGCTCCCGGATCGCCACTTGGTCAGCTGGAGCGGCCTGGGCGCGCATTTTAGCCGCAGAGATCGATCTACATTGGGAATCGGCTTCTCACCTGTGAATCCGGCGCCTTGGGAGATCCACGATGGCCTGGAACTCGAATGCGCCACACGCGGCCATCAAGAACCCTAAAAACCCCCTAAGAAAATCTGTGTTAGACTAACACCCATTGGACAGCGACAAGGGATAATTTTGACTTTTGGCGCGAAATTAGAATTTGCCACGTGGTTAGGGCTTTAGTTTCCAGTTCTAGCTAGAGAGCACCCATCTCTGGTAGCCCGGCCTCGATCCTGGTTTAACATTTGTTTTCTAGGGCTCTTTGATCTCTTTGATCTTGTGAAAAGTTACACTCTCGCTATAGCTGTCTAGCGACGATCACACTCTGATCGACCGGGTAAGTTCATAGTTCCAATAATTGGAGCACGCTATGCTAAAGAAATATCATTTTAATCGTTTTTTTCCTTTCGTTCTCACCAAAAGAATGGTCTAAGCGAGAAACTAACGAGGGTGTCGTTGTCGGTGGCACAGTTCTCGGCTATCAAACTGTGGAGCTCATGTAGCTGGGAAGAGTTCAATCTAATACTTTGATAATTGGCAAGTGGGAGTTTTCCGGAGTTTTTTTTTTCATCGATCTTCCGGCCTTGTGATGGAGAAGAACGAGGTTTCGAGCTCTTTAACGAGCAGCTCCTATGGTGCTTGCCGGATGCTGAGAGATACTCTGGCAGGGCAAAAATGGCTTTTTGCTTGTTAACGCTGAGGAGGAATTTCCGAAAGTTCCTATGGACGGGATCTAAAGGGAAGAGATTCATGTCGGCGGTTGCTACTGAGATGGAGCTCGACTCAATCAATCCCAGGAGCTCGGCTCGGAATCCTTATCCACGGAGGAGTCTCAAGTCTTCGATTTGGGTTAAGCTCACTGTCTTCATTGGAACTCTGGTAAGTAGCTTTCAATCACTTCACTGTTGCTTCTCTTGTTGAGAGGAGGTCGTTTTTTCTTTCCTCTTCTGGACTAAAGTCTTTGGTGTTTTTTCGCAGGTTGTTTTGTCGTCTGGAGTTTTAGCTGCTGTTTTATGGCTCAAGACTCGAGAGCAGCTCTCGAAAGAGATTGAAAGGCGTCTTGTGGCCGTATCGATTCTGAGAAGGGGGGAAGTTGATGACTACTTCATCGGTGAAATCGACAAGATGGTCTTGATTTCTTCGAGGATACAGATTATCAATTATTTGGCAAACCGGTCAGAGGTTTCCAAAGCCACTGCGGAGTATGATCTTCGGTCGGCTATCTCGGCGATTTCCGAATTTAAGAGTGCTGCCATCTTCGATGCGAGCGGAAAGTTGCGGATCGCCACTGAAGATACTTTTGAGGAGAAACTACAGTTTAAGAATCCCGAGATGAAAAGTCCGGTGCACATCGAGCTTCCCATACTTGAAGGCAACACCTGGAGTTATAATATTTCCAAAGGGATTTACATGGTAAGCTTTCGTCTTTTTCCTAGATTTCTCGCCTGTCTGTGGTTTTCTTTTATGAACTTGTCTCTCACCCCGTCCCTCACATTTACTTTTCTTTTTGAGCTCCATGTTTCTTGAGTGCTCTAGTTTGTTTTTTAATGTGATTTGTCATTTGATTGCAGCTTGGCTTTGTGTAGAATGACACTCGGATTGGCATGCTGATTGCAAGGATCAATGCGACAACTCTTGCGGATCTCATTTATGAAAGGATCGGGCTGCAAAAGTCTGGAGAACTGCTCGTCGGGGTTCCAATGAACAACAAAACTTTTCATTTGGTGCTGCCTCCACGCATGAATCCGCACGTCACAAGCTTGCCTTGGAAAACAGCGTTAGACGCTGTGATGCAAAAGCGATCCGGAGTGCTCCACCAACGTGACTACAGAGGAGTGAAGGTGATATGTGCCTATACTCCAATGGGATACTCAAATTGGGGTCAGTGTACAAGTTTGTTTTTCCTTGTTCCACCACCTCGTTTTTATACTCTGTTTTGTTTTACAGTGCTACTTGCGAAAGTAGACACGCGAGAAGCTTACGCTCCCGTTGACAATATAAAGATTGTGATAAGCATTATGATCGTCATAACGCTAATACTTGGGATTATAGCTTCTCTATGCGTTGCAAAGGTATCTTTTTGTTTTTCTCCTCTAGAGTCCTTGTTAATATTCGTGTTTGTCAATTGCTGAAGATATTTACTTCTCCTATTATCGAGCTTGGACGCGTCGCGGCAGCTCTAGGTGAAGGCGACATGGGGGCGAGAGTAAACATTGGATGCGTCTGGTTTCGTGACGAGATCCATGAACTACAAGTGATATTTAATAGCATGGCTGACCAAATATCGAATCACCATGCCACACTCGAACAAAAGGTACCATTGACTTCTCTCTCTCTCTCTCTCTCGCTCTCTCTCTCTCTGATACATGGACTTTCTGTTTCCAGGTGTTCGAGAGAACTAGAGCATTGGCACGGGCAAACGACGAGCTTGCCTCGGAAATCGACGAACGCAAGCGAATTGAGGTGGAGCTTCAAATGGCAAAAGATGCAGCCGTTGCTGCGGACAAGGCCAAGTCCGAGTTCCTGGCGAACATGTCTCATGAGATCCGAACGCCTCTCAACGGTATCATCAACTGCACAGAGCTTTGTTTAGACACACGGACTTCTCTGGAGCAACAGGAGTATTTGGATCTCGTATGTTCTTATACCTTTCGCTTGCTGCTTACTAACCTTTTGAGATTCTAACAGGTTAGATTTTCGGCAAAGCATTTGTTGAGAATCATCACTGATATTCTCGACTTCAGCAAGATCGAAGCTGGAAAGCTGGAGATGGAGGAGATACAATTCTCTTTGTACGATCAGCTCGAGCATGCGGTGTCTGTGCTGGCCGCTCGAGCACATAAGAAAGGCCTTGAGATTGCTTGGAGGGCCGCCCTGGACGTTCCAGATCAACTTATTGGAGATCCTGGGAGGTTGTTCCAAATATTTGTGAACTTGATAGGTAAATTATTATTTTTTTCATTTTCTTTATTTTACAAAAGATGTTTTTCTCGTTCTATACAGGTAATAGTATCAAATTCACTGAAAAAGGCGAAGTTGTGGTTTCAGCTCAAGTGCACAACATCTATCTTGATAGAGTTGAACTTATTTTCGCTGTGAAAGACACTGGTGAGCCTCTATTGTTTCAAGAGTACGAGTTTTACATTCATGTACTGCTTGCTCCATAGGTGTTGGCATTCCAAAGGCAAAGCAATCGTTGTTGTTTCAAGCTTTTTCACAAGTGGACTCGTCCACAACAAGGTGGTTTTTGCCGTAGTAAAACTGATATTTTCAGTTTTATTTCTTTTCTTTTTTTTTTATCTGCAGGCTATACGGTGGGACTGGACTTGGTTTAGTTATCTCTTCCAAACTTGCTGCGGCAATGGCAGGAAAAATGTGGGTGGAAAGTGAAGGAAAAGGAAGCATATTTTACTTCACAGCTGCTTTTGACATTCCACCCTCTTGCGATCTTCCTTTGTCTCCAAAGATCGATGGCTTGAAAGGTATCAAGGCTTTGGTGGTGGATGATCACATCACGAGCCTTGGAATCCTCGTGTCTATGCTCAAGGTAAATTAGATAATTTGTTTACGAAGTGTATTTACGATGCTTACATGTCTCCAGGCTTGGGGAATGATCGTCGAAACAAGTCTCACCGTTGAAGATGCAAAACATGCCTTGCAACTTGCTTCCCACTCGAAACCATTTCAAGTCCTACTGGTGGATTTATGGCTGCCTGGAAGCAAAGCAGCAGAGCTAGTTCACTACGTGCAAGAGCGGCCCGGCCTGATAGGAAAAAGCCGGATCAAAGAGATCAAAAGGCATTTGTCAAGCGGTGGTAGCGTTGGGAACTGCTCTTCTACAATCCAAATGCTAGTCGAAGAAGTCGACCCGGAGTTTCCAGCGGGAACTCACCACACCGATAGGCAGGCCTTCGAGAAAAATGGCTCCTCGGAGCTGCCGCGGCTTGTCGACTCAACAGAAGTTCCTTCCATTATCATGCTTACTTCGATCGACCACACGGACAGTGAGAGGTAAGTGTTTTTTACTTCCATTTTCTGGAATAATAGCTAAAAACTCTTCTCGTATGGAAGGTGTCGGAATCTAGGCGTGGAACTCTACACATCAAAGCCGATCAAGCGTGCTTTGCTGATTCGTACACTACAAGCTGCTATTGGAATTCACAAGAATGACGCTCTAAGGATAGAGCACTCGCAACAAGTACGTTTCTCGATTTTCTTCCACTCTCCTTTTACGTTCGATCGTGCTTCTCTCGGCCAGGCTAAGCTAGAGGCTTCTCCGGAGGAACACAAAAGCCTCAAGATCTTAGTAGCCGAGGACAACATCGTCAACCAAAGGGTGGCCGTATCACTGCTTCGAAAGTGGGGTCACTCGGCCGTGATCGCGTGCAATGGAGCCGAGGCAATCGAGAAAGCATCGCAAGAAACGTTTGATCTCATCCTGATGGACGTAAGAACTTTTGCTCGTGATCTTTCAAGGGCGAGCTTCTAATCTTCTACCTCTCTAGGTGCAAATGCCAATCTGCGATGGATTCCAAGCGACCACCAAGATCCGGGAGATGGAGAAGAACAAAGGGATGTCTTCCACTCCCATCGTCGCCATGACCGCTCACGCAATGTTTGGCGATGGCGATCGCTGCATCGCTGCTGGGATGGATGGCTACATCAGCAAGCCACTAAACGCGAAGAAGCTCCAAGAATTGCTACTGACATCGTCAAAACTTTTGTAAATAAAACCTGTAAAATGCTGTTCTTCATCCAACGGCCAGAAATCATTTGGGTGTGATCCGGATCCAACGGCCACAACAGCGAGGTAATTTTAACCTTTGTACATTTAGCCGTCATTCATACTAAAGACCAGGGATAATTTAGAGAACGTTCATTCTTTTGGTGTAGCGATGGAGGCGTCGAGGTTTCTCGCCGCCTTGGCCACGGCGATGCTACTACTGCTCGGATCGGTCGCCATAGCTCAAGAATCTCCAGCGCCGGCGCCAGCGCCACAGAGCGACGGTAAGAAATCGCGAAATCGCGAAAACCTAGGCGTTTTTGCAAGATTTCCTCTCCCCGGCCCTCTTTCTCGCTCTTTCTTGCTAGATCTTTGCGGTTCTGGGCAATGTAGATTCGATCTAACGGGCTATTCTCTCCAGGGGTCTCGATCGATCAAGGAATCGCGTACGTGCTCATGTTCGCAGCGCTCGTCCTCACATACCTGATTCATCCGCTCGACGCCTTCCCTTACAATCTTTTCTAGAAATCTCGCAAGAAGAACCAGGGGCATCGCGGCGGCGGCAGCATTGTACCATAGCACGATTGGAATTGATCGATTCTTTCTCTTCTTTTTCCTTCTCTCTTCTTTTGATCGTTGGTTCGTTTGCAAGAGTTTTTGATTGCCCAAGTGTGTGGCGAAAGAAATGAAAATGACCAAAGAAAAAAATTCGTCCAGTACAACGTTTGCCAGAGTGTCCACATGGATGGAACTTTAAAGTGTGCCACGATACCTTTGGAACTAGCTTAATTTCTAGGTTAGTGACGTGGACGCCACGTGGATGCCTGTAACGGCCAAAATTGCTTTAGGCCAAGCGAATATGCTCTCGCCAGTAGGGTTTGGGAAGAACGGCCATGGGGAGGAGGTCGTAGCGAGGCGCTGGCGCTGTTCTTGGGAGATTTCTCGATCGCTGGGAAAATCTTGAGCTGCTTCTCTGCGCGATCGCGTAATCCAGGGATGTTTGTGGGAGCAGAGGTAAAATTTCGCGCTCGTCGTGACGGATTTCTTACTCGGGATCAGGTGCAGTAGCTAGTGCCTTGCAGTGCGTGACGCTGGACGGTCTCAAAATGCTGGAATTGAAGAACGGCATTGGTGCCAAGCGATATGTCAAAGGCATCTCTCTGGGAGAAGGAACTTATGGAGTTGTGTTTAAGGCTCTGGATACACAGGTAAATTGGTTCTTCACTTGTTTCTCTTTCTCGCGGATTCAAATCATTCTTGGTAACGTTGGTCTTGTTGTTTTCGTCGCAGACAAATCGCACAGTCGCCGTAAAAAAAATCCGGCTCGGCAAATACAAGGAAGGAGTTCATGTCACCGCATTGAGGGAGATCAAACTCTTGAAAGAGCTCCGCGATCCCAACATCATCGAGCTCATTGACGTTTATCCACACAAAAGAAATCTACATCTGGTCTTTGAATTTATGGAGAGCGATCTGGAAGCAGTGATCCGTGACCGAAACATTCTCTTATCGCCCGCAGACGTGAAGTCTTATATGCAAATGTGTCTCCGGGGACTCGCTCACTGCCATAAGAAGTGGGTTTTACACAGGTAAGAAGTCTGGCACCTTTTGGTGTTTGCTCCTTCTCTCATGTTTTAAGTGTGGCAGGGATTTAAAACCCAACAATCTGCTTATATCTTCCGATGGACAACTCAAGCTTGGGGATTTTGGTCTGGCTCGCATTTTTGGGAGCCCAGACAGAAAGTTCACACATCAGGTGCGTCTGTGGACTCTTAAGCGGAAGCGTGAATGACTGTTGGGCAGTAATGCAGGTTTTTGCACGGTGGTATCGTTCTCCTGAGTTGCTTTTTGGAAGCAAGCAGTATGGATCGGGAGTGGACATTTGGGCCGCGGGCTGTATTTTCGCAGAGTTGCTTCTTCGCAGGCCTTTCCTACAGGTACGGTTAGCACACTCTGCAGGATCATTTTAACTTACATACGCTTTCTTCATTAACAGGGTTCGAGCGACATAGACCAACTTGGAAAGATATTCCAAGCGTTTGGAACTCCGCGAGAGACGCAGTGGCCGGATATGACTTCCCTTCCAGACTATGTCGAGTTCCAGTTCACTCCGGCGCCTGCACTGCGCTCCCTCTTTCCCATGGCAACGGAAGACGCCTTGGACCTCCTGTCTAAGATGTTCGCCTTTGATCCCAAAGCGAGGATAACTGCACAGCAGGCTTTAGAGCACAGGTTTGGTCCTCTGTTTCGTGAATGATAGATTACTGACCGTGCTTTCTTGTCAGGTATTTTTCCACGGACCCTGCTCCAACTAAAGCTCACTTGCTTCTGAGACCAGCTTCAAAAGCCGAGGGTATGAGGCCACCACCGGAGCTGGCTTCTCCCAAGGAACCAGTAGTGCTCTCACCTCCTGCCAAAGCGAGGAGGATATCTTTGTTCCCCGGCGTCGCGGGCGCTGAACACATCCATCACTCGAAAGAATCGAAAGATGGCTCTAGCGCAGCCACGGTTGGCGAGACACCGAGTGATCACAGCGGAATGGCAATGTCCGTGGACGCAAGGATGACCATTCGTCCAACGCTCAGCAGGTAATAAAGAAAAAAAGTTATCTCTTTCTCATTTTACATTCTCTGGAAACCAAGAGCGATCTTTATAAGTTTTCCCGTGTTCTTGCAACAGTACTGACAGATCTTACCTGAAGAGAAAGCTTGACATGGATGTTCATTTCGAAGATGAGAGACACGTTTAGCCATCCGCCTTTCAAATTGTTGCACAACCCGAAGAATAAGCGAGCAAGAGGGATTGCTTCGTAAGTTTTGTACAAGTAGCTCACACAAGGCCGATCAATATTTTTGACGAGAAGAGGTATGGAACTTTTTATCTAGCTCACTCCAATAGCGCTTCGTTTCATAAAAAAAACGCCAGTTGACTGTGTTATGTAAGTTCCAGAAAATATGCAAGCGCCTAGCCGAACGGGCATTGTCTTTACGAACTTCTCGGCCTCGCCAACTTCCGGCCCGATGGAGTTAAACTTTGCTTCACTCCGAGCTTAAATAGCCGTAATAACCTTGTGTTTAATTTGAAGGACAAAAGTATTGCATTTGGAAATTAAATTTGTGGATTTTTAGGGTTTATAGAAACAGAGAGATTAGGGTTTAGCGATGGCTGGCATTGGCGGCACCGGTGTTGCTGCTCACCACGCCTCAATCAATTTCACCAAGGGATTGCACCTCGACGATGCCGGGCCGCGGAAAATGTAAGTGTGTGGCGATCGATCGTCGATCGATCGAAACATTGGCTCATCTGTCGCGGTTTTGTTGCAGCAAGAGCATGCGATTTAGCACAATGTCGTCGGAGGAGGTCACCAAGACGGCGGAAGTCCAGATTTTCGAGCACAGCTTGTACCAGCTGCCGGAAAGGAAGCCTCTTCCTTATGGAGTTCTCGATACTCGTCTGGTAAAAGCCATTTTCTTTTTCTTTTCTTTCTTTTCTCACGATTGTAGTTTCATCTCAGGGTACTTCTAACAAGAAGGGACAATGCACGACTTGTGATGGGAAGCTAGCCGATTGTCCTGGGCATTTTGGCTACATCAAGTTGGAGCTTCCAGTCTTTCATATCGGCTACTTCAAAGACATTATAGTCATTCTTCAGTGCATCTGCAAGGCAAGTTTTTCGTTGCTGGAAGTTGTAGCTTCACGTAAAAAGAAACTCCTTTTTTCAGGGATGCGCTCGCATTCTCTTGCCAGAAGAAGAGCGGCAGAAATGGCAACGACGCATGCAAAATCCTCGGAGTGAAATACTCAGAAAGAAGGAATATCTCAAGAAGATCAACGATCTATGTAAGAAGGTTCGAGCTTGTCCCAGGTGCGGAGACATTAACGGTACGTATTTTCTGGAGCCACTACGATGTGATTATCAAAGCGCGAAATGGTTTTTTGCAGGCGTCGTGAAGAAGTTGGGCTCAACTCTGAAGATAATTCACGATAAATATGCTAAAAACTATGAAGCATTCGAAGAAATGGCACATAAGTTCGACGATGCGGTGAAGGTGAACAAGGAGATGAAGGGGTACATGAAAAATATACAAGAAGATCTCACACCTCTTAAAGTACTTGGCCTTTTTGAGAAAATAATTGGAGAGGTAAAGGCAAGGTTTTTTACTTTGCATATATGAATCCAATAATGCAGGACTGCGTGGTTCTCGACCTTGTGGATAGGCCTGAACAGCTTATTGTCCAACACATGCCAGTTCCTCCTGTTGCAATTCGACCATCGGTGGAAATGGACGCTGCTGTTGGGAGGTACGTGCTTAATACGTTGAGATAAACTATTTATATTCTGTTTTTGCAGCAACGAGGATGATGTTACCATAAAACTTATGCACATTATTGAGCAAAATAATCAAATACGAGCTTGTTTGGAGTCGGGATTGTCAATCGCCAAATGCATGGTATGACATATTTGTTTTCCCCGTCATAGTTATAATTCTGTTTCGTCGTCAGGAAATATGGGACTTTCTTCAGATTCAGGTTGCTATGTATATCAACAGCGAGCTTCCGGGTCTTCCTCCAAATATGCAAACTGGAAAGCCTCTACGAGGTTTTGTCCAAAGACTTAAAGGAAAACAAGGACGATTTCGCGGTAACCTTTCTGGAAAGCGTGTAGATTTCACGGGAAGAACTGTGATCTCACCTGATCCGAATCTTAAGGTGTCTGAGGTACGCTCATTTTTTCAGTGTTTTCTACTCGCTAGCTCATTGGAACTCCAGGTTGCCGTACCAATTCTAATGGCTCAAACACTTACGTATCCGGAGAAAGTTTCTGCTCACAACATTGAGAAACTCAGGCAAAGAGTTATAAATGGCAAGGAAAAGCATCCTGGAGCAAATTTTGTTGTGTTTCCAGACGGTGTTAAACGGTATGTTTATTGTGTTTATCACTGGACGGAACATCTAAAATTGTTTCTTTGCTTGTAGGTTTTTGAAGTTTGGAGATCGGAAACGGATTGCATCGGAGCTCAAGTATGGAGATGTTGTGGAAAGACATCTGGAGGATGGTGACATTGTTCTTTTTAATCGGCAGCCTAGTTTGCATCGAATGTCTATAATGTGTCACAGGGTATGTAGTTTCTAATTTTGTTTTTTCTTCCGTTTGACATGCTTGAAGGCTCGAGTTATGCCCTGGCGTACTTTAAGGTTCAACGAATCCGTTTGCAATCCCTACAACGCCGATTTCGATGGAGATGAAATGAATATGCATGTTCCTCAAACAGAAGAAGCCCGAACAGAAGCATTGACACTTATGGGGGTAAGAATGCTTTGCTTTGCTTTAGATTCAAATAACGAAAGTCGATTTTTCAGGTGCAAAACAACTTGTGCACACCCAAGAATGGCGAAATTCTGGTTGCATCTACTCAAGATTTCTTGACGTCGTCATTTCTTATAACCAGGAGAGATACTTTTTATGATCGCGGCCAGTTTGCTCTTATGTGTTCGTACATGGGCGACGCCGTGGAGCATATCGATCTTCCTACGCCAGCCATACTCAAGGTGGATATTTTTCTCATACTTTCAGGATAATTTTACGCGATTTTGCAGCCTGTGGAATTGTGGACTGGAAAGCAACTTTTTGGCGTACTAATACGCCCGAGTGCACGTATCAAAGTCTTTTTGAACTTCGTGGTTTGCGAAAAAAACCACAAGAAAGGGACAGAGACAATGTGCCCAAAAGATGGCTATGTCTTCTTTAAAAACAGTGAGCTGATATGCGGGCAACTTGGTAAAGGAACCTTAGGTGTGTAAATGTTTTCTTTGCTCTTATCGTAAATTTCTAGCACAACACTGCAGGTAATGGAAGCAAGGATGGCCTGTTTACAGTGTTACTTAGAGACTACGGCGAACAAGCGGCTGCATCATGCATGAATCGGCTTGCGAAGCTCAGGTATTCCAATTTGTGAATTTTTTTCATTTCACTAAACTCTTTTGTTTCAGTGCGAGGTGGATAGGAAATCACGGTTTTTCGATAGGAATTGACGACGTTCAGCCCGGAAGCCGCCTGACCGTAGAGAAGGAGAAGCGGATTGCAGAAGGCTATCGAGCGTGCGACAAGCATATCTCTCTGTTCAACAAAGGACAGCTTACTCTTCAACCTGGTTGTGATGCGGCACAGACTTTAGAATCGGAGATTACCGGAGAGCTGAACAAAATTCGAGAAGCTGCAGGGCAGGTTAGAGTTACTAAGTTGGCAGCGTCTTGCGAAGCTTGTTTTATTTTATTTTCTTTTTGTTGCAGGTGTGCGTGAATGAGCTCCATTGGCGAAACAGCCCATTGATCATGTCCCAGTGCGGGTCAAAAGGTTCTGTGATCAACATCAGTCAGATGATTGCTTGTGTCGGCCAGCAGTCTGTGAGTGGCCATCGTGCTCCGAATGGATTTATAGAACGCAGCCTTCCACATTTTCCCCGAAATGATAAAACTCCTCAGGTATGTTCTGTTCCTTTTTTGTATCAATTTCATCTGACCAGCTTTTTTCCAGGCGAAGGGATTTGTTGCGAATTCTTTCTACTCCGGTCTAACGGCGACAGAATTTATTTTCCACACCATGGGTGGGCGCGAGGGTCTCGTTGATACCGCAGTAAGTCTCTCCTCTCTCTTTTATATCGATTTACTTCCAGAATTTGACGTGCCATTGCAGGTGAAAACTGCTGAAACTGGATACATGTCCAGACGTTTGATGAAAGCTTTAGAAGATCTTTCATGCCAGTACGATGGTACAGTTCGTAATTCATCTGGCGTAATTGTCCAGCTTATCTACGGGGATGACTCAATGGATCCCGTAAGCATGGAGGGTCAGAACGGAACGCCCTTGAATCTGGACCGCGTACTAATGAAAGCTAAGGTACCTTACAAAACTTCTTTGGATTTGTTTCTAATCTGTTATCTCAGGCAACTTGTCCACGGGGAACGACTCCGGCTTTGCCGCCTTCTGAGCTTTGGAAGATCGTCGAGTCTAAGTTTTCACAAGATGGTTCAGAATGCTCTACGGCCTTTCTGGACTCGCTAAGGAAATTCTTGAGGAAGGAGTTCGATACAATCTCTTCTACAAGGAAAAGACTGTCCTTGCCGCTAGACGACTTTGGTAACGTAGACGATGAAAATGTTGCGGCAAATGTTTCTGGGCTCACTTCCAGACAGCTAGAGGTTTGTGAAGTGTAATATATTGTGATCGCTGCCGCTGACGTTCCTATTGCAGGTCTTTCTAAACACGTGCATTGGTCGGTACCATAGAAAGAAACTGGATCCTGGAACTGCTGTTGGAGCCATTGGAGCTCAAAGTATTGGAGAACCTGGAACGCAGATGACCTTGAAAACTTTTCACTTTGCTGGAGTGGCTAGCATGAGTAAGTCTCTCTCGTTGTTCTCTCGCCTTTCTAACTGCCTTTGCTTTCAAAGATATCACTCTCGGTGTTCCTCGTATTAAAGAGATTATCAATGCCTCCAAAAAGATCAGTACTCCTATCATCACAGCTAAATTGGTTTCAGAAAACGATGTGAAGGCAGCTCGAATTGTCAAGGGCCGTATCGAGAAAACTGCACTTGGAGATGTAAGTCAGAAGTTTGTTTTGCTTCTTATTTTTAACGGTTAATTATAAACCAGGTTGCTAAGAGCATAAAGATAGTATTGCGGCCCGGCCAGGCATTTGTCTCAATTAAGCTGGACATGGATAGAATTTACTCTCTCCAGCTCGATATCAGAGCTGAAACAGTCGCAGAAGCCGTTCTCAAGTTCCCCAAGATCAAATCTATGAAACTCAAGGAACAGGTAAACTTTTGTGTTCATTGAGCTAACATATACTTGGCCTTGTGTGCAGCACGTTAAGGTGAACGACGACCGAAGCATTTCCTTAACAACACCTGAGTCCGACCGGAAAAAGATGCTGTTTGCCCTTCATTCACTGCAGAACATGCTTCCCAAAGTCATCGTGAAGGTAAACAATATACTGTCTCGGAACCATCTCAAAAAAATGGCAGGGAATTCCGACTGTTGAGCGAGCGGTGATAAACCAGGAGAAAGGAAAATACAACCTCTTGGTCGAAGGGTAAGAATCACTTTTTTTTCTTGATTGATCATCTCTTGTTTCTTCTTTTATGCAGCACAAATCTCAAAGCGGTCATGGGTACCGAAGGCGTCGACGGGAGAGAAACGACGAGTAATCACATCTTTGAGACTGTGGAGGTGCTTGGAATCGAAGCAGCGCGGAATGGAATCATCAAAGAGATTCAGTACACAATGGGAAGCCATGGAATGAGCATCGATCAACGACACATGATGCTGCTCGCGGACGTGATGACTTACAGGGTAAATGCTGAAGTCCTCTTTCTTTTTTTCTTTTTTTCTTTTGTAACGATTGTTTGATCCATATTTCCAGGGAGAAATTCTGGGGATCACGAGGTTTGGGATGGCGAAGATGAAAGACAGCGTTCTCATGCTCGCATCGTTCGAGAAGACGACGGATCATCTCTTTGCCGCGTCTGTCCACGGGAGAACCGATCAGATCGAAGGAGTGAGCGAGTGCATTATCATGGGAATTCCAATGCCGCTTGGCACGGGGCTTTTCAAAGTCAGGCAAAAGTAAGTTCTTGGAGTTTTGGATCTTCTTCATCAATTCTTCTTTCTTTTAATGTGTTCTTCGCAGAGTTGGAAGAATTCCAAAGCTTATTTATGGACCTCCTCCGCTCTTTTCTTGAGAAGAGAGTAAAGACGAACTTACAAGTGAGATAGAGTCCCTGGGCGGTGGATATTATCAATGCGGATGGGAACTTGCGAGAAGACGTGGAAGGGGTTGTGGTGACGATGGGGATGGTAGTGGGAGAATTCGACGATGAAGGATGTGTTCCTACTTCCGGTTCTCACTCTGCTTTCGGGACTGGACTCCCTCGCGCTCGCTGCTATTCGCCGTAAGCTTTCTCTTCTTTGTTTGCTTTCGTTTCTAAAGTTTGTTTCCATGGTCGCCTTTCTTTTTTGTTGGAGAGCCTGAATGCTTCCTTGCTCTGCTTGCTTGTGCTTCATCTTTCGTAAGTTTTTGGTCAGCTTCCACTGTTTTTTTTTGTATGCCTCATAACAACTGACTAAACATGTCTCTAGTGCAGTCGGCTTGGACGCTTATGTTCTTGGATCATGGCCTGGAGAGGCCAGTTCAAAATTTTTACAGGCGAACGCTGAGCGATAGTCGAGCACGAGCTCGTTGCCATCTTAATGGCCGTAATGCTTACTCAGCTTTATATCACAACATCAGACAAGGTACGCCAATTACAGCAATTTGAAGAAAGCAAATGAGCGGCAATGGTCTTTTGAGAAACAGAAAAACAGTGTCTTCTCCCTTTCTACTGTAAATATTCTTTGTACACATTTGGGAGAGACAAGGATCGTCCTGCCGTCAGTAGGAAACAGTGATTCGAATTCTTTGCTCCTCCTTTTTCATTGCTATAGAATCAGTCCTCCTCGCTTGCACGGTCTTATCAAAAGCCCAAATTCAAGTTCAAATCATCAGTGATAACTAAGAAAAGCAAAAACCAAAATAAAAATAAATCTTTTTACAAAGTAATTGATATCCGATTTTTAGTGGATATAATTTATATAATATTCATAAATAAACTTTGAAGTATATTATAATATCTAATATTTTGCATTTAAAGTATATTAATTTACATTCACCAACCATCTTTATCACGGTAGTAAATATGTAATTGTAAGTTTTTAATATATGTGTAATAGTGATAGTTACTTGCTTTATAATTTTAACAGATTTTATGGAAACTACAGTTTATATTTTTAGTGTAAATATAGAAAGAATAGAAAACTAACAAATCACTTTAACATCCACTTGTAACAAATGGCTCGCCTCAATGAAAACAGCATTACAGATAAATAGATAGATAGGACTAATTGAAGTGTTTCCTTTTCTTAAGGTTGGGCTTTATCAGATGGATGACTTGAAAAGATGAAAGCAGCGACAACAAAATGCCCAAGCTGCCATGGCCGGCATTCACATTCGAATCCCACCTTCGCTGCGGCCACCTCTCTCAGGCCCGCCACATCCTCCTCACTCGCCACGCCGCAGATCCCTTGCCCTCATCCAGCACAGTTGCAATGTACACGGCCCTCATCGGAGCCTACGCTCGCAGCAACGACCCCCTTGCAGCATTCACCCTCTTGCGGCAAATGCAAGCCGATGGAATCCCTCCCAATCGCATCACCCTCGTCGAGATCCTCTCAGCCTGCACAGCTCTCCACTCCATCCACCTGGGCGATCGCATCCACCAGTGGATCATCGATCTGGGCCTTCACCGAGACTCCGTCCTTGGCACCGCGCTCCTCACCACTTTCGCCAGATGCGGCAGCCTTGATCGCGCAAAGGCCGCCTTCACGGCCATCGCTCGCAAGGATCTCATCGCCTGGAACGCGATCATCACAGCCACCTCTCACTCCAACCGATCCCACGACGCGCTGGATCTCTTCCGGAGGATGCAGCTGGACGGGATCCATCCAAACGCCATCACGCTCGTCGCGGTGCTCTCGATCTTCCAGGAGAGCTCCACAGACGCGAGGGCGGTCCATTCTCTGGCCATGGAGAGCGCGATGGACGCGAGTACGGTGGCGGTCGGGAACTCGATCGTAAACATGTATGCTCGCTGCCGGGATCTCGATCGAGCTCGCCTGGCCTTCGCAAGGATCCAAAGCAAGAACGTCGTGAGCTGGAACGTGATGATCTCTGCGCACTCTCAGCTCGATCGTCTCCATCCTCTGGCAATGTTTCACGCGATGATGCTCGAAGGGATCAAAGCCGACGCCACCACCTTCGTCAACCTTGCGTCTGGACTGGCCGCTCCATCGCCGCTGCGCGATGGAGAGCTCCTCCATCGCTGTGCGCGCGAGCTCGGAGGTGGAAGAACTTTGATCTACGACGCCGTGCTCGCCACCTCTCTCGTCACCATGTTTGCGAAGTGTGGAAGCGTCGCGCATGCTCGAGAGATCTTCCGCGAGAACTTCCATTGCCATGAAAGAAATCCGGTAGTTTGGAACGCGATTATCGCAGCTCTCGTCCAAAACCACGACTTCTCGGACGCTCTGCTGCTCTTCCGGACCATGCAGCTCCAAGGAGTCCCATCGGACGCCATAACTTTCGTGTCCACGATCGATGCTTGCACAGCTCTGGAAGATTTCCCCACTGGCCGAGCTCTTCACGGGATCATCTCCGAGTCGAGCTTGGAAACCGATACTATCGTCGCCACCGCGCTCGTCAACTTCTACTCAAAGTCCCGCCGCCTCGACGCCGCCACCGCAGCTTTCCAGCGTATCCACGAGCCGGACCTCGTCGCTTGGAACGTTCTCATCGCGGCTCACGTCGACAACGCCAACTCCTCCACGGCACTCGAGATCTTCTTCCACCGGATGGAACTTAAGCCTGACCGGATCACTTTCATCACCACTCTCGCTGCCTGCGTCACGGCCTCGGCTCTCCCACTCGGTCGCCGCCTCCACGAACAGATCCGGCAGCGAGGACTCCACTCGGACGTGGTCGTCGCCAGCGCTCTCGTCGACATGTACTCCAAGTGTGGTAGCCTGGAGGAAGCATACCAAGTTTTCAGCACCATGGCTGGGAGAAGGAACTCGGCTACCTGGAATGCGCTGATAGCCGGGCACGCACAGCACGGATTCAGTGGCCGAGCTCCGAGCTTGGTCCGGGAAATGCAGCTCGAGGGAGTGGAACCCGATAGCCTAACTTACGTGGGACTTCTCCTGGCTTGCACCCACGCCGGGCTTCTGGAGGATGGTTGCAAGTTCTTCGCGGCGCTGGTGGAGGACAAGCGTTTGGCGGTCAAGGAGGAGCACTACGGCTGCGTGGTTGATCTTCTGGGCCGTGCTGGGAAGCTCGCTGAGGCCGAAGAGTTTTTGCTGGGTTTGCGAAGGGCCATGCCGGTTGCTGTGAGTGCTGCAATGTGGACGTCGCTTCTCTCGGCTTATGGAGTTCATGGCGATATGGAGTTGGCGAGGAGAGCTGCTCGAAGAGTGCTCGACCTGGAGCCTCGCCACCCTGCTGCCTTTGTCGTGCTATCGAATTCTTTGAGCCTCTAAGATACTTTCCCGCTTCTGTTGTTCGATTCTCTGGATAATACTCGAGAGAGCATTGCAGGCAGCGTCGTCGTTCTCAGTTAGAGGCTTGAGAGCTAGCAAGCGCTCCATAAAACCAGCATCTGAGAAAAACAGAGAAATATCAAACGTTTGGGTCGATGATTTTACCTTCGCAAAGTTCCTTGGCAAGGGCTGGCTTCTGCGAAAGAAGGTTGGCAACCAAGACCATCGCCGTTACTGCTGCCACTCCGACCTGCAATCAAAAGCAGTCGATCAAACGGGGAAGAAAAATCTCAAAAGAACTACTTCGTCCTTCCAAGAAAGGTGGACAACTTGAAAGACTGCGGCTTTCAGTTCATTGTCGTCCGCGATGGATCCGGAGAACTCATCCGAGAGAGATACCTCGAGAGCGAGTTGAAGCAAAGACTCAAGAACACTTCTGTCAAGAACAAAAGGTTAAAAACGGAGCTATAAACTTGTAAGAACCAATATGCCTACCCAGTCAAAATGCTGCCTTGCGTGATCCCCTCGACTTGGGAGGTCGTGAGTTTTGCTAGCAGACTCACAATGCCCGACTTGACAAGGCCCGGAAGAAACACCGCGGCCGTTTTCTTCTCGCTGTCCACCATCGTGAGCAGGAGCTCCAAAACTTTCTCTACCAGCTGCTCATTGAGCGTGTTCTCTGCAATCCAAAGTATGTGCTCCAGGGTCTCTTGCGTGTTTATCTCGCCAATCCAGTTCTCGATTTGCTTGCTGTGTAGCCCAACGTTGATCAACCTGTGAAACAAGAGCATGAGTTATAACACAGGCCAAAGTAGCGTTTCTTGAGAACCCTTGCCTGCATGTTTCTACTAGAGTTTGAGCGTCTGTGACAAAGAGCTGCAGCACCACTGTGGATAGCAATTCTCGATTCTCAGCAATGACTCCACTGAGTTCCTCGTGAAACGCCAAGTTTCCAAGAATTCCCAGGCAAATCTCCTGACAGAAACTTGGTTTACGAGCTATTCAAATCTCAAAACAAAAAGAAAAAAGAAAAAAGAAAAAACCAAACCCGGATTCTATCAGACTTTGGTGCTTGCAAAATGCCCAGTATGACATCGAGGATGTAGTTATCGACCTGTACACCGAATCACTTCACGAGAAAAATAAACAAGAACTAAAGGAAACACACTGGAGGAACGGACGAAAACTAACCATGAGCTTCGCAAGGGAATCGTTCGCTGCCAAGTCCCACAAAACACAGCCAGCTTCTGCGCTTGGATCATCCTTTGCAGTGTCTTCTGTTGCATCGAATTCATCGCAAGAGCTTTGAGGAATCATCTCGCGAATAAGATGGATGACATAGCTCGGATCCACAAGCGTCGAATCGCAAAGCTAGAAAGAAACACGAGCAAGCATTCTGGGCACTCTTAAGATCAAATGGACAAAGTACCTCCTTTCCGCCATTCTCGATCTCCATAAACCCTAGCTATAAGAAGAAAAACAAAACAATGTTCTCAATAGTTAAAATCTGAAGTTATATTATAAAATGTATTTAACGGAATTTATCATTGATATGATGATCCTGGAAGTAACACATAGCGATATTTGACATTTATATTAACACTGCTTATAACTTAATAATTTAGTGTATATAGCAGTAAATCAATATTTGTGTATTTTAAATAATATTTATATTTATTTAAATTTTGTGATAGAATACAAAATAAATTTTAGATTATTTTGTTTAATAGAATGAATGTTTAATCTTAATCCATCATAGTACTCAACTTAAATTAAATACATAATACAACAATATTTACTATCTTTAACATTTTGGTAGGGACTTTTAATATGGACTTTCACCATTTATACTCATTAAAATATATGATCTTTAGTAATTTTTAAATTTAATAATTATTATTTTATAACTAGATAAAATTTTAATTATACAAAAAATTAAATATGATAATTATAAAAAACGAAGCGTGATCTCAAATATTAATTTCGTTGAAGATACAAAATTAAAAAATACATCCGAATGTTTTGATAAACAACTTAAAATTTTAAAAAATATATTTAATATTAAAAATTCACAAATAACCATATTATAGTGTCTTAAAATATATAAAGTATAATATTAAAAATTATATAAATTTTTATTTTTAAAATATATATAACTTTTGTGATTATTATACACTATAAAGACTCACACAAAATTTTCATGTAGCATTATTATAATGTGAATGCTAATATAACCGTATTTTAATTGTTAAAGATTAAACTTTTGCAACTATATAAAAAATATTTCATGCTCTTACTTAAAATTTAAAATTCTTCAACAAAGAAATATAAGATATTCTTTATATATATATATATATATATATATATATATATATATATATATTTATATATTTATTTATTTATTTATATATTTATATATTTATTTATTTATTTATTTATATATGTGTATGTATGTATGTATGTATGTCTATGTCTACATATACATATATAAAAATATTATTAATAATAATATATTTAGTTCTGTGAGTGCCTAGAATATAGAAAGGGAATACAGAAATGTGCATATCAATTAGCCCAAAACCCCTAGCTTATATACAGGAGTGAGTGGTCCGGATTGAAACTAATCCGACAGCTACCAAAATCCCATTACACTAATATTAGTATACGGCATTGTAGCTATACACTTGGCCCTCACATCATCCCCTCCTCTCGGAATAATGGAAGGCTATTAGGGTTCTCTTGTAGATGGGCCGGGATCTGGAGGAGCGTCAGGAGGAGGCATCAGCGGATTTGTAGACGACATTAACTACTCTTGATCCCTTTGTATGAAGCTTTTCAACCACTGCACATGCACAATCTCTAGAGGATCGGTCTGTTGGACATTATGCCAAACCTCATAAACTTGCAGTCCAACTTGCCACAACACCCGATATGGTCCTTTCCACTGCACAAGGAGCCCCTTAGATAAACCACATATCGTAAAATGGGGAAAACGAACTAACACCAAATCATCCACTTTGTACTCTGCAAGTGGATGATGATGGGAGTTGTAATGCCGTTGTTGTCCCACTTGTACGTGGCCTAAGTGTTCGGCAGACTCTACTCAGACAAGTGGAAGAATGCTCATTAAATATTGATCCCATGACCTAGCATTAGGAGCTCGTGGCAATTGCGAAGGTAAACCTAGCTCCGTTGGTAATATTGGATCATGACCATATAAAAGTTTATATGGTAAAGCACCAACAGAACTCTGCACCCCTGTGACATAGGCATACCGAAGAGACGGCAAATAACCATTCCAATCCGAATGCTAAAAGTTCACATACTTCGCAATCATCCCTTTGAATGTCCGAACGAGCCGTTCCACCAGACCGTCTGATTGTGGATGATAAGCACTCGTAAAAATGTGGCATATGCCCAATCGAGACATCAAAACATGAAATACCTCAGCCATAAATGCAGGACCATTATCCGAAAGAATCTGCTCCAGACAAGAATGCTGGAACACCACTCGATTAAGGAGGAAGTATCCAACAACAGTTGCAGAGGCATTAGCAAGAGCACCAACTTCCACCCAACGAGTCAAGTAATCAGAAGCAATAATAACATACTCATTGCCAGCAGGCGACCGTGGAAAAGGTCCCATAAGATCAAATGCCACTAACTCAAACGGACGGGAAACCACAATTGACTCCAACTGTCTTTCCGCAGCACGAGGGGAAGTATTACAAGCTTAGCACCAAACGCAGCTACGCACATATCGGATAACATCACATCACATCTCTGGCTCATAGAAAGACCTGCGCAGCTTCTTAGTCACATGACGATGTCCCATTTGCCCACCTAGAACAAGAGAATCATGGTAGGCATGGAGAAACTGCGGAATAAAGACAAAAGGCACCACCAGCTGTAAATGATCATTAGGATCCATCCCCACAAAATAAAGAAGGCCATTTTCAAGGCGATATTGAGAATGTAAATGCCGAAAAGGCAAGTCATCAGCAAGTGAGGCAGAATCCTTAAACGCATCTCAAAGCCTTCGAATCCACGGCTCAATCTTTTGAGCCTCGCAAACCTCATCAAGAGAAGGTAGATGTTGCTCTGCACCTTGTGGACACTAAACGTCAAGTACAGCAACCGCCGTCGGCACAGAATCCTCGTCTAGAAAATCCACAGATGCTAGAACAACAGGCTCATTAGAAACATGAGAAGAGAGTGGAGAAGGAACAGGAGCTCGAGAAAGGGCATCAGCATCAACCATAGAACTCCCTGGGAGATGAACAACATCAAAATTATATATCTGAAGCTTTCAAGCCCACCGAGCAGTACGACCAACCAGGTTCTTCCGCTTTAATAATGAAATAACGGCAACATGGTCACTTTCAAGTAATGTCCGAGAACTATATAGATATGCATGAAGTTTCTTGAAACCCCAAATTGCCGCTAAACACTCCTTCTCTGTCGTTAAGTAGTTCACCTCTGCTGGTTGTAACATACGGCTTATATATGCAATGGGATGACGCTGACCAGGTACACTCGAGCTCTCTTGCATTAACACACCTCCAAGACCAATATCAGAAGCATCAACACGCAAAATAAAAGGTCGAGTGTAGTCAGGATATGTCAAAACCGGAGGAGTCGTCAACAACTCCTTGAGATCTACAAACGCCCGCTCACAATCTGAAGACTAGATGAAAGATGACGTTGATGACTTCAGCAACACTCGCAACGGTGCAATGCAATCAGAAAGATGATCCACAAAACGACCGAGATACTGCACCTTGCCCAAGAAGCGCTGCACATCATTCACACACTTCGGAGTAGGGAACTTTAGAACGGCTATAAGTTTATCAGGATCAACTTGCAAACCCTCACGAGAAATACGGTACCCAAAATAAGTTGTGTCCTTGAACCCAAACATGCACTTTGACCGCTTCAGCTTTAAACTAACATCCTGTAACCGATCCAACACTTTACACACATCATGAATGTGCTCCGCCCACGTCCCCTCCGAATGAATCAAGACATTATGAATGAAGTCAGCAGCCACCTCTGGCATATCACAAAGAACCTCGTCCATCATCCATTGGAAAGTTGCTAGAGCATTGTTCAAACCAAACGACATCACCAAGAACTCGTACAAACCAAACGATGTACGAAAAGTAGTTTTAAGAATATCTTTGTCAGCCATTGGTATTTGCCAGTACCCAGAAGCAAGATCTAGCTTGGTGAACCAACGACTTCGCCCTAGACGATCCAAGAGATCAGCAGTGTGAGGAAGAGGGTACATATCCGGGATTGTCATTTCATTTAACAAACGATAGTCGATGCTGAAACGAATACTCCCATCAGGCTTCGTCACAAGATGAGATTCACATGCCTAAGGACTCCGTGACTTCTGAATAACACCCTTCTCCAACATCTTCTTGACGTTTGCACGTAAAATCTTAATCTCCTTGGGTGACCAACGACGAACAAGAACCTTGATTGGATAAGCATCCCCGGTTGGAATGGGATGACGTGTGGCAATCTTGGCCCCAAACGATAGGTCAAATTCAAAGAGATCAGAATACTTCTTCATGAGCCGGTCAACAACTACAACACAAAGAACATTGAAGGGATCGGAAAAGGGAAGAGCAGAATAAGATGGAAACACAAGAGGAAATAGTGGGGGGACAAAAGTAATGGAAGCAAAGGTAAAAGTAAAGGGATGAAGAGGTACGGAAGTGAGAGGAATGGATGAAACATAAGGAAGTATGAGACAAGGGGGAGAAGCCTCAAAATCACACTTGGCATAATTGCGCTGCAACCAATCCATACCAAGAATGAGGTCAAAAGCCTGACTCGGCACCACCTGCAACAACTGCAACTCAACCTCGAGATTGCCCACACGCATAACCAGGTCCGCCTCATCTCATGCACATGCATGTTGTAAGCGACTAAATTTTTCCATTCTACTTTAGTCACTTAACCACACCTTCGACCACTTGGAGGAGTCTCATTCACAACCTCCATAAGTCCCACTCAGGATTTGGGGCTTGCTAGCCCCGAGAATGGCATCCATGCCACTCAACCTTTGCACTTGGTCCCAGTGCTCCACGTGTCCAGTCCCATGACTGACACCCCAAGGCACCACCAACATACTAGCCTGTTACGCTAGGCCATGCCCAATCACTTTGGTCACATCGGTGGTCCAACACCACCTACATTGCAATCCCGTCTTTCCAAGATTAGGCTATCCGTCCATGAGTGGTCATCCCAGATCCACTCTTTAGCATCCTTAGGATGCCCGCAGACATGGGGAATAGCCTTCCCCAATATCTCCTTTCTGGTCCCCACCAAGTCCCTTTCTGTCCTTGGCCCTGTTTGCCAACACTGCCACTGGATCAGGGCCCACAGGCCCAACCCCTAAGTCCCATGGTCCTCTGGGACTTCCTCACCGCACGACTGTATCCTTGGTCACTACACCAGAGGACTACTCCTCTTCCTTTCCACAGTCTGGGCTTTTGGGACAACATTTCAGAACACTGTGGCCTTACGCAAGCCTCGTGGGTACCTCCCCGCCTTCTGCCTTTAGGTGCTCTAGCCATGGGTGTAGAGCAAGGTTCCGTTGAGCCACACCAGGTATCCAAGTAGGTAGTGCCACCCACACTTGGACTGGGAGCATCGGCCAGTCGATCTCCCAGGGGAACTAGAGCCAGCTCTTGAACACTTCACTAAGCTACCCCGCTTGTCGGTCCGTATTCACTCTAATCTTGGACTTCCCAGTGGTCAATTCATCACCCAACACTGGGTCTGGCCTTCCTGGGCCAAACTAGCCTTTCCTGGCCAAACTAGCTCCACTGCAGTCCTCCCCCTACTATACTTTTGGAGCTCACCAAACCCCCCAAGGTCTGGGAGATGAACGCTTTGGGCTTTCACCCTCTCAAACTTGAACTCGGACTCAGACTCGGACTCGAACTCGGACTCGGACTCGGACTCGGACTCGGACTCGAACTCGGGCTCGGGCTCAGGCTCGGTCCCGGTCTCGGTCTCAGTCTCGGTCCCGGTCTCGGTCTCGACCTCGGACTCGGGTCCTTCTCGAACTCCATCTCAGATTCCATCTCGGGTCCATCTCGGACTCCATCTCGGGTCCATCTCGGACTCCATCTCGGATTCCATCTCAGGTCCATCTCGGACTCCAAAGACGTTTAACTCCAAATATCCCAAGACTCTTAACCGATTAAAAAAAAGGGTGCACTCTTGTTCATAGGCCCTTTCCCTCTATATTTGAACCTTTGTGGATCGCCTCTCGAGTCGTTCCCTTTAGTTGCTTATAATCTCATTCCACTATCACATTTATTTGACTTCACTATATCAAGGCTAAATGTTATGTTTAAACTTGTTATGTTTATCCTCACTCCACAATCTATGTTGTTCATCTTTACTCCACTATTATATTTAATTGTCCTTATTTTATCATTAGGGCCGGACTCCCATCTATCCCTTCTACCCCCTCTTCCAAAGAAAAGAATGTTTGAAATGTCGGGGCAAAAAGAAGAAAACAAAAAGAATTGAGAAAAAAACCATTGTAGAATAAGAAAAAGTGGATAAAGAAGCATTAGAAAAAGAATTTAAAATAATTAGCAATTCAGAAATAGGAAAATCAAAAGAAACATATGTGCTCAAAGTTTAGAAAATAAGAGACTTTCTATCATAAAATACTTCGGCCACTATAATATTAAAAAAATATTCATACTGTTCAACCTCTTCAACACATAACTCAACACTTGAAACAAGAAAATTCATAGAAATGTTTACACTCTCAAAAGAACACATAAACTCCTCAATAACAACAATAAAACAAAGGTTATCAATAGTACTCACAATTAGGGATATGCACTCAAATTAAAACTTTAGCCAAAGTGATTTAACTTTTGGAACAGGGAATACTTAATGCTAGAACTAATCAAAGACTCTACTAATGAAACAAAAGCAAGATTCTCAACTTTATGCATATATATAACATTTAGATTAGTATGAAGAAGATATAAAACACTCACCTCAACACTAGATTGAAAATAAGAATTATGAGAGTCACAAATGATCGATGTGTTAGGAAAAGAAAACACTACAAATGAGAAAAATATACTAAAAACATGATAAGGTGGCTTAAGTTGAAAAATAAAAAAAGGTTAAAAAAGAGTAGAAGGTAAAAAGAAATGATCAAATAGTAGATTGAAGGATTGACACTTACTTTATGAAATTTCCACTTCATCTCCAAAGCTATCTTCATAATAATTAAGCTTGTTAAAACAATATAAAATCCACTTAAGCTCATACACATTGCCTTTCCATAAATTTGATCCTAGAACATTCTCCAAAAACTAAACTACATCATCCGTAACTCGCCTAATGTCACAATTATACTCCATATTAACAAGAGATGGCAGAACACCAAGAACAGAACAAATTGTGTAATCACATTCCACAAAAGTTAGAGATGATAACACACCAAGAATGGGTGCAACACTAACATTATCACACTTTACAACACTAAAAGTTCGATCTAATGAAGCAATATTAGCAGCCTTAAGTGACATTCCTTAATCAATAATGGTGTAACATGGTGGGAGAAGAGAATGCAATGAAGATCAGAAGAAAGAATAGATTTAAACACAGTAATATCTAAAATTCTAGATCTTACAAATAGTTAATAACAATTTAAATTTAAAAAGAATGAAGAAACAAGAATAAAAACAAGAATCCCAAACACTTGAGCAAAGCATTGCTAAAATACTTTGCTCTTCAAGGACAAATTGTAGTGTCCCTCACTTTCACCAAGAATAAGTATATTAATTAGGGTTTAGATATATATAAGAATAGATTGATTAGATTCAATCTCAAATAGATAGTCCATATACTTTAGTACTATAATTAATATATTACCTAGGCAAAATAATATATGTGTATACATATATGTATTTACAAACTCTACTATGTATATTAATGATAATTATTTTATTTTATTAATAAAAAATATTTAGTATTCAGTAACTGAATATAGATTTAGCCTGAAATTATTTTAAGCTTAGTATATTGTTTAGAAAGTGTATAATAAATATAAAATATATGACTATTTTAATTTGTGCGATGTAAGTTTAATATTATAAATTTTTATTATGATTTATAAGTTTATCTATTATTTTTAGTATTGTAGTTTATTAATATTATTAAGAAAATAAGTTTACAAGTACACTAAAGACTAATTGTTCAAAAACTTATATAAACTAATTATACTAAATAAATACATATGGTATTTATAAAATTATTAAAATAATTTATAGATTTAAACTACTTTTAAAATCTATAATAAATTAAATATTAATATTTAATAGTTTATTAAGAAAAATTGCATGATAATGCAAAGAACTATATTACAATTTAAAGTTATATATAACCATGTAACTAAGGTTCATATCTTTTAATTATTTTGCTAATTTCTAACTTTAATAGAATCTATATTTAATTATTTTGCAATAAATACCCTTAGTTATAAATAACTTATATAAATTAATTTTATTGAGTATATGATATTCATTAAAATATTAAGTACTCGATTTATTGAGTTAAACTATTTTTTAAAATCTGCAATAAATTAAATATTTTTTATTTTAAATATTATTAATAAGGGATAATTTTAATATTTACTTTTTCCATAATTAAATATATATATATTTTTGAATGTATTACGTCACAAAAATAATTAAAGGATATTAATTTGGGTTCTATGTGGTTGAAAGCTAGAAACAATAATAAAGAAAGAATATAAAAAAATAAACTTGTAAGGTTTGTAAATATATATATGTATATATATGTATTACCCTAGCTAGGTAAAGTAACAACAAAAAATAATAAACACAAAAATAAATAAAGACTGAAAATCAAAAAATATGAAAGACATATAATTTTACCTTACCTTTGCATATGAGTAAATACTTCTTTCTAGTAAGTTTAGAGTGCAACTACATATTCCTTTTAACAACTTACAAGAAAACCTAATTGCATGAGAAACCATAATATTGTGGATGGTTGGGATTCGGTCTTCCGGAAGAGTAAGATGATCCAACGGCTGGGATCGGCGAAGGCGAGCCAAAGGAGATAAAGGACTAGCCATGGCCAGCAGCCATGGCTTCCGATTCCGGAATTAGGGTTGTGAGAGCCGTTGGATCGAGATGACAAGGGACCTGGGTATTTTTCGTTTGGCGCTAGGGCTCGAGCACAAGAAGAAGCGATGGAGGTGCTGAGGCGCTCTGGATCGTCGCTACCGATTGCTGCGGCACGCCTAGGGAATCGCAATCACAATCTCCTCGCCTCGCTCAAGAATCGTCCGCCCGGCGCTGCTCGCAGCGCCATTGCGCAGAGTGAGGTTTGTCGTGAATCGGAATCCAGGACAAGAATGTGAGGGATTTGGAGCAGCATTTTGCGAGCGGCATGGAGGATCACATCATGGAGAACGATGGCGAGCCTTGCCCTCTCATCGGCTTTAGGGCAGTTTGCAACAAGGCGCAGGGCCAGCTTGATCCGGCTTCTCCACACGCACGCAATGCGGCACTGATGCCATTCTTGTTCTACATCCATCCTTCCAATTCCGGGCACTTGCATGTCCTTACCTCGGATTTTCACTACAACACTTGGCACGGGAGCTTCACTTGCGAGTACCTCAATAATCTGGTGAGCTTCTTTCCTTTTTCTTTTTTGTTTGATCGCGATCGTGATCTTCATGGATACAGAAAGAGTCGATTGGCATCAAGGATGGATTTACCACGTATCTTCAAGGCTTGCACGATGGGTTTTCATCGAGCAAAGTTAAAGTCGAGCTGGGAGGACCAGCTAGTGCTGTGGGAGGAGAAGGTGCGCGATTGAATTTTACGTGTTACGTAACTCTCTGTACTTTTCTCTCGTGTAGGTGCTTCCTGTGCGCGCTTAAAGACTTGGATCAATGTGCACGGGGCAGCCAGAGAGGTTGCCCTCGACTTGGAACTCTCTCAAGGACGCTGCGCAAACGATACGATGGGAACTCTCGCCTGGGAGCTGTTTGACTCACTTATGCATGGTAAAATAGCTTCCCCTCGTGGAATAATAGCTTATCCTTGTTGTTTTGCAGCCAAGGGTCAGATTTCTCATCTCGAGAGAGCTTTGAAGGAGGAAAAGGTGTGTCTAGCTGACTATTTCAATGGTTTACGTGAGTGTTGCGTCCTACAGGAAAAATGTGCCAAAGTACTAGATGCTGTTGTACAGGGCAAGCCAACTTCCGTTCACTTCATCTCGAGTAAAACTACAAACTGGCGGCCTGATGTTTCTCCTCCTCTGGCGACGCTTATTCAGGTAGGAGGATCAGTTTACTAGGAGGCTGGTCTGGTTATTAACCGCATCAGTTTTCTTGTAACAAGCCATCCAGGTCACTTATCAACTGTAGCGAAGGAAGAGTCAATTCTACTCGTTCATCGGCTTTGAAGCTTGCGGCAGCTAATCGCTATGGGAGGACCACCAAAGTAGAAGGTAGATACCAGGAGAAGTCGTATACAAGTGTGCATTCAGGTCGTATGTCGAAAGTTTTGCTTGGTTGCTCTCAACTAAACTGTTTGCAATCGTCCGGGACTCATATACTTCTTAAACTTCTGCAGTTTCCGACAAGAAAGAGGAAGGGATTATTGGTGAGAGTCATATGGCTGATAGGAAGGATGACGCGCTTTTAACACCTGGGCCTTTAGAATCTGCTGCATGCAGTCCATTGGGCTCGGAAATGCTCAATTTTGTGGGCGACAAACGTAAAGTGGAAAACTCCGAGGAAGTAAACTCTGGTGTAATGACATGGGCCAGGTTAGTTCATTTTCTTCTTTCCGCGTGGTGTTTAGAGCGCTTTTTCCTTTTTTTCTTTTTTGCAGGCGCCACTACATGGAATGGCGAAAAGAGCAAGGTTTGCCAGAAAAGCAGATAGAAGATATGCCGTTGAACGAGTTTGCTGATAGCCTGGTCAAATTCTTTCTCATGGTGAAGAAACGCAACGGGAGTTTGTTTCCTTCTGAAAGGTAGCTTCATTGCTCTTGTTCCTAGACAATCGTGGTTTTCTTGGGCAGTTTGAAGAGTATGTTTCGGGCTTTTGTTCGGATATTGCGCTCTCACTACAGATCACTCTATTTGCAAGGCAAGTACGACGGGCCTACTGTTGATGCAAGCAAGGATATCATCTTCGAGAAGGCTCGACTAGCATGTTTAGAGGCCATGAAATACAGCATCATTCACGGAGGTAGTGCAAAGAAGAGGAGAGTAAACGACAGGGGCCCTGCATCTGAAGAGGACATATTGCATCATCCTGCCAATCAGACGACGCATGCTCATGGTCTGGCCAGGCGGCTCTGCTACTACCTCATTCACAGATTTCGAATATTTGGCTACATGGAGCTGTATGACACCACCGACCTTGAGTTTCGCCGGAGTTCTGACGAGAAAGGAAACATTTTCTGGGAGTAAGTCGTCTGCTATGTTTTTATCGTAGTGACGTTCACTGACACGACACAGATACGACGAACGCCGGGCAATGAAGTTCAAAAACAAAGAAGTTTTCCGAGAAATCGTCCGTTCCTTCGAACTGGACGTCGTCGAATGCCTGGATAAGTACTACATGCATTTGCCATCCAAGCCCATCGAGGACGAGCCGCGGCGATTGTTTCTAACGCCAATCAGCAAGCCTCGTTCGAATGTAAGTCTTTCTATAAAAGCTTTAAGCTCTCAAAACATCTTTCTTTTTCTCCCAGGTGTGGTTCTGTCACCAAAACATCAGTGCCAAGACCCTGAGGTCGTGGTATAGATACATGGCGCCTACGTCAAAGGGATCGACCATCCCACAAAACCACACTCTAAATCTAAACCAGCCAAGGTACAGTTCTAAGCTTCTCGTGAGACACACATTGTCATCGCGTTTGCGTTTCTAGGAACGTGAAGGCTTGTGCCATGGACATGGACGAAATGGCCTCGGAAGGCCCCATGGAGGAGGAGCTCACGAAGGTGACTCGAGAGCACCACCACCCGGAGTTTGGGAGAGGTGGTGGCAGCGATGCCGAGGAAGCCAACACTGACAACGACGAAGAGATTACAGACACGGAGCTCCCGGAAGGCGCGGACGGGAGCAACCAAGTCGACCCATCGGCATCCGACTTGGAGGAGATCACTATGTGAAGAAAACTCTCCTCTCGCTCGCTTCTCTCGGTTTGTTGGTGGAGTCGCAAAACTTACTTTGTTCTAACCAGTGCTATCTAGCTTTTAGTTGTGTTCGCAGACACACGCAGACACACAGACACACAGAGATTGATTGACCATCTGTACAATAGCTAAGAAGTACAAACGAATCGTTTTGGTTTTCGATACATTCTTTCGTTCTCTTCTTTCTTTGGCCATGAAAAAAAATCGAAGTAAACAAGTGATTGATCTTAGATGAATTGGCAGCTTGATCTTTCTCGCTCCATGACTTGTTGGAGTAAACGCGGTTGGCTGGTGATGATACAATCCACACCATGATGAAGCATTTTTACCATATCGTTTTCTTCGTTCACAGTCCAGGCATAGACCACTTTGTCGGCCCTGCGAAAATGGAAACTTCAGAAAATGGTAACTTTCAAGAGAGACTATATGCACTTGTGAATTGTAGAAACCAATCTTTTGTCCATGAGCCCATGGAAAACTCCAACCACGGTGGCGGAGCTTATCCTCAGAGGTTTTCTCATCTTTTGGGTGTCCATGACAATGTAGCCTGCCTGAAACAATAACAAGCAGAGTGATTTCCAAGTTTTTTTCTTCTTATGGAGTTTAGTCTCACCAATGCTTGTGATTCACGTTTGTAGGAACGAACGACGTCGTCTACCTTTGACCAGACGATGCAATTCCTGCAGTGAGTTCTATCCACCTGTTTAGAGATGTTTTTATAAGAAAAGCACCAGCTTAAATTGAAACTTGTAATACCGTGGACTTGATTTCAGCTGCAAGATCTTTTGCACGCAGCGACGGCCCAACTTTGACATCGACTACGACATGTTTGAGGAATCTGGAAACATACTGCACGAAGGTGAGGCTAGAAAACAAAAGTGAACAAGAGAATTACTCACTCTTAACGCGTTATCGAGGCTTGGGACTTTTTGGCCTTGAAACTCGTCAGGAAAGCCACGAGCAGCATTGAGCTCTTGAATCTGGAACTAGAAATAGTTTAAGAACAAAGCTTTCCAATCGAAGAAACAATATTTGCACCTGTTCAAAGGTGAGATCACCAACACGAAGGCCAGAAGTGTTAGCCATGTCGTTCAGCTCTCTGAAAATGAAACCAAAACAAAAGAAAAAATGGTTTTTTATTTAAGTTGCAAAGCATAAGATGAAAGCTTACCTGTCGTGCAAGGCCACCAAAACTCCATCTTTGGTCTGCGATGCGTCAATCTCCATGCAATCGACTCCAGCATCTAGAGCAAGCTTGTAAGCTATAAGCTGTAAGAAAATAAAGTCATAGATGAAAAGAAGAAATGGAACAATAGATCCAGATGAAGTGAGAAAAGAAATTCTTACAGTGTTGGGAGGAGCTCTTGAGGTGTCACCACCGTGAGCACAAACTAGCGGAGGCTTCTCTATCCATTCGCATTCTTTCGATCCTTCCTATAGCAAAACGAAACAAAGTTTTGATGATCTACATTTTGTCACAAACTTCCTTACTTGATTCAAGCGGCTGTAGAAGAAGATCGGTAGTAGCGCCATCAATCCCAGGCCTAGCAGAAGATAGAAAAAACCACGAAACCCAAACTTGGATCCAACAACACTCTTCTTCCTCCTCCTCCATCTCGGATCCATCTACCCTAGGAAAAGTACTAAGCAATGGCCGGTAGCTTTCATGTTATATCGGAAAAAAAAAATGGTACACAAGGTTTTTCGCGAAAAAAAAAATTAACCAAGAGACCTTTGATAGCATTGCTATCTTAGCTCTTTGACAGGACCTTCGTTGAACAAGGCTGTGTGGAAGTCATCGTAGAGCTGGGCGCTCACACTCACCTGTTCGTGATAAATATTTAGAGCTCAGAGAGAGAAAGAGTTCTTCTCAAACCTTGTAAGATGTTGGACTACGAATTCGCATATGATCCGGACGCATTGCAGCCAGCTGCTGGCGACAGTACTCTCGCGTTTCTTTGAGCGATGGCAATTCTTTTTCTGTAAATTTGAAGAAAAACGTAAGGAAAACGATGGATTTTTTCCAACTTGCCTAGTGATCCCTTCCAGTAGCACTGGAGCAGAGGCTCCACTCGTTTTGGAACCACGTAAACTTTGTTGAGATTGAATGGATGCCGGCAAAGAACTGGTTCGTCAGCCTGAGAGAGGAGAGATCACTCTCCTTGTTAGAATCTCTCCGATTTGGGAGAAAACAACTTACTTGAGGAGCCGGCTCCTCGTCCTTTTGCATCAAATCTACCAAAGCAAAGCCTTGTTCGCCGTAAAGCCTGTAGCACTGTTTCTTGCAAGGAATGGTGACTTTGGCCACGTCCTCGGAGATTTTGATCCGGGAGTGGCCATTTACTTCCACGAGCTTGTAAATGCAACCCAGCGCTGGCTGCTTGTAGCACGTCACCAGCTGAGTTCCAATCCCAAACCCATTGATCTCGTCAGCCTGGACGCAAATTTTGAGGAATCAAATCAATCGAGGTATTTTGTGATCTTTGAATCGCTGCTGCTTGCCTGCTTTGTCAAAGCGTCGATGGTGTCCTCGTTTATATCATTGCTCGCGATTATCGTTGTGTTTCCAAAGCCTGAGATGTTGAGTTCTTCCTCGACGCTGCGAAAGAAAGCCCTGGCTTGCTTTGAGAGGTACGACAGGTCTCCAGAATCCAAGCGTATGCCACGGGCCTTGTATCTGAGATTAATACCAAAGTTTATGTTAAGCATGTACGAATTAGCTTTGGAGGAATGATAATTTTCAGAGTTTAGCAATGAAAAGCTTACCCCAGGCTATGGAGTGCCAATGCAACTGCACAAAAGTTTGGAACACCACTTTTCATCACCTGAAAAGCAAAGTCAAAACCATCATAAGATGTATGCATTTACGTCGTATGTATCGACGAGCGCAAGAAATCCCTCCGGAAATGCCAAGGCATACGATCCAAATGCCGCGAGTTCGCTCTCGTTGGTCTCTTTTACATGAAGAGATTCCACGGCCTGAAAAAAAAAAAAAACAAAAAAACAAAAATGAAGACAAAAATATAACAAATAAACAGAGAAAAAAGAATAAAACTTTGCCTTGAGTTTGCTAAGCCAATGCTGTATCCTTGCGCCAAAGTCTTTGCAAAATTTTGTATTTTCAGAAGTGCGAGACAACGCAATCTCATCAAGGCCCTGTTATTAAAATCAAAACCATGGAAACAGAAAAAGAAAAAAAAACGTGAATGAGATTTTTACCATGAATGAGCTCACGAAAGCATGCGAATGTGTTCCACCCACTGGTATGCCAAAAAGCCGTCCAGCCTCGAGATTACTGCAAAGAGACAGAATTTCTAGAAGAAAATTCGTGAAAGCTGGACCACCTTGTGAAGTCAAAGCCACCTAAGTAGCAGTATTTTGATGCACTGATGCTACCATCTGGGCCCTGGAATTTAGAAGAAACAAAAAGTTTAGATCGAGTTCTCTGTGAAAACTCTGGAAAACTTTAGCTACTTGGGCTCGACGAAGGCCAAATTCAAGCAAAACTTTGGAGCTTCCAGCAACGAGTCTGTATCTTGCGGCATTTGTAGCGACGAGAGATGCGTAATTCACAAGTGCCAAGAAAGTTGTCTCGAGCAATTGCACCACCTGCAAGACCAAGATCACTACGAAGAAAAATGAGGCCTTTTTCGTTTACCCAAAGAGGCCCTTCGATTCGTATCAATGGAACCCGCGGAAAAACCACTGTTCCCTCTGGAATCGCATGGATGATCACTTGCGAGCAGTCGAGCGCTTTCAAGCTCCCGAAGAACTCGTCCTGGAAAATTCACTAGAGAGATCTCTATGCGATCGAGAAAACTTAGACTACCTCCACATAAGAAGGCATGACACTCCGCAAGTAATCGATCCCACAGTCCTCAAACCCGAAATTCGCAACGAAACGAAGGCATTCCTCCAGCCCCGCGAAGACTGTGAATTCGCCCCCGAATGGAGGCTTGCAGTGGCACAGATCAAAGCTGGAAGAAGAAACGAACCGAATCAGCGAGAGAAAAGGATCGAAATTGGATTACACTGCGCGATCGAGGTGCTTGCCAGCCTTCCAGTACGCGTACGCTGTAGTTACGTGGTACATCTCATTGAGCAAAGAGGAAACCATTGGATTCGTGGGCCGAGCTATCATTTTGTCCAAAACCCTAATAAATTTCTACTCCATGGTCGAATTTATATGATCCGTGCGTGTTGATCGATTCTTGGACAAGTGCCAGCCACGTAGAAAGCACTTCTTTTCTTCGATCGACCACTCCACTGTGATCGAATTTCACAAGAACAATCACAGTTGCGCGAGTTGGATCGAATTAATGGAATCGAATTGCCTATGGATTGGAATCTGGAGAGTTTTCAAATTCGCGCTCTAAAACCCTAGCTATGGCATTGTGTTCTTCTGCGATCTATGGAGCGCCTTCCTCTTCCAGGTACCATTACAATTTCCCCGGCATGCCGCCAGCGCCCAGCTTCTTGTCGAGATTCTGGCTCTGGCAGCACAAGGAAGCGGATCATCGCAGCGTCATGCCCTCGGCGGAGCAAGAATCCCGTGCCAATGCCGCCAGTGCTGCCATCGCCGCGTCCTCGCCCGGCCGGAACAGCCGCCAGATCGAGGCGCTCATCGCGGCGAGGGTGATTCTCAGCATTCTCGGCAGCGCGCCCTGCCCCGAGAACGCGAAATCCAGCCTCGCGCTTCACATCCGCTGCCTGTCTCGGGAGATTGCGTGGAGAGTGCTGGAGAGGATCGATAATCCCGACTTGGCGGTGGTGTTCTTCAACTGGGCAGAATCGCTGCCGTCCTACCACCACAGCATCTACGCTTGCAATGGTATGCTCCAGATCTTCGTGGATTCTAAGAGGCATCGCGATGGGTATGAGTTTTACAGGCACAGGCTGCTGGGGAGCTACGCAGTGAACGAGGTCAGCTATGGCATCCTCATGCAAGGATTTTGCAAGGCCGGAGAGTTCCAGCAAGCTCTAGAGTTGCTGGACGAGATGAAAAGCAATGGAGTTCGTCCCAACGTGGTGATCCACACGACCATCATCCGGGGCCTGTGCACCGCAGGGAAAGTCTCGCAAGCTTTGCTACACTTTAGAAGGATTGGAGAGGACTGTGCTCCAAACGTCTACACTTACAGCACTCTCGTGGACGCTCTTTGCAAGTCGGGCCAGCCTCATGAAGCGTATGGGCTGGTGACGGAGATGGTGAAGAAGGGGTGCTCTCCAAACGTGGTAACTTACAATGCGCTCATCGATGGGTTTCGCAAGCTGGAGAGGCTGGACGAGGTCTTGATGCTGCTCAAGGAGATGTCTCAGCGGGGGTGCCGGGCGGATGTCATAACTTACACGATGATCTTGGATATCTTCTGCAAGAACAATAGCATCGACGAGGCTTACAGGCTGCTCAACGCGCTGGAGAAGAGGAACGTCGTCACTTACAACAGCCTCTTCACCGCACTTTCCACCGCCGAGGGTGACAGAACGACCGAGGCTTTAAGTCTCCTGGAGAAGATGATCCAGGAAGGAACTCGGCCGAACCAGGTGAACTACCGGACAGTGCTGCTGATGCTGTGCAAGAACAGCAGGCTAGACGAGGCTTACCAGGTGCTGCTATCGATGTATAGCCAGGGATGCAAGACCGACGACGTGAGCTACAAAATCCTGGTTGTCGCGTTTGCAAATGCCGGGAGAACCTATGACAGCCTCGAGCTCCTGGGCCGGATGCTGGGAAGTGGCTACATCCTCGACACCAAAACCATGAACGTTGTGATTCACAAGTTTTGCAAGGCCGGGGACTTGCATGAGGCTCACCAGCTCTTTAAGTCGATGTACCAGAGGGGATCCATTCCCAGCAACGTTACTTACAACACTCTGATCGGAGCCTTCTGCAAGGCGCAACAGCCCGACACCGCCGTGAAGTTGCTCCACCAGATGATTCAAGCCGACTTCAAGCCAAACGTCATCACCTACAATTCCATCATCAAGTCCTTCTGCAGGGAGCAGCGGGAGGAGGAGGCTCGAGGGATTTTCCAGATGATGGTGGACAACGGATGCTTCCCGGATCGCGTCTCGTACACCACCTTGAAGTTATCCAAGAACGAAGCTGCGATATACGACCAAAAGGTACACGACACATACTTGAGGAAGCATTTCGATCCACAAGGAGCCAAGTAAGCTTTCTACTTTTGAATTCTCGCTCGTCGGCATACGGTAAGGCAGGATGCAACTTCCAAGCAGATTGTTCCTAACAGTTGCACTCGCACGGATGGAAAATTGTCAGACGGGAGGGGAAGGTGCTGTTCGTGGCGAACGTGGACAAACAGAAAGTTGATACAAAAAGTCGTCGCCCGAGCCCGACAGTGCCCGACCCAGTTTGAAGCAGCGTAGTGAAAAACGCGCTCGCCACAAGTTCATCGAGTCAACGTTTGAACAGTCCCAGGCACGGTCAAGACTCGTAAGCAAAATGCTCTTTCACCGCCCTAAGCCGCGCTGTTTTCTCTGCAGGAGAGCTTGGAGCTTTTGCAGCTGGGAGCTGGGAGCTGGGAGGTCGACGAACAAGTCAGAGCACAGAAGATTTCGCCCTGTAAGTCAGAGCGGCTGCAAAGTTCTCAGGATTCACAGGGAAGACATCACAGGTGTAGAGTAGCGGTAGAGTAGCATGATAGCGGAGGGGAGAAGATGGAGAAAGGAGGAGGATGCCACAGCGATGGGCAAGAGCCCACCGCGTGGGATTATGTAGTGGTGAGCGTCATAGCGGTAGGCTGTGTGATACACATAGCTGGGAACACGATACTGATTAGGCGCAGGGACTACAAGCCGATACATGCCAGGGGTGTGTGGCTAACTTCGCTGAGCTCGGTCGGGGGATTGATTTGGGTGCTAGCCACTGTCATCGTTATGAAGCACTTCCCGCGGGTGAACAAGATACCATTCAACATCTGCTCGCTGTGGACGTTTTGGCTCCAGGCTTGCTTTGGGTTTGCTCTCTGGCTTAATTGCCTCACCGTCCGAATGGGGCAGCTCTATTTGGTGACCATCAGGAAAATGCGTGTGCTCAGGCAAGACCATCTCAAGCTCACTGTCCTTCCTCTCGTCGTTCTGCTCTCCCCTACGATCGTCATCTCGAGTTTGGCGTCCGCTATGGGTGCTGTCAAGTAAGTCTCCTTTTTTTTTCGTTTTTTTTCTTTTTCTTTTTCTTTTTCTTTTTTTTCTATTTCATACTTTTCTAATACTTGCTTGGCGCCGCTTGTTTAATCGCAGGTACTGTGCTGACTTGCAAGACTGCGTTGTCCACAAGAAGGCGTTTGCCATTGTCACCATCTGTATGCTTCCTCTATACTCGCTGATCTTTTTCTGGTTTGCTTTCCAGCTCCGAAACATCATGTCTCAATGGAACGAATTCCGGTAAGCTCTTTAAACTTTCATCTCTTGCGCGTGTCATTCAACTCGACCGTGTTTTGTGGAGCAGACAGATTCGAATCGGTGGGATCATGTCGTTTTTCCTTTTCCTTCTCTCGGTGGTGACTTTGGCGGCCAAGACTTACTGCAATCCCAGAGGTCGGGCCTTTCTCTCGCTCGCTGTAGCAGGGGCAGTGTTTTATTACTTCTGGGCTCGCAACTGGGAAGTTATCTACAACGTCATTTGCAACGAGGAGGAGTACTTCCGAAATTTCGCTAACGATCTAAACAGATTGTCCGAACGATCCAGGTTACTTTAGCTTCTTTTCACCGTTTCAAGCTTTTCTTTTACTGCTTTCAGTAACATCAGGGAATTTTTCTTACAGGTCATCCCATTTCGAGCGCAATCCCATGGAGAGACTGGTGTTAGTAACGAAAGAGGACGCGAGGAGCGCCCTGCAAGAGCTAAAAGCGCTCCAAGACGACGTCTCCAGTCTCACCCAGACCCACGCACAGTTGCAAAGGGACGTTTGTGGTGGAAGCGTTACTCCAGTTGCCACTGAGGCGATCGAGATGTCGACAATTCTTTGATTCTTTTCCGAAACTAGAAAACTGGTTCCGTGATTTGCTTTGCTTTGCTTTGCTTTGTTCTTCCCGACGCTGCGAAGCATTCTCGGTGGTGTCAAGAAAAGAAAGAAAAATCTTAACAAAGTACGAGCTTACCTCGGGCAACTCAAACAAAGGAGGAAGTCGTCGCCTTTCATTCGTGAAATACGTGTGGCAGCGTGACAAAGTCTCGCAACTGGTGTCTCAATTCGGCAGCTAGCGCTATTGATTCCTCTGCGGGTTTGTTTTTCGCTGCCAAGACAGCCGCAAGGTATCTGTCTCTCGTTTCTTCCATGCTCTGTTCATCCATGAAAGCTTGCATCGATCACTCGGAACTAAGGCTTTGATTGACGATCTTACCTCGCAGCTCATGATCATCATTTGATCCGGTTGTGGCACAAAGTGTGGACTTCCCGCTATTTGGTTCTCATATCTGAGCGCTGCTACCTCAAACCGGAGATCATCCATGTCGCTTTCCATCTGCGAGTGCTTGTGTTCTCGTTTTGCCAACTCGTTCTGCAACCCCTGGATCAAGAGTTTCATGTTTCCCATCTCCACCTATAAGAGAGAGAAGGTAAGAACAAAAACAGAGAATCTATGACTTACGTGTTTCTCGGAGAGTTGGTGCTGGAGCGAATGCACGAGAAAATCCCTCCTTAGCAATTCCGTGTGGAGGAAGTCGACCTTGTTCCGAAGATCCGAGATCTCGGCCTCTTCCAGGAGTTTGATGTCCGACTGCGCCGACTGCTTGATGGATTGGAGCAATCCCTCCTTGTCTCGCACCTTTAGCTTGAGCTCCTCCACCTGGCTCTGGAGCTTTAGGAGTTCCACCTTGTTGAGCTTCATCGATAGATCCGGCTCATCTCTCACACTCTGCTCGATCGGCTTCGGCTGGAGCACCTCTTCCGCGTTTAGCTGCTTGTTCTTCTTCAATCTCGCCGGACAATTTAGCGCCTGTCGTTTGGTTCTAGGAAACAGTTAGCAAAGATCTGGATTGCGGGATTGATTTCTACCTTTTGCGCTGGAGCTCGAGTATACACCAGGCGTCCACGATGCGTGAAAGCACGATGGTCGTTGCCGGCCCGATCCTACAAAACAGAGAGAGAGAGCGCGAGGAATTTAATTTTTTTCTCTCCATGTTTTTGCGGGCTCGTCGATCCAGGGTCCACAAACCATGAATATCTGCGTCATTGGAATCATCTCCTTGTCGGTGCTGCGCGCCCCTAGTGGATCCACCTCGTCAAGCTCCCACGGCGCCATTCCAGACGAGCAGCACTCCCCATTGCTGCTACAGTCGCTGCTGGAGAGGAATTGCGAGTTCCCTGCCACGGAAACAGGGGAGTCGTCGCTGCCAGCGGCATTGGGAGTGGGCGACGGCGAATCCGACGCGTAATATAGCTCCGATCGCCTAAAACAGGACAATTCAATCGTCGCTGGAGGTGGAGAGGAAGAAGAAACCCCCGACATTTCACAGGAAGAGCGTCAATACCTCGGAACTGGCATTGGCGCTGCTCGCAAACCCTTGCAATCTCTCAAGAAAAATCCTCCAGCCGGAGCTCTAACCGATCGCGACGCGGAATTTCGGAAGCGATCCCTCCTGGATCGCACTCGCGCTCGCGCTACCGCATTCGGTCATCCCATAAACCCTAATAGCAGGAACAATATATTGGAGTGATCGCTGTACGGAAGGAAAGAGCGGCGAGATCAACAGAGGCATGAGAGAAGAAAAGATGGGCGGTGACGAGCGTGACGGGCACAAGCAAAGCACAACCGTCGATTCATCGCAAAGATCACAACCGTTAGAGTCACTTCATCGTAGCCGTACAACGCGAGCCGGGGCGACATGTGGTGTGCCGTGTAACACCCTCATTGACAAAAGTTGGAGTGGTGGAGTGGTGGGATGTAAGCGGAAATTGCGATACAGATTCATCTGTCACAAAAGGCTCCCACATTAGATCGACATCCAAACAGCAAAACTGCAAACTTGTGATAGTTTTCTTTTGAGATTATATATTTCCAAGAGCGAATGTTCTCGGAAAATTTGTTGTTGTTTCAAAGTCCGAAGAAATACAACAGCAACTAATTCTGCCCCATACTCATTTGGCATGTTATCTCACAAATCCCCTCTCATTCGATATATCAATCATAACATAAGCCTTTGAGAAGTTCAGAAAATAAAGGCTGTTCTGCCTGAGTCTAGAATATACAAGTAGCCTAAAACAAGTAGGAAAACACATTTAATTTTATCTAATTTCAAGATGCAAACGTTTTGTGGTCCCAAAAAACCATGCCAAATAATAATCAACAAAGCATCTGACACCAACAAGGTCCCACATTGGTAGATGCCAGGTTCAAGCAAGGAGCATATTGACCTGCAAACACATTCATGTCACGTAATAGAAACAGATCCAAGTCACAGACTTGTAGAACTCATTCTTCAGACAATGCTCGCATGGGGTGGTATCTTTCTCATTTGCTCGACCCCTCTCATAACACCTTGAACGAGAAGTGCTCTAAAACCAAGGAACTCCATAGCATTTACCTCAGCTACAGGCAATATACCCTTGTAGATGCGCCTGAAGAAAACACATTCGTGCACTCTAGAAGAGATTCCCCGCGTGTTCTCCATAAGCTGGCCATGCAGACGTAGCTCATGGACAGCGTCTTGCATCTCTTGTGAAAGCGAATCATATGCCACCTGCAACCAAGGACATTTCAAACAGATAAAGATGCATGCATACCTCAATATTCGCAAGTAAGCACACTATTAAGGAGCGGTAAACACGAGAGGGACTATCAACTTTGTCGTAGAACCTGTATAACCTTTCACACTACTTTCAAGACACAGACAGCTTACGACTGTATACTCTGACAGTCGGCAAAATGGTATTCTGTGGATGAAGTACTCACTTAGCCAGCTCGGCCTTTCTGTCCCAATCCCAGTGCCCGCAAGCCAATCCAAAATTTCCGCCATAAATCCTGTCTGCTTATCGGATAAATGGATAATCCAATCTCGTAATTCATCATCAAGGTCTTTAAATCCGGAGTACCGCATCCATGCTAGCCAAAAGTCTACTGCCTTCTTCCACATCACTGAATTGCAAAGAAAAACCATGAGTCATAACCACCTGAAGGCCTAGAAAGTTACATGCATAAAATCCTTGAGCAGATGCTTACCTTGAGAGAATCCCACCTGTTGTTGGGACGTGTTCTGCTCCTCATCCCGACGCCCTGGTCCTCAGAGTTTTCCATAACATAGTCACGGCCAAATGCAGCCTGGGCTTCATCAACTATAAGAAGCCTTTTCGGACCACCGGGGCCAAGGAGATCCGTCACCTCAAGTTATGTCATTGACGGTAGCACTTCAGCCTCTTCGTGCTCGACTAGCGCTAACCTACAGGGTCCCTTCGCTCGTCCCTTCGGCTTCTTCTAGAGATTCTTTCGAGAGTTAGCCAACGATTCCTCCTGCCCAGCTTCGCTTTCTGCCTCGATCATGGCTTCGGCTTGATCTTGTTAGCGCCCAGACTTTGAACCACGTTTTGCTCAGCCACAACCTCGTGTACAGCACTACCTCCGCCATGGTTCTCGAATTCGATCTCCTAAAGCAAAGTTCGCTCGACATGTCCGTGTGAACCTGGCGGACTCCGCAGTAGTGTCTGGGTCCCCGAAAAAAGAAGGCTAGATCAGCCTGTATCCAAACGTTTTGGAGTGGTGAGAAAGGATTAGAAGTCTGGTGACTATACAAATGTTTATCTATCTAATGAGCCTGGATTTTGAAATGCTCCGACTGAAGTGTGGAAGAAACGAACGAAACAATATCAGAAACGAATCACTTAGAAGAATGCAGTGCAAGAATGGTAAAGAACAAATGGAATGTCATCAACAGGGGAAGATCCCTGGATAGAAGTTTGGATAATCTATGTAGAAGAAGCTCGCACTCTGCAAGAGCCTCAATTGGTCAAGTGTGCTCAGAGAATTTGCACAATCCCTAAACCCTAAAGGCTGACATAGTAAACGAAAAAGGTAGTCAACAAATAAACAACGATCAAAACCGTCGATTCGTCGCAAAAATCACAACCGTCAGAGTCACTTCATCGCAGCCGTACAAAATTACATGCGGAAAAAGAAGAACGAGCGAGCAAAGCGATTTTCTCCTCACATATTGCAGCACTGAGCTTTTCCTCGCGAGAGCTTTTGCCACATACAAACCATCTGGCGGGGCGACATGTAGTGTGCCGTGTAGTAGTCCTCCACACACCCCCATTGACAAAACTTGGAGTGGTGGATGTAGTAGACTGGATTCGAGAGCGCGAATTGCGACACCCACAGTCCCATGCTCACGTCCTCCATCTTGAAAATCTGTCACAAAAGGCTCCACATTAGATCTCCAGATCTCTCCAAAAGCTCTAGAGCTCGAAAGCTAGAAAAACTCTCTAAAACTTACGCGAAGAGTACGCTTCTCATGGTGCTCCACTATGAAATTCGCAATGTCGGCTGATACCACGTATCCGGGACCGTCGGCGTATAACGGGTACTCGTCCTCGGGCCATTCCTGCATTGTCCCATTATTCTCATTGTCTTGATCTAGATAGATATGAATCAAAGCCAACGTACCTTGTAAGTAACAGCCCATTTTCCCATTCTCTGCGGTCTGTGGTACCGGTTGATGTTCCCCATGTAAAGTCCGGTCTTGTAAGGAGTCATTTCCAGCTCGTGGAGAATGGACTCGACGTGAGAGAACGTATCGTCGTCGCACTTCATGGTGTACTTAGCTGAGAAGTTGCGAACCTGTGGAAGCGCTTTGTAAAGGAAATGCATAGCGTGTTGCTTACCCCGAATTCACAGATTGCTATAGTTTTCAGAACGACAAGTTCATACCGGTCCATGAAGGGGATGATGATCATGTCTCCGTAGAAATCAGCTTCTTGCTTGACTTGTAAGTTCATGTAGTTATCTGCACACTATAGTTGGAACTCGTCAGTGAGCTGCTCGGAGTCGAAATAAGCTTCTCTTACCAGTGCAACAAAAAATCTGGCAACTACTCGACCGGAAAGGATAGATGGTGAACGCATCCAAGTCTTTCTAGCGGCCATACGCTCTCCAAAATGAGAACTCGTCGAGGAAATTCCTATGAACAGCTCGGGACTTGGATTGGCCGGAACTGGTGCTTTCCACTTTGGAATGAGTTCCAAAGTTTCTGTCAAAGGAATACTGGAGTTTGATAAGCGAAGAGACGTCGCCATGACCAAGTGCACGTCGAGATGTCCACCGACAAACACTCCAGTTGCATCCTCCAAACTGAAATCCTGTCGCCAAGCATTAGTAGCGAAGTTCCAACAACGAACACGGACATACAAACCTCTCTATACGGGAAAGATGCAATGTGCCTTCCGTCTACAATAAGATGGTAGCCCTCAAATCCGGCTCTGATAGTAAGAACAAAGAACCGGTCCTCGGCAAATGGGAAATGCCACAACAAGTCGTCCGACTTTTCAGCGTTTTGAAACAGTGACTTCCACCACGACAGCGATCCGCTGCTCTTTTTAATTTCAGTGCCTTCTTGAAGCCACTCTTCGCACTGATAAAGTCCGTCAACTGTAAGACGTTTAAGAAACAATAAGAAAAGAAACAGAAAAAACGAAGCAAGGTCTGGGAATCATACCTGTTTCATCTTCTTGAGACTGCAATCCATGACATCTCTGCGAGACACCCCATTTTCCATGGAAGCAGCTGTTAATCTCAATGACAGGTTTGTCGCTCCAGTCACCTGATAGTCTCGGATTGAGATGAAGGACGCGGGGAGGCTCTTCAGTCCTGCCGGGTTTAAGAGCTTGCAGCTCCACCACGAACTGTCTCACCATCACGGACTTCTCCACTCTCCCCTTGACATACTCCATACGTCCGCCATGAGGCTTGCCAACCACAGTGACCGATGATCCCATTTCGAGTCCACAAGGCAGCACCATCGCCATCCCAGCATTTTCCAGCTCCTGCCTAGTCATTGTTCGCTCCAGTGGACACTCCTGTTTACCACGCGGCCTCTCAGCAACTTTACGCGAACCATTCTTGCTCATCGCCACAACGTTTTTCCAGGACTCGGACCCGGCAGCCAGAGCTTCGTTCGCGGCACGCTGGAGCTCCGAGACATCGCCCATCCACTGCTTGAGTGCCTGCCTGGGCTGCTTGATGATAAAGCTCGTCCCTTTGTTGGTCTTCCGGAGCAGTGGATTCAAGCCAGAGTACCACTTGTAAACATCATCCTGGACGAGTGACATTTCCTTAGAAGCTTGCCTCTCCGGCTTAGAAACTCTGATCTGTCCCGGCCCTTCATGGTGGTGGCGGCTCACTTCATACTGCTCGTGCGCGTTCTTATAGCTTTCGTCGATGCTGGAAAACCCGTCGAAGATGAGAAGGCTGGGCTTGAGGAACTGCGGCACCAGGATGGTCATGTAGATAAGACACGACGCCATAGCCAGGAAGAACGCGTAAGCCAGTAACTTCCATCTCCAGTGGACCTTTCTCTTGCTCGTCACCGCCGACATGGAAATTCCCTGTCTTAAATCGCCTGCTACACGCCTCGCGAGCTCCGACGCCACCAGACGCATCCCCTGTCGTGTCTCATCTCACCGCTGGTCCGCCACAGATCCCAGCTAAGCTGCATTTCTCACTCACTTCTTTCATGCCGCCAGGAGCAGTGCTGCGATGAACGATGCAGCCCGATCCGCGAAAATCGAGTCCATGATGCCGCCGCCAGGCGCGAGTACTGCAGCTCCTCCGGAAATCTCACACTGCATTGGCGAAGCCCTCGGTTAGGATGTCGAATCGAGAAAAAGATCGCCGGCATTCGCAAATCGAGAGCGAAGAACAGACCTGGTGGCCGCGCTGGGCGGCGATCGGCTGCTCGATCGACGAGAAAATCGCGCGGCCTTTTAGCCAGGCTAGGAAGGAGAGGAGCGCCGGTGCCGACCTGGAAATCTCTCTTTTAAACAAACATAAAAGACCTAAAGGTAGAAAGAACTCTCTCCATTAAATTAAACTTAAAATTAAGCAAAATTAATTACTTTAAACGCAGGGCTGGTTTAAAGTAACCATCCAAGGTTAGAGCTAAGCTGCTCTTTCAAGCGTTCTTGGGCCGCTTCCTTCGAAGGATCGGTTTGCCACTCCACTCCATCGTCATCCTCTTGATCGTCTTCATCGCCCTTCTTCGCAATCACCACTGGAGCGTTCTTCTTGCTCGGCCCCTTTGCCACCTTGGTAGCTTTCTTAGCGGCGCCGCCACCGCCACAGTAGAACTTCCTCACCACCTCGTCGTTCTTGAGGAGATCAACCTCGGACGAGTGACCACACGCAGCGCACTTGAGCCGGATCATCTTGTCCACCGTAAACTCCGTCTCTGGATTCTTGCACTCGTAGCACAGCACATACTTAGCAATGAATTTGTCGAGGAGTTTTGCCAGCTTCTCTGTGTCGTGGGAGCCATTGACGATGGCGGTGTTGGTGTCGTCGCTGTAGCTCGAAAGCACCCCGAGCTCGCAGCCAAAGAACCTCGTCACCAGCGCCGGCGAGCGTCCCAGCGCTTTGCACACCTCGGCTATGTTGTCGACTTTGGTTTTCATGGAATTCCCCCGGCCCTGGAGTTTGATCACTAGCTTGTACCTATCGTTGTCTTGGAGCTCCATCAGAGCTTTTCCTTTTCCTCCCAATTTGGTTGATCCCTAAAAACCATTTGCTTAAGTAAAGAACAAAAAGGAAGAAACACCTTTACCGCAAAGGTTGAAGGCGGTAGCCGGCTATGGAGTTGAGGATCCAAGTGTGTTCCAGAGCGACGGCTCCAGTAGCTTCGGATATCGAGGCTGCTGCTTTCCGTTGCGTTTTGCCGTCTTGTGGATAGATAACCAGTGTTGTCTTGGGCAATGGAGAGACAGGCTGACGATGTAGCACGGTTCCACCACCGGCTCGGACCAGGGTCTCCAGGTCCGTTTTCAGTGACCCCTCAAACTCGGTGAAGTAGAAGTCTAGCAAGGTAAACAGCTTCGGGGCCTGAACAAAAGAACGAGATGTTTGTTAAGCCAAGAAAAAGTGTGCAAGTGCTCCAGACCTCTGAGTTTGCAAGAAGTCTTCCTTGCTTGGGTCCCTCCTCAAGTCTGCCTTGTACATCAACTCGAGCTTCGTATGGTGCCTCGTCTACGAAATGGCCAGCTGATAGGCAGGCGGTTAACCCTGTACAAGCAATCGAGCTCATCAGCGGTGTGAGAAGTTCAATGTGGTTTACGTACACTCAGGCTGCAATATCCATTTTCCTTCCAGAATCCCCCTCAAGAGCTTTAGTGTCCTCCGAGCACCGCCAGTCGCGTCGGGACCAGCAAGCACATGGGTCACATTATGGTTCCACGATGATTCGACGAGTGATCCTGTTGCTGATGCGAACTTTGCCAGTTGCTCCTGAGAAAAGTTATGCAGGTGGCGTATAAAACCTTAAAATTGATCTTTACCTTGTCACGAGTATCCAAACTTGAACCGCAGAAGACATATTTTCTAGGACAATTTTGCGCTTCTGCTTTGTTGGCTTTCCCACCTCTGCAAGATGATCCATTGGAGCTTGAGAGTAATAAGAGAGCTTTACTACCTTGGTCTCGACGTTTTTTGTTTTGTTTCTGAGGAGCTTTTTCTTCGTTTCCCAGAAAAAGAACCGGTCGCGTGGACTGGACAAAGCACGAGAAACCGTGTCTGCAAACGGAAACCATTCATTAGTGTCCAAGAAATTCATAAATCATATACCGTGTCGAACTTGAAGTTGGAATCAGCTTTCGCACAGTGATAGTGGAAAGATTTACGACAGCTGTTCCAATAGCAACCCAATGCTGCACCTTTTCTCTTGCAGCTCTTACACTTAAGCTTCCGGGCCCGGAAAATTTCTGACTCCAAATTTTGCAGTTTGTTTTCATTTTCATCGCCAATAAAGTAGACTTTAGGTGCCCTGAAGAAAACATAGAATCTAACAAGTAAACAGAAGAAAAGAAAAGCATACCATTCAGCACAAAGCTTGTGAACAACGTTTTTGGCACCGCTATTTCTTGGAAAAAGAAGACCGTTCTTGTAAGCCATCAGGTCTCCACAAACCTGCATCCGGACAATCAGTTCTAAAAAACTCAAAACGGCGAATTTCTTACAGAACAATCGCCTGCACGCTGGCAGAATGCACAAACAGCCTCTCCAGATTTCCGGGGAGAAACTTCGCGTTCTTGTACAGTACCATTACCAGCTTGACGCACAGGACTTTTACTTATCCTGTTGTTTCTCTTCTTTGCAGGAGACCGAACTGGCTTAACATCGCCTTCTTTTGGTGGACCTTCTGATACAGGTGCATGCGGCTTCTCCGTCCAAGGAATCTTGTCAAAAGGAACTTCAACCTTGACAGGATCCACGCGTGCTCTTCTAATCACGCTTTTTCCTGAGTCTGTGTCACCTTCTAAAAACTGCTTAATAGGAAGATAAGGATCAAGTTCTTGTGAATCCTCCACGATCAAGTTCATCTACATTACACGTGAGTAAGGCCGAAAAACAAGAGCGTCGAACTAACGAAGTTTACCATATCGTCGTGAGCATTGCCTTCAAGTTCGGGAGAGCATGCACGCTGAGTCCAAAGAAATGGATCAGAATCCGCTCCATGACCTTTTGATACGTCTTCCTGCACGATCCGTGTTACTTAAGCAGGAAATAAAAGCATCTCTTACCATATCTTGTTCACTTGAGTGATGCTCTGAGCTTTTGAGGTCGCTGAACGAAGGGCGATTTGCAGCAATATCCGGCGATGGATGTGTCTGCGTTATCTGTGGATCATCTTGCGAGGAGAGCCAGAAGAAAGGAGCAAGAGGAGTACTTTGTCGAGGAAGTTCCCGTTGCGCAGTATTATGTTCAGCAGTCTTTTGCAGTTTCGACGAAGAGGCAGCTTCGCATCGTCCAAATTCCCAAGCCTTCTCCTTTGCAAGCTCAGCTTCAAAGTTCTCAAAGTCATTAAGACTCACTGGATTCAAGTCTTCTTCTTCTTCTTCAACTTGTGCTTTACGTTTCTTCTTGCGAGATTTCTCTTTATCTTTGACATTCCCAGAACTGGCCATCTGAGGCGCCTGAACTCTTTTCTTAGAAGGAATTCTCTTAGTGGCATTTCCGCGTTCAGGGGAATTGTCACCTCCTTTCGTTTGCTTGTGAAATCCTGCACGTAGGAATGCTCTATTAGAAATCTTCTTTCATGTCTGCTCCTTACCATGAGTATTTGGATCCTGACTAGCAAACGGTGTGATTCCAACCGCAGCTTCTATATCCCGATAAATTCCCACAACGTTATCCATCTTTGGCGAAGGCCTCACCTCTAGCAAAGGATGAAAAACTTAGAACTGCTAGACAAAAGCGCACGGCCCAATGGCTCACCTCGTCTCGTGGCAGGGACTTTACATACAGGACAGAATGGCATGCCCTTCAAGGATGTAAGAATGCACGGCCTGAGAGCACCAATGTGTTAATGACCTCTCCACAAAAAGAAACGATATACTTACTTGCAAAAGCAATGGGTGCAAGAAAGCACCGCGGCTTGCTGGAATAGACTCAAGCTACAAGCGAAGATCAAGTGATCAACAAGATCCGATAGAAGAGAAGAAAGAAGTGTACCAGATTGGACACTTGAGCTCCCTGCCGAAGCGCTCCAGATGAGGCGCCACTGCCGCCATCGCCGATCAATCCCCTGGAACCCCAAAACCCTATTAATGCTGGGCGCCAAAGCTTCGAAATAAAACGCGGGAGAATGGGCTGTTCTTCGTTTGCCCTTGGATGCCCGCCACGTGTACGCCTTTAAAGCTTCCAGGGTTTACAATGACTTAGGGCTTTTGGGAGGACGGAAAAAAATGCTGGAGGCGCTCAGTGCGCTCGCGGCGATCGAATGCGTTGTGCTGCTGCTCCTTGTGAGCAGATTCTCAACTCTCAGTCGCGCCGCTGGATCGTGCGTTGGAATCTTCGTGATCGGGAAGGGGCGAGCTCTTTCTCGTTTGATCATCGGGTATCTCTCTATTGCATTTGCTACTGCTGTGTTTAGAATGCGCACAGCGTCTTTGGTAGATCTCCACTATCAACGCGCTTTGGCGGCTCTAACTGGTAAGATCGAGAGTCAAAAAAAAAAATTTTTTCCTCTGCAAGAGTTTCTAATCTGTATGTTTTGTAGGATCGAGTTTGTTCGTGGCGATAGTGATTCGCCAGATCCACAGGATCGTGTGCCAGGATGAGCCACTGAGAGAAACCTTGCGTTTGCTCAAGCTCCAGCTCAAGACCTCGGAGAATGAGAAGTTCCAGCTTAAACAAAAACAGGTGGAGTTTGATCACCTGGAACACCTTGTCAGTGACTTGCGCGCAAGAATGGAGAGGATGAATCTCGATTCCGCTGCAAAGGATGGGACGATCAACGACTTGAGAGCCAAGCTCGAGAACATGAAGATCGATGCCGAGGGCAGGACGAAGGAGCTCCGAGCGGCAGAAGCCAGCGTCCAGGCTCTCAAGAAACAGGGCGAAGGTTTCCTCTTGGAATACGATCGGCTACTCGAGGACAATGGTCACCTCCGGAACCAGCTAGCTTACTTCGACAGGAAATACTCGGGGTCAGACACCAAGAAGAAGTCGTGATCCAGCAGCGAAACTTTAGGTGATCTCTTTGTCACTCGAGAGCATTTGAGAAATGGATTGACAAGATCGTTTATCCGATCAACAAGAACGATCAAATGGTTTTAGCTGCAAGCTCGGCAACTAGCAAATACGCTCCAGGCTTGATCGTCTCAAGTTCTAGAGCGTTCCTGGCAGCTCGAGCGCCACTTTCGTTGGCCTTGTGGATCCTCGAAGCGGCAAGCAAGGTCGCCCAAGTCACCGAGTCCGCCTCACACGGCATCTCGCCCAGGATCTTTTCAGCGTCTCGGACTTGTCCAAGCCGCCCCAGCAGATCCAGCATCGATGCAAAATGGTGTTGCGATGGCTGCAGCCCGTGATCGCCCTGCATCGAAACGAAAAAGTCCCGCGCCTGGAACAAGCTCCCGCTGCAGCTGCACGCGGTAAGAACGTTGATGAACGAGTACTCGTCGGGATCTTGCCCGTTTAGCAGCATGTCGTGAAACCAATGGATGGTTGACGGAGAGGAGCTCGCAAACGCCTCAATGACAACGTTGTACGAGACGATGTTGCGCTCGGGCAATGCATCAAACATGTTCTTCGCCTGAAGTATTTGCCCCGATCGGGCATTTGCTTCGATCATGCACGTCCATGCAACTACGTTCTTTTCTGGCATTGCATCAAACGTTGCTTTGGTGTTTCTTAGATCCAGGTTTTGAGCGTATCCTTGAACAAGCACTGTCCAGGCGCTGAGGTTTTTCTCTTGTGAGCCATCGAACAAGCGCTTGGCATCGACGAGATACCCGTTTAAGGCATACATGGATATCATTGTGCTCAAAGTCACCCCGTTCCACTCGGGCATTTGATCAAACAGGCTCTTGGCGTGTTCAATATGCCCGAACTGGGCATGCTTTTGGAGCATCACCGTGCAAGAGAAGACAGACCATTCGGGCATGCCATCAAAGATGGCTTTTGCTTCTGCGAGATCTTCTGCAGCTCCCAGCAAGATTGTCCACGACACTTCCGATCGCTCCATCATCGAATCGAAAAGAATTCTAGCTTCTTCAGCGTACCCGTTCTCCGCAAACGCGCCAGCCATTGTGTTCCAAGACACCACATTCCACTCGGGCATCTCGTGAAACACATCTCTAGCGCTTTGGATATCCCCAGAAAAGGCAAATGCTTGGATCATACTTGTCCAAGAAACAACATCCCATCCAGGACAACTATCAAACACAATCTTGGCCTTGCCACCCTCAACACTTTGTGCGTACATCGAAATGATCTCGTTCCAAGAAACAATACTCCTTTCAGGCATTCGATCAAACATACTTTGCGCCTTAGAAAGATGCCCAGTTACGGCATATGTATGAATCAGCGAGTTCCAAGTCACTGTGTTCGGTTCCGGCATTTGATCAAAGAGCTGCTTTGCCTCTTCGACAAGCCCAAGCTGCCCACACGATGAGATCATGGTCGTCCACGATACAACATTGCGCTCGGGCATCTGGGCGAACAAGACTCTGGCATCATCCAGATTCCCGTTTTGTGCCAGTGCCGCGAGCATGATCGTGTAGGAGAAAACGTTGGGATTTTTCATACGTCTGAACACGCTCAGTGCCCGACCAATTTCCCCACACTTGGCATACATTTGCAGCACAAGATTCGAGAGATAACTGCTGTCCCTGTGCTCGCTGCTGGAGATAGTTTCGTGCACTGCAATGCATTTTGATAAATCTCCCAGTTTCGAGGAGCTTCGAGCTAGGCAAGCCAGATCCAGCAAAGAGAGGGTCATTTGATCGATACCTTGTTTCAAAGCTACGCAACAATCTCCATTGTTTCATGTTGACTTTGGAGCATTCCCTCAAAAATTCCATCCACTAGGAACAAATATAAAGTCCTACCGTACCATCAATCCAAGGTCTTCATGATTTCCCCTCCACACGCCACACAGCACGTTTTGCATGGATTAGGGCTTTAGTAGAATGTTGCGAGGAAATATAGGTCAACTGGAGCGCCAAGGATTGGATCCGCGCGAGTCTCGCCTAGGGTAGAGCTAGATCGTGAAGAATGCGAGCCGGCAGGCCTCTAGAGCTTCGTTGATCGGCCAAATCATGGTTTTGAGGTGAGCAAGGCTGCAATCTCTCGCGCTTAGAATCTGTTTTCCAGGAATGGAGCCGATGATTTGGAGAACGCTGCTCTGAATGGATCCAATCCCGTCAATGGAGTTCCAAATAGTCCTCGCGGAGGTATAAGACGAGCGCATTCGGCAAGGTGAGTTAAAGCTCTTTTTTTCCTCTTGTTCTTGAAATTCTTTTTGCGTGTGTTTCTTTTTAGGATTGTTCCCGGAAGTCGTCTATCCAGTGCTCTGGAAGATCTGGATGTCGAAGGTGATGAGAAGAATTCTCGAAAATCTCGGCACCAGGCTGTTGTGTCTGGACTGGCGTACTGTGCGTCCTCTTGCAGTATGATTTTGCTAAACAAGTACCTTCTTTCTGGATATAACTTTAATGCAGGGATTTCTTTGATGTTTTATCAGGTCTCGTTTTTTTTTCTTTCTTCCGTTTCTTCTGCGCTGAAACTAACGTCCTGGTTTCTTCTTGTCCAGAATCTCATCAGTGTCATCGCAGTCGTGATACTGAGCTGCCTGGGGGCAATAACGATCGAGCCAATCACCTGGAAGCTTGTTCGAGTCTGGTTTCCAGTGAACGTTATATTTGTCGGCATGCTTGTCAGCAGCATTTACAGGTATCGCAAAAAATATTTTCGTTCTTTTCTCCGTTGTTTATCCAAATCCTTTCTGTTGACAGCCTGAAAAACATGAACGTGGCGATGGTAACAATTCTAAAAAACATGACGAATATCGTGACCGCGCTGGGAGAAATGTATCTCTTCGGCAAGCATCACAATCGGAAAGTCTGGGGCTCTCTATTACTTATGGTACTTGCTTTTTAGACTGCACTCTTCACCAAAAACGCTGAGATCCTAACTTGTAGTAATGAAGGTTCTCTCTGCTGTGGCTGGAGGTTTCACCGATCTTTCTTTCCACGGAGTTGGATACGCTTGGCAGATATTGAATTGCTTTCTCACAGCTGCTTATTCAGTGAGTAATACGTTGGTTTTCTCACCACATAATCTCTCTTGTTCACGTGTTTTTACAGCTGACACTTCGGAAGGTAATGGACACAGCGAAACAAGCAACGAAATCTGGCAACCTCGGCGAGTTTTCGATGGTTCTGCTCAACAATTCTCTTTCCCTGCCTCTTGGTCTCGTGCTCATTCTCCTTTTTAACGAGATTGAGTACTTATCGACGTTGTGAGTGCTTGTTTTCGTGGTCCAACTTTTTTGCTAACGATGCCTTTTCTTTTGTTTGCAGGCCAATTTTGAGTCTTCCGACATTTTGGCTAGTTATCACGTTGAGTGGCTTGTTCGGCTTGGCAATTAGCTTCACATCTATGTGGTTTTTGTACCAAACAAGTCCCACCACCTACAGGTAAATTTCGTTTGTTTTGCGACTGATAAGAGGACCAACTATTCTTACAGTCTTGTGGGCTCACTGAACAAAATACCGCTCTCCATTGCTGGCATCGCCTTGTTTAGAGTTCCGACAAGCTTGCCGAACTTGCTGAGCATCATTTTTGGTAGGCAATGGTTTTCTCTTGATGATATGGTTCGAGATGCTTTCTATTGTTGTGCAGGACTGTTTGCAGGAGTTGTATTTGCAAAAGCAAAAATGTCTAGCAAATAGCTAGTGTTATCTGTACATTCTTCAAATTCTTATAGTTCTAAAATGTGCATACCTGGTGGTATGTAAAGGGCGGCGTGGATTTTTATTCTTGGCCTAGAAAAATTTTAGTTGTTAGTCATTAGAAAACTTGGATAAATGTTTAAATATTTTGACAGTTAAAAAAGGTAATTGATGTTCATCTTATATAAAATTTATTGAAATATAAATTTATTAAAATACTTATATAAAATCCAATTGTATAATTACCATTTTGTATATTATTGTTAGTGTAGTGAGTCATTTCAATCCAAATCATTCATTTTTATATTTAAGTTAGCTAATTAAATATATATATTTCTGTATTCCATTCTTATATTTTATACACTTACATGGGTGGAGGTGAATAATAACTTTAATTGTCCTTGAGGAATACTTTGATTTATGATTTTAATTTTGTATTATCTAAATTTCTCTTATTTATATAAGTTTTGAGTTTCTTCTTTTTTGTTTTGTTTCTTTTTGTTTTATCTTATTGGTAAAGTAGCAATTTTCTTTTTCTTTAACTTTAGAGTAGCAATTGATGTAGTTGTTTGATGTTATACAAATACAGCAAAAACAATTAAACTCAATTGATAGCATTATTCATAATATGTGGTACAATTCCTTCCACATACATTAATTGTAACTTGATGCTCTTTAATTGATACAATGCTATAAAATATCATTTCTCCTTTTGTTATTACATATATGTTTTGTGAGAGATGATCCTTTTTTAATAAAATTTAACATTGTTGTTGTTTATGTTTAAGGACAAAAAGGATATGGTTGTGGCCGTGATATTTGTTATTACAAAATTGGCCTCATATATCAGTGTTGCCAACATTTTCTATATTGGCATCTTTTATTTTTTGGGTGGAAGCTTTGATGTCAAAAATGTCATATTAATGTTGTTATACTGAAATGGCTTAACATAGATGTTTTTTTGGGAAACAAATACATAAGTAGTGAAGAGCCCTTACTCAAATAAATCAGTGATCCTTCCATCTTTATTTTAAAATTACCATTAAAGGGTTTACTCAACATTAGTTCATATAATATTTACTTTCAAAGCTCATTCTTTGCATGTTGGTTAATACAAACTCAAATTCATCTTTTATTGCTATATATTGTTATTTATAATTATATTATGTGGTAGAGGCAATCTTCATTTTCTATGGCAACAGTTGTACACATACATATATGCAGGTTGAGCTAGGCCTAACTATACATACGAGTGATCTTACACTTGAGCTTTAATTGTTACATATGGTGCCAAGTAACTTTTGATCTTATCATTAATATATATTAATTGCAGCACAATCATGCCAAGTATGACTTTGAGGCTTCGCCCTATTATTTCATACTTTCTTATTTTTCTTCTATTTCTCTTATTTTATATTCCACTTCATCTCTCAATTTTTTATCACTTTACTTCTTACTATATTTTTGTCTTGCTTCTTTTTTCTTTCTTTAGATCCCTTCGATAGTCTTTGTGTTGTAATGATTGATTAGCTCAAGAAAGAGTATATTGATTTCTTCAAGTTTGATCTGTCGTTTAGGCCAAAATTGCAATATATCATCTTATTTCAATTAAGGATGCTCGTTTAATCAAACTTTCAATTTAGTATCAGTCACCAAAGGAGATCAAGATTTAACATGTTAAGGAAATATTAAAAAAGGGTGTTATCTAAAAGTTACCAAGTCAACCTCATCTTATGATGAAGCTTAATGAAAGTATTTAATTTTATATCAACTATTGCTCATTAAACAAAGTGACTATATCAAATATATATCCTCTTCCTCATACTACTGATTTTTTAAATTGTTTAGGGAAAAGTTGTTGGTTCAAAGTTATATCTTACTTTTAGTTACTAAAAACTAGTAATGGCTAAGGAAGATGTTCCAAAATTGTTTTTCGTACACCATTTGGTTTATATAATTTCTTGGTAATGCTATTTTGGTTTAAACAATAGTTTAATGACTTTCTAATAGATGATGGATGAGGTTTTCTATTATATGACAAATGTGACTATTAACTTTATCAATGATGTCTTGATCCACTCAAAAGGGATATAAGAAGAGCACATCCATGATGTTCACAAACTATTGGATAGGCTGTAGAAAGTAAATTTAAAGTTAAGGCAGTCAAAATGTGTGTTTGGGTCCAAAGTCATGACTTATCTTGGGTATTATATTTCTTACATAGGTTTGCAAGTTGATATTGATAAATTTATGGTTATCTTGAAGTTCCCTACTCCAAAGTGTGTGAATGATGTGTAGTGCTTTTTAAGTAAAGTGTAATATTTTAATTGTTTTGTTAATCATCTTTTTTATTGTATTACACTATTATGAGCATTGTTAAAGTCATTAACATCATCTTTTCTCTAGTTTGAGGACAACAAGTGGGCATTTGCATATTTAAAAAAGCTATTGATAACTTTTCCAATTTTGGCATATTTTAACTATATTTGATTTTTTATTTTGTATGTGAATAATTATGATATTGATCTTAGGGTGTATTAATGCAAAAAAGCACAAGTATATCTGTATAAAAAACCAAAGAAAATGACACAAAAAACAATTTATAAAGGTTCAAATATAAAAAGAAATAAAATGCACCCTTTTTCAATCAATTAAGGGTTTTGGGGTATTTAAGGTTAAATATCCTTAGCTTTGAATAGTACTAGGTGCAATAGGCCACTGACCAGAGATGCCATCCACATGGTTGAATCAAGTGCTCTTTACAGATATTCTTACATATTAAAACAAAAAAGCGTTGTGCTAACATTGATGCATGGATCAAAGTTTCCCATCACCTCAACCAATATGAATATAAAAATATTCATATTCAAGCCTAAAAACCTTAGTTTATATATAGTAACAAATGGTTTGGATTGAAACTAATTTAATGGCTATAAATATCCTGATAATAAAACCTCAAAAGAGTAAATGTTTTATTGTGTATTTTTTCTGTGGTTTTATTCATGGGGTTTCCAGTGCATGTTGTTGGACATATGTTGGACATAGTCAGCTGTTTGAAAATTTGAGGACTTACCTGTCACAGTAGATTAAGAATTTTATTTCACTGTGAATTAGAGCATGTTAGAACTCAGCTGAACATTCAGTAGTGTAGGAGGTCTTGGGTTCAATCCCCGGCCTGTCCAGATCATCTTCCAACATGGTACACACGCATGTTGCCTATCAATACTAATAGACGCACTTCCTTTCCTTTCCTGCTCGTGAGATGCGCAGAAGAAACTCATTGTACATGAAGTCCACTGCATAGCTGTCCAGGTCCAGCAGCTCGAGATTCTCCATCACGTCCTTCTTGAACTGGTGGCGGCTTCAAGCTAGACGGCATTACCATGCGTTGGATTGTCACTTACCAGTTTCAGCGCCGGCGATCAGATCTCCTGTTTAATATCCTTATTCTATACCGACTTGGATTCCTGCCGTAGGTGTTGTAGAGATTTTGGAGAGCTTGTGCTTATTACCTGTATCGATGGAGAGAAAACATGGCGAGCGATCGACGATGGGGAGATTTGCAAGAAACGAATGAGAAGCTCTCCGAAATATCTGTAGAGGAGCTCGCGATCTGTCGAGATATCAAGCAATCTACATTGTCGACAAAAATCTCTTGCTCACAGCTGCGCGCAAAATGTAGTGAAGTATCGCACAGAGAAGATCTACAAGAATCGAGGAGAATAGAAGGCCTTCTGGCGGAATATTCTGGGCAGCTGGATTGCTCCTCGCTGCCATCCAGGACACAACATTCCGAACATTCATTCCTTTTAGATCACGGATAGAAAAGAAAGAAATTCTTGTGGACTATATGACATGAATTTTTTTTGTTTTTGATAACATTGCGGAGGTGGTCAATCGCAAGAGGCAAAATGCTGCCGATATTCTGCTTGAAGCTGCAGAGGAAAACTGTCTTTAGTGAACAAGAATCCTTTGTCATGTTTGAGGAGGTGATGTCGACCTTTAAAAGTCTCATGGATCCCCCACTGTTGCTTGCTACATGATTTGCCTGAAAACTATCTGGATTCTTTGGTGGAGGACGCCTCTTAGTCAGAGGCAGTATGTGTGAGTTCTACATGGATCTTCATAGCCCGTTGCATCAGTAACTTCCGATATCCTAGTAAAATTCAAAGGGAATGCTACAAGGGTAGAAGGCAAATCAAACTAACTCCAAACGCCAAGACATCTTTCATCTCACTTAGTAGCTACCTTGCTACAAAGTTTGATTCTAACAGCTCACAAGTTATAAAATCTTAAAGGCTGCCACCAACCTGTGATTTGTCAAAAAGATTAATAATCTGAAATTTTTTGCTCCTCTTGTGCTATTTGGAAGTGCCATTGACACATTGTTTGACAGGGCTGGTCGGTAGTTACTCACAAGATGCCAATTCACACAGCACCACACGAAAAAGAAAGCCACAGAGAGGCTATATGATCAACAATCAAAAGAAGAAATCCACCTATTTATTTTCTCACAAAGTTTTCATGAGGTGTCCAGGACGTGAGGCGGGTTCGTAGGCAAGATCGAGGTTTTTTTCATTTTGATTTGAGTGCTGATGCCGAGAGCTTTGCAACGGGATTGAGAGTTTGAGGCTTCAAGCATTGTTCAGAATCGATTCCAGATCGATTCCAGCTTCCATTCTTGATGAGTTTTCCAGTCTAAAGACAAGTAAACCACTCCACTTCTTTTCTTCTTTTTCTCTGTCTCCTCTGTCTCTAGCATAAGTTCGCCTATCCTAAATAAATTCAGGATGGCATTCAAAGGAAATGCTACAAGGGATGAAGAATCAATCAAGCTTGTACTCTAGCCAATCTTTCAGTCAAGACATCTACTATCTCACTAAACACAAGTGTTACATAGGAGAAACATTAAATTACTGCTGCATTAGGAAAACTTTACTGGTACTTACTGAGATCACTCCAATGCCCGAGCGCTATTGCTGTGTCGAGGCCGAGAAGTCCTGCCCGTTCAAGTGAATGGCGAGGCTGAGATCAGGGAGATGGTCGAGGGCCGAGAAGGCAGTCAGTTTTTCTGGAACTTAAATAACACTGTCTACTTTGAAACAAGACGCTATTTGGCGTGAGCTAAGGACCACTATTCTCGTTGATTAGTCTTATGTGAAAACCCACTTCTTATGGCAGTGAGCAAGTCCCCGGAGACACATTTGCACGAAACCGCGATAGATGAGCCTACGTTCACTAAACCCCGTTTCTCCTTTTATTTAATTAATTCCAGTTTATTATAGAACACAATACATTTCCCAAAGACATAAAATCAAATCGTGATAAATGGATGATTGCCGCATTTGGATCCCAATGGCAAGATGAGGGTGGCTTCTGGATGTAGAAACCAGGTTCCTTGGAATGGTTCACCATTCAGCAGCGGATTGTCAAGTCCATGGTACCGTCCTGTGACATATGACCAGCGAAGATTTCCAGATGCCACACAAGGGTACCATGTTGCATACTCCACCAGATCTTTGTCCCCAGTTTCCTCGCCCAGCTTAATCAGCTTCTGTTGGAGTTGCAAGATCTCGGCTTCGGTCTCCTGGATCATTTCGCATACCTTGTCCACAGTCGCTTGAAAGCTTGCATTATCCGGGCTGTGGCAAAAGATGACACAGAGATAGTTGTGACATCACTTCCTCAAACATGGCGTGGCTAGGATGCTTCTCCTTCTCTTTTTCACTTAAGAAATAGCTTCCCTCAGCGACTTCAAGAAGAATATCAATAGCTTTTTTTCCCTCTTGCTCACTAAAATTCTCGGCAATGTCATCTAAAACAAACATAGTCCATGTATGCTTTGATGAAAGCTCCGCTTTGCTGCTCTCCCCTCTTGGAATAATCATTGGGCTATACAAGCTATGTCTTCCCTGAAGAGCTTTCTTTCTCTCATATGGATCAGTGATACTCAACATTCTAAGAGCCCATGCATCAGTATCTTTGGATATCCTAGTAAAATCAGGATGGCATTCGAAGGGAATGCTACAAGGGATGAATGGCAAATCGAACTTGCAAACTCTTGACAATTTTTCAGCCAAAACATCTTCCATCTCTCAGCTACAAAAGTGATGAATGAACCTTCTTTGAAGTTCTTTATATATTGGAAAAAAAAACATTATCACCTTAAAAAGGAATAAGAAAAATCAATTGGTTGGCTGGACATGTTCATATTGATTAGCTAGGGGAACACCGTGTCGATAAAGTAGACCTTGTCCTTGAGATACTGATCGAAATTCCCCCACAGCACCGCAAGGTAGAATGACACATCTAAAATGGAATTGTCTGCCCGTTCGTGATGCCCATTCATGACATATAACCAATTTGGTCCCATTGGTCCATTGGGCTCCACATGTTGAGATTGAATCGTACATATGTCCAACTCAACTGGTTAGATACGGACAGTTTAAGTTCTTTCATAATATAGTATAAATATGTAATAGTGCATAGTTCCTTTTGATCTTAACAATGAACTCTTGCCTTACCAATGAACTATTCAATGGTACAATTTCAAGTTTAGAATCATGAGGGACAAATCCAAGGTCTATTCTGTGAGGAGAGCGTGCTGAACGGGTGTTTTTCGAAATTGATATCAAAATCCAATTTGCTCTACATGTTCATTGACCTCTAGAGATTACTATTCCATTCTGGGAAGGCCAAAGCTATGGAGTTCTCTCCCCTGGCGAGAATCAAAGAGGCCAGGCGCGCCATCCATACCATTTGCACTCCCTTGCGTCTTCCGGCTATGGCGACGATCTGAGGAGCGCGAGGTTATGCTGAAGAGAGTGATCGGTGTTGATCCGCAAACTGGGGAGGAAGAGCCGGGCGTTTGTAGTAATTTCTTGTACGATTGTAAGCCCTTGATGCGACAGTAACCCGAGTAGATCTTCAAGGAGGCAGCCTGCAAGGACATGAGGAAGTGGTGTTCGAAGAGGTTGCAAGGCGGATGGGAGAAGGTTGGTGAGACAAAATTGCGAAACTGAAGAAAAACTGACAGTGGCATGTGGAGGACCACTAGATCACACAAAGTCGATTGAAGGAGAAAGTATCGAAGTGCAAAGACTTTAACTTCAAATATGCACAAGGTGTGGCATCTGGATAAGATCGGCAAGGATGGACTTTTAACAAGCAGTTGGCTGCCTTCATCAGTGTCCTGGACCATGTTTTTAAGAGGTGAAAGGCCTCTATAGTTACCTGGCTCAAGAATGAAAGTTCTGAGCTTCTATTTATCGATCCAGTCCACATGGTTGAGCATCACTAGACTCAAAAGCGCCCACCATGAGTAGCAGACATGACTGCAAGTCTGTACATTCTGCTCAAATATATCTTATTAAATATCTAGCTGCTGAGATAGTAATAGCTCCAACATAGCATTAGCTGCTCTCAAAGTTTCTATAGCATGCAATTCTCCTATGCGTCCAAAACAGAAGTTCTTACAGCTCACATAATCTCAGCTTTCTCAAGCCTAACCTAATTGCAGCCCCATATAGTGAGTTTTCTTTCCTTCCCCTTGTTTTGTGTGCTACACAGATTGTGGACATATGTCATGGTGGTGTTACAAGGATTTGCACATTTCAAAGTATGGCATGTAGATGATAAATGTGTTCTGGTTCCTTAAATTCACCAGTAGTGCTTATTTGTGATTTTGGGGAATGGTTAAAATTTTTAACTTAATAGTTCTAAGTTTATTTGTAACCCTTATATAGGTTATTAAATTTAGAGCATTTTTAAATACATACATTAATATTAGATTTTGATAGCCATTAGATTGGTTTTAATCCAAACCTTGCACAAATGACTTCTTCTCATATGACACAATTGGTTGATAACATCCAGAGAGGAGGTAAAGGAGGAAATCCTAAAGCTATGGCAGAAGTGGATAGTGCAAGGGGTGAATACGGAATAGATGGTGCATAACATAGTGAAATTCTAGAAGCTCCCCATATATAAAAAAGTGAAAATCACATTATGGTTAGTTGCCAACAACAGACTCCTGGTCAAATAGTGGTTCTAAGATGATGCAAGTCATAAATGCAAGGAGTGTGGTGAGACTAAAATGGTCAGCCACGCATTGTAGAAGTGTGATGTAGCAAAAGAAGTGTGGCAGCAAATCCTCAAGGTAGGGAAGGACTTAGGCACCACACAGGAATTTGAGGCTTGCAATAGGGATGTGATTCACTAGTTTGAGGGAGCAAGAGGCCTTGCAACACATCAAATGCAAGAGATGACATGGTTGGGGGATCCAAGTCCATTAGGATGAGACTAGCGTGGAGATAGGGGTCCCTGTGTGGGAGGCTTTGGGCCATGCTAGATGGGTGGTATGGCATGTGATAGGCCTTATGAGAAGCATGCAATTGGGGCTCATTTTGACAGGGTCCAAGTCTAAGTATTAGTGGTGATGGCAGAGTGGTGGAGACTCATGCTAGTGGCAGTTAGGCTACACCATGCCATCCTCTGGAACAAGGAGAAGCTAATGAGGCTTGAGGAGTGGTAGAAAGTTTAGCTACCATATTTTGGTGATGGAGATAAGAAAGAGATTTGCTAAAGATGGTGCCCCCTAGAGTTGATCCTGTAGTTTATATGAAAGGGGATTTGGATTTGGTATGGCAAAGGCAATTGCAACTATTTCTACTTTAGGCTTAGAGTCACTTTGGACAAGGGAGAGTTTCACTAGGTAACTCCATTATAAGGCAGCACACCCAGTGTTTGTGCTAGTCCCTATGGGATATTGGCAAATGTATATACATGTTTTATCAATTTAGTCTTCACTCTAATATATAAGCTAAGGTTTTCATGCTAATCAAATATGCATATTTATGTATCCATGCACTCATATTGGTGAAGATGAAAGGCATTTTTTATTTTATCTCAAGAGTGATTGAATTTGTATAGATTTAACTTTTACATTGTCTAGATCTTTATTACTTTTGTAGATTTTTCCATTTTTTCTTTTACTTTTCATTTATCTTCATGGTAGAGTAGTAGCCTCCTCCTCCTCTGACTTTAAAGCAGCAATTGGTGCAATTTTTTAATACTATACAATTGTGCATACATTGTGATGTCCGCAATATGTTGAATTGATTACAAGAAGTTAGTTTAAAGCTAAAGCGATCAAAGTGTATATTTGGGTCTAAAGACTATATTTCTTATGAAGGTTAGTATGTTGATCCTCATAAATTTATAGTTGTTCTAAAGTTCCCTACTCCAAAATATATGAATGATATGAAGTGTTTCCTAGGTAATGTATAATATTTTGATTATTTTATTGATTATATTTTTTATTATATTACACCATTATGAGTGTTTCTAAAGTCATCAATATCATTTTTCATTTGGTTTATGGATTGCAAGCAGGTATTTATGGATCTGAAAGAGATATTAAAGACTCCTTCAATTATAGCATCCTAACTACATGAGATTTGCCTGGAGAGTTAAGCATAGTCTAAAGATCCACATTATAAGTAGATCAATGGCTTTGTAACCTTTCATAATCCTGAAGCACTTGATGGCCCCCACAAACATCTTGATCGGCAAAATTTATTATAAAGATTTACAAAAGCTATTGTTCATTATAATTATTATATATCATGAAAACACTTGACTTTTTATTTTGCATATGGATGATTTTAATATTAGTATTAGGAGTGTGTTGACACAAGAAAACACAAGTGTTCCTAGTCAACATCATTCTATTGTATATATCAATTATACATTATAGTTAGTAAAAGTGAACTATACTCCACAATAGAGAATGAGTGTCTAGTAGTAGTTTGGGCTTTAAAAAAGCATTTGTATAGGTTTTAGACATTACTATAAAGTGATGATATTGCAATTATTTCATTATTGAAACAGAAGAATTTGGTTAGTTATATAGCTTAGTGGGTTTTAAAACTTTAAATATATGATTTTAAAGTTATTTATTACCCAAGGAATTCTATATTTAATGTTAAGGTGTAGCACACATGGTTTTGACCCTTTATCCTATGGTGATTTACCATAGGATAACACCATGAAGCGGAACTTAAACCCTCTTTGTGCCACGTGATAGATGCCACATGTCATATGCCATGTGTCCAAAGGAACGTGGTGTGGAACCCAAGGTTCAAGGCCTTGGGCCACTGAACGAAGGAACGATGCCAAACTCCCAAGCATGGAGCCAAGGAATGATGGAATTGGACTATGGAGCAACTCCTGAACATACAGCCCAAAGAGTGAAGGGACAAGAGCCCGAAGCGACTTGGAACAGTCCTAGAGTAACTAACATCTCAATGCTAAGACCAACATGCAAAACGAAGCCAAACAGAGTTTGGCGCTATTTTGGCATACTAGTGGCCTAATGCAAGGACATAGGTACTCCACCAGCTAATATGGAATGGAACTTGGGCTTAGACCCAAGCTAGACGCAAAACAAGGACAGGCACGCAAATGGGAGTTAGACTATGTCTCAAGTTGGTCGGCTATGCCCGACCTACCCACTATCCCTACTATACATTTGGAACCCCCCACAGCCCCCCCTCCCCCCGCCCCCCATTCTGTAGATGTGCCAAATGAGCAAATCTGGACACTTTCCATAAATAGCATTTAGGACCAAATTGAGATTAACACAAAGGGCATGATAGTTGTGATCCTGTAGCTATCATGTAGCAATATTGAGGGACTAATCTCAATATGCGAGGGTTCTTGTCAAGCCAGTGCAAGACAGAGCAAAAGAGAACTAACAAGCCGGGCCAAGTATGCTTAGCTAAATAGACACTTAAAAATTCCTTCCTTATGCTCATCCGGCCAAGTACAGATGCAAAATCCAATTTACTAACACTTGAACAAGAATAAAGGGAACTAGCAATATTGATCTTCTACCATCGTGGCAATAAGGTAAGAGTGTCCATAAGGACTAGGTGACAGGTAATTTTCGATACTCGAAATCACATTAGCGACACTCTCCCCCCCTAGGGAAAATCAACATCCTCGTCGATGCATACTCGAGTCTAAAATACCGCCAAGGAAACAACTCCAGAAAAAGTTCACAGTACTCACACTATATGAAAAATGCACC